TATATTGCAGCAGGTGTCGGCGTTACCTGTTGGTGTCGGGCTTAAAAACGAGCTACAACTCGAATTTCAGAAAACGATGTTGCGACTCAAGGGTAAAAAAAGGGGAGAGGGAGGATCAAAAGCGACCAATCGGTTCGCGTCACCTTTTTTAGTTTGTGACTTTTAGTCCGCGCGTTTGATCAATGGAAGCATCCGAGTACACAGGATGTATCGTGATATTACCACCTTAATACATGTCGGCGTTCTTCGTTTTAACCTTCTAATTATATCTTTATCTGCTCGCACAACGGTGATGCGATTCAATCGCACTTAATTGGCGCAACGTGAAGAGCACGAAAGAAAAAGCACACACCCGGACGAGAAGTCGTGTAAATCTGAATTTCAATCGCTTGCTTGTTTGAAGTCAGCTATAGCGTGGTAATTGAGCGTTCTGGAAGATACTTGAAGGGCGGGATGGGGAGGGGGAGGGTATCGTGTAGCATCCAGTCCTTTTCCGGTATTTCGGTTCAATTAATCCTGCGATTTTAATCCCCCGTCTCTCGCGTAATCTCATCAATAAAGATAGCCCCCCACAAGGTAATAACGCGACGCTCGGAAAAATAAACACGCGAGAGAATAATAAATAATTAATTGATCCGACCGTCGCGATTAACGTAACGGTATCGTGACAAAACTCTTCACTTCCTCTCTCTATCTCTCGCATGCATCGTCGCCAATTCCACAAGTCAACTTGTCCAATTAACTTGACATTTGTCTGATCAAAGGTCGAACATGTGTCGCTCTCGCTCACGCGTCTCTCTCTCTCTCTCTCTCTCTCTCTTCCTCTTTCGGCCCGATAAATTTCGGGTTCGATCGGCAGCGTCGATCGGCCGCTGTTTAATACCGCCGCTGCTGACTCTGATTATCCCGTAACTACCTGCGTATTTATACGTGTCGCACACGCGTTGCGCGTAACTATTTCAATGAATTTTACATCTTTCGCGGTACAGCACCGAACCGACACGCACGCGAGAAGAGGCACCACGCGTCGTGCCGTTCCAAAGAGGAAAAAGGAGGATCTGCTGTGCTACCTGCGCCTGAAACTGCCCTGGCAGGCACAAAGAAACGAGTGGCGAGTAGTCGCGGGGCCGGGCCAAGAAGTACACATGCGAGAGACGAGGAGAGGAGAAGAGAGAGGAAAGAAAAGAGAAAAAAAAGAGAGAAGAGCCAAGGAGGAAAGAGCAACGACGGACGGACGGCAAGAGATCTCGGGAGAATTACGCGCCCGATCGAGACGCGTAAAAGACGAGGCAAGAGAAAAAGCATCGACTTAAAAGCAAACGGCCGAGCAAGAAAGAAAGCAAGAAGGGAAGAAAGAGAGGGATCATCGATGCGCTACGGAAATATATATATAGCCGATCCTCTCTCTCTCTCTCTCTCTCTCTCTCTATCTTCCCGCACACCTACATTACTTTGTGTTTCGCGGTGTTTCTTTCATCCTCCCTGAATGAGCAAGCGAGTTTAGACTCGCGATATAACAGCCGGAACGTCGATTGGGTGTAAATGTATAAGATGTATGTCTGCGTCTCTCGCTGAAGCATTAATCAAGTAACAAATTATCACAATGCGTGTATCGAAAAGCCGCGTGTGCAGATCAATTCGCGGATGTAATGAAAATTCGTCCAACAATCATCCGACCGCGGAGAAATCTAGCCCGCTCGCGCGGGAGGGTGATAATCGAGAAACACCGCGCTGTTGCTTCGTCGCGTTTTCATTTTTCAACACATTTCCCGCACAAAAGAAAGACCGCTTTAAAATAGCGTAGCGCGCGTGCGAGCGCACGTCAGTCCCTTAATCTATAATTTCCATCTCGCGCGCACACGCACTTCTTCTCGTCTATCGTTGCGGCTGTTTTTTCCGTGCAATTTCTGTTTAGTCATACTCGCGTATTCTGACCGGGGCTTACCCCGAATAATAAATAGACTCCTTCCTCTCTTTCGTTCTCTCGTCTCCCCCCTCCCCCCCTCTCTCTCTCTCTCTCTCTCGGGGCGCCGCTTTCGTGCGTCTCGATCAGCCTGGCCTTCTCCACCACGATCCACCTCCGGTCTCTCTCGCTCCGTCTAACCACCGGTAGACGGCTGTCACTGTTCCACTTTACGGGAGCGCGATTTCCCGAGATATCCTCTACCTACTATACACCACTACACGCCACCTCCGCCACCTCCTCCCTCCCACCTCTACCGCCCGCCCTCTCGCTCGCTCGCCCGCCCGCCCGCCCGCGCTCTCTGTCTCCGTCTTTCTCTCGACTACTCTCCGCGGTATGCCAACCTTCCACTCCACCATGTTTCTCTCGCGTGCTCGCACGAAGCGGCGGCGGCAGGAGGCGGTGGAGGTAGAGGATCCGCGCTGTGGCCCCCACGGACGCCCACGAGCACGTATACAGGCAGTTTCAGGAGGACAGGTCGATACTTCGGGAGGTGATGCTGCCCCATCGTGGGCTCGTCGGCGTTCGGCAACGTTCAGCAGACTCGGGAACTTGCTTTTTCTTTCGTTGGAAAATTCTCGCAAATTCCGTCGGAACTTTACTCGGCTCGGCACGCTCTTTAAATCAAGATCGTTATCGCGAGAAGAGAATGACGACAGATGTGTGGAACGCTACTCTGAGAGATTTGTTCGTGTCAGAGTTGTTACTTTCAAAAAGCTTCCAGTTTCTTTCCAATCGCACGCAGCACAGAAGCTGCAGATATTCCGATAAAGGAGAAAGGATTTAACAAAGGTTAACGTCGACTCCGAACTCATCGATCCGTCTTCGAGTATAAACTGGCGAATCGTGCGCGACACCGTGTATATAGAAATAAGGTGTGTACAAAATGTAAATTGCACGCTTTCCGCCGGGCTCAGAAATCTGTCTTATCGTTATTAAATTCTTGGGCGATATAAATATTAATAGGAGCCATTGGTATATACGGATTGTTAGCACGAGTAACAGCCGCGTGACTATTTAAGTACATGCCAGGTGTGTACACGGTGTACGACTCTCGGTGTCTCTCAACACATGTTTTGAACATTGTAGGTAAGAAGTAATCGAAATAGACGGAATAAACGGAAAAGACGCGCCGAGGAGCGACGATGAAATATTCGCGAGGACTTGATAAGATAAACAAAGTGACGACGCGAAGTGATCACGGGCAAACAGGTTCGTAAGAACGCGCGGCTTCTGTTCCAAGCGACTTGCTTTCGTCGAGTTAGAAGCGTCCGAATTCTAAAAATACACACCACACTAATATCGCGAGTGTGATAACGCGAGGATAGAGATCTCCGCTCCTGAAATACCCGGTATACACCGGTGTACCGGGTATATATGCACCGTACAGCCGTTCTTTAGCTCGTTCTCTCTCTTTCCCTCCCCGTCGCGCTGCTATCTTCCTCTCGCTCTCTCCTGCTCTCCGACGCACGTCCAAAAGTGCACCGGCAGAAGGACGAGCCCGCAGCACATTCGCTCTCTACCCGGCTCTATTCTGCCTCGCCTCGCCTCTCCTCTCCCCTCACCCTGCCCTGCCCTCCTAAAGCCCCCAGCCTCGTCTTCTCTCTTTCTGTTTCTTCTCTTTCTTTACAGAGCGTGGCATGGGGCGAGGTCCGCATCACGATTTCGAACGCACGTTGCTCGTGGGAAAAATAGAAGCGAACGCCGAGCGAGACACCCTGCGCGTCGCGACGTCGCGCCGCGAGGCGACTCTTTCTCCTACCTAGGCGAGAGCTGCTTGGCCGACTACGGAAAACGGATTTTTCGTCCGATCACGCTCGTGTCGCGTCCGCGACTGTCGCGAGGTTTTCCTCTATATTTTCCTTCACGTCTTCCTTCTTCCAGAGACAGAGGAAGAGGAAGAGGTAGAGGAAGAGAAAGAGGGAATCGAGAGTGAAGGAGAATTGAAGAGAAAAACAATCTCCCGGACCAATTCGGCCTTTTTCTCTTTCCGGTCTCGAACGGGAGCGAACGTTTCGTAGTCCTCGTAGGCGATTGGCTCTCGTCTCATTATCTCGACGTGAGGATCGATAATTTCGATAAAATATACCTTTCCCGTTCGATTCCATTGTCATAATGGTGATTTAAATGGTGGACATCGTTAATCCGCACGATATTTCTTCACGAATGAGACAATGACGAATAGCAGTAACGCGCCGCCGTGGGCACATCATCGCTGCTGGCGGTCAGCCTTCGAGGAATCGCCGCGAGCGCGTCGATATGGAGAGTTCTCGAGACACAGAACGTATCGTAATTTCGACACGAAGTCGCCTGTGATATACCGGCGCCGCGATTCGATTCTCCCGTCTCCGCGCTATCTATAACACCACGTTACATCTTTGTGCTCTTTTCGAGCGAGTAAGCTGCGGAGAGCTGCGCGCACCTTTGTTTTCGGCTGAAGCACGAAGATAAAATGTAAAACGATGATAAGACGTAACCGAGAAGGCTGAACGCTTAGAGAGCTAAGAGCTTTAGGGCTTTGCCACAGCAGTAAAATACCCTCGCGCGTCCGTCCTTTTGGCACGATATCCGTCTCTGCTAACTACCCACATTCTCCCGCATTTAACCTTCACTTATCAGTTTATCCTTGATTGTTTTATCGTGAAATGTAGGATTAGATTAAAGGCCGACACACACACACACACACACACATAGTCCGTTGGAATTCTGGCCGTGTGTCGAAGTCGTCTGTGTTTAGGCGAGCGAGACACGCGTTTCTCCGATGAACGGAACGGCGAGACGGAAACTATTGGCGCAAGATACACATTATCCTGTATCCGTCTCCTTGCAAAATCGAGCTCGTCGAAATAACACCGGTTTCGCTCTTTCTCTCTTCCTCCGTCCTTTCTTGCGCTACAAAGACGCGAGAGCGAGCGAGAGAGAGAGAGAGAGAGAGAGAGAGAGAGAGAGAGAGAGAGAGAGAGAGAGAGAGAGAGAGAGAGAGAGAGAGGAGAGAGAGAGAGAGAGAGAGAGAAAATCATAAAGAGAACGGACTCACCTCTCACGATGCAGTAAACAGATTCGCTCCTTGACGACCTTGAGCCTCTTGGAGATGATCTTCTTAAGATTCTCCACTGTGTCATTACGGTCCACCGTGAGCTCGAACTGGCCGCCGGTGGTCGGCGTGATGTTCACGGTGATCTCGTCCTTGTCGACCGCGGTTGCGACGCAGCCACACCCCGGCGGCGGCAGCGGCGGTTGCTGCGGCTGCGGCGTCGGCGGTAGCAGCGGCAGCGGCAGCGGCGGCGGTGGCGGTGGCGGCGGCGTCGTCGTCGGATAGGAGGTAGCTGCACGTATTACCGGGGACGCGGTGGCCCTTATCGAACTCCGCTGACCGCGACACTCGGGCTCGACCGTCGCCATCGACGTCGTCGTCGTGGTCGTGGCGGTGATAGCAGCGGTCGCGGTGTCACCGGGCGGGACCGGGACAGAAGTAGAAGTAGGAGCAGAAGCAGAAGCGAAAGCAGAAGCAGCGGCAGCTGTTCGACCGCTGGTTGACTCGTCGTCGATCGACGTAGTCCGCGACTTCGAAGGTCCGTCGTCGTCGTCGTTCATCTCGCTCGCAGTCACCGCCGCCGCATCTGACGATGACGGCGGCGGCGGCTCCGCACTGTCGTTCATCTTACCGCGATATGACGAGAAACCGTCGATCGACGCTAATAACGGACCACCGCGCACGATAGCGATAGCACGAGGCGACTAACGTAGAGTCTCTCTCTCTCTCTCAGCTAATAACGAGGACGAAGGCGATGTCGGAGAGTTCTTCCTCAGGAGTAGTCAAACACGGCACGTACTATCACTCGCGACCGCTCGCTCGGTACTACTTCTTCTGCGACGCTATACGCGCCGCGCGTGTGTCTCTCCTCCGTCCTCTATCCCTTCTTCACCTCTTCTTCTCTTCTGCTTCTTCTCTCTCTCTCTCTCCCTCCCTCTCTCTCCTCCTTCGCGTCGCCGACTTCTTCGCCTACTGCCCCTTCTGCGCGCGGGCCTCGCGGCGTTCTCCTCCGCCGTGTTAGAACCGCCGCCGCGCGACGCGTATACACGTCTTATCGTGTCGTGGCCCGTCCTGTGTATGTATGCATGTGTATGTATGTATGTGTATGTATGTATGTATATATGTATGTATGTATGTATGTGTATGTATGTATGTATGTATGTATGTATGTATGTATGTATGTATGTATGTAATGTATGTATGTATGTATGTATGTATGTATGTATGTATATATGTATGTATGTATGTATGTATGTATGTATGTATGTATGTATGTATGTATGTATGTATGTATGTATGTATGTATGTATGTATGTATGTATGTATGTATGTATGTATTTATGTATGTATGCACCTGCACCTGTGCTCCCGGCACTCTCCGGTCGCGGTCCCTTCGCTCCTTACCCCCGCGCGCGAACGCTCGTTCACGGAGCGTTGTCCACGAAGGCGACCGGCCCCCTCGACAAGCCGCGGCCGCGGGAACGCGCACGCGGCGAAGAGGAGACGCACAGCGAGCGACGGGCGAAACGCGAAGAGAGGGGTAAGGGGCACTGGAAACACGACGGCGCGGCGGCTGGAACGGCGAGGCGGCGGAGGGGGGAGGGGGCGGCGGTGACGGGCAGGAAGAGGAGTGTATACGTACTGAAGTAGGCTGATTATTGTGCGTGTGATACGCGACGAAACCGCGACGACGACGACGACGATGAAAATCGCTCGCGGCCGACGACGAAGACGTAGAGCGCGATCGATAGTACCACGGCGATAAAAAAAACTTTGTCCTCGTAAAAAGGCCGCGGGAGAGAGAGAGGGAGAGAAGAGAAAGAGATAGAACGTGAAATGATCACTGAACCTCGCGTCCACCTTCTGCTACGCGACACGGCACTGTGTGTCGCGCACCACATACGCACAACCCGCCCGCAGACCCTTCCTCCTCCTTTTTCTCTCCTTCAAAAGCAGCAGCAGCAGCAGCACTACCACACCACTTCGTCGTGTTCCTTCTACCTCCTTACTTCTTGTGATTCTCTCGCTCTACCTTCCTGCCTCTTCGTATTTGCTTCTTCCCTCGGGGTCACGTGACCTCTCGATCTCGCTCTTTCTTTCTCTCTCTCTCTCTCTCTCTCTCTCTCTCTCTCTCTCTCTCTCTTCCCCTCTTGCCGTAAAATCCTCTTTTATACAGCCTACAGACGTACTTCTCGTTAGTTTCTCACGCGCGCGCGCGCGCACGCCTCACTCATATATATACACACACCACGACCCACCCTCGAGCGCTTGAACCCTGCGACTAGCAACCAAAGCCGGAGCTCCCGGAGCTTCCGCTAGATTCCCAGCAGACCTGGGCCGCCGAACCCGTCGAGTCGCGCATCAGAAAACGTACGACGTGAGCCGAGCATTGCCGAGCGACTCGTAAAGAGCGGTTCGTTTGAATCTTTCAATTGCGAGTCGAAAACGGACGAAGGCAAATTGTAGAGTGTGATCCTCGGGAATTTCGACTTCCAATGATTCATACGAAAGATAAGGGAAAGTACATTTTAGGAGTGACAAGAGGGTATTAGAACATGGAGCGAGTGATTACAAATATTTCATGAGCTTTATGTCGATATGGTAACAAAATGAATGTCGACAATAAGCTTCTCAAAAGAAGTAAATAGCCAATCGTGAAAAACAAAAAGAGTGAAGATATATCACAAAACCTAACTACAATAAAAAAAAAGAATAATTGCGAGAAATTTGGTGAATCTTTGTCATAGAGGCCACTGATTCTTTACATTTTATTCTCATCAAATAGGAAACAATATTACTAATTGTTTAATGGACATCTAATGGAAATTTAAATTACAAAACCCTTTTTATTTCTCAAAAAATATCTTTACATTTAAGTCTTCACAGAAATTTTCACTTAGAAAATACGAACTACGAACTATGAACTCTTTATACCGATGTCTTCAAGATATTTCAGTCGGACATATATGTTTTCGCTAAGTTTTTGTTCTATATTTCTCTGTATAACAATTGCACCAAGTAATATAATTTCTAGATAAAACATTCGCGCAGAGTATAGAAATAATTTACCTATAAAATTCCATATCTAATTAGGCGTACATATACTATATAGTACATGTACTATATAGAAGTATAACATGTAGAACATATTTCTCTTGCTGTAGCAACAAAGTGAAGCAGTGTCATTCATTGGAACTCATAGTGAGAGAGAATTTCTCTCTCCATAAATCTTTCATCTTTATAACATTCTTATTGTCCAACAATTTGCTACATCCCTCGTGTGATGTATATCTTTTGTGTTCTAACATACCATAACAAATATTACAATCTTACCCCAGGCCCTATAATGAAGTATGTTATATATATTCATGCATACATTATCATGAGATAAGATAAATTTTTCCATAAACTGTAAGAAATCTAAATATTTGAAAGTGTCGTATAACATAATATATTAGTAAATTTAACTAGTAAATAATTTGCGGCGTTTCTACTTTATAAAACGAAAAAAAATTGTTAATAAACAACCGAGAATTTTTGCATTAGATATCTACACACTATACCTGCTTATATATATACCTATACCTGCTTATATATATATTTACATATCTAATATTCGAAGAGGAATTAAAGATATACGAAAACTTGTTTTAAAAGTATTACAGCGTCATATGTCTGAATCTTACATTGTATTCAAAAGTACGTTACTCTGTATTTTGTTAAAACACTGATAGAAAAATATATTATTGTGCATTGCAATTTAAATAACTATGCGTACGTGAAGGAATCAGCGTCGCACTAGATGCTGTGCCTGTCTCGCTGGTACTTGGTAAAGTGCTTATCAGTACAGTATAAAGAGTCAGATAATCATTTGTATCTAATCCTGCTGCGTCCTATATTCATTTCTTACATATTTATCGTTTCTTATATCGTTGAAGTGCCCTACTTATTAATAGAAAATTGATAGTCGCAAATTGTTAGAATATTAGGAACAGCTACGGAGTTATTGCATTTTAAGAGTGGAAGTAGTTCAAGTAGGCTTGAACGTAAAATACAGAGTTAACATTTTCTATAGCATTCTGTTGTCTTTGTTTAAAAAAATTTGTTTATCTATTATTAAAATTACTAACAGACAACATTAGATGTCCCTTGCACGATTACGTTTATCCACGTATGCAAGGGACGCAAGAATTCACGATCCGAATTCTATCGTATCTTGTTGGATTGGCATGAATTCGTAGCTTCCTCGTCCATCCATTTGCAAATAGTACTGAAAAAACAGCAAACAGTCGTGAAAGCATATTAAATAATACATGCAAGTCACACACAAGGATGTCTTTACAATTATAGGGAACTGAAACGAAAAGAGAAGAGATAAAGTCAGTACCTCGTGATGTTTCCAAAGAGAACGACGATGTGAAACTGTGAACAATGTTATATTCTCTTTTCTGCAGTACATATACATAGAGTCTTCGACGTCCATGCTAACAGCGCTCGTGCACTCGTCCAAGATCGCGAATTGCGGTTTGTGATAAAACAGTCGAGACATCTATATAAATGATAAAACAGAAGCAATAATAAACATTCAACGAAGAGAGTGTGCTTTGTCTTACACGATAGAAATGGTACATTGTAGTTTGACATACTCCTTTCTATATCTTCTACATCCAGTAGAAGGTTGCATTCGTCTAGCTTACTTTCATACCGAAAGTGACATTCTATTTTTATTATTCGTTAAACGTTGCACGAACAAAGCTGATTTAATAATGGCAATTTGAGCATGAAAGCGAACGAAAAACGAACACAGCCATTAATAGACGATGATGAATAACTCGGTCGATTAAAAAGAAAGTTATATAATAAAGTAAAAAGTTATATAATAGTTAATAAAAAGGCACGCAAGACTTACTGCTATACGTTGTTTTTCACCTCCCGATAGAACATCCATCCAATCGGCTACCGCGTCCCAACCTTGTCCTTCACTGTTGCTAATATTCTCTCTATCCAACAGATGAGTCAGTTGCACCAAGTCCAAAAATTTCTTTAAATCGTCGTCGTTAACGTTACCGCGCCTCTGCATCTCTGCTCTCGTATGAGGATAAATAACCTGATCTCTCAAGGTGCCCAACGTCATGTAAGGACGTTGCGGAATGTAGAATAGCTTACCACGTGGTGGTTTCGTGACAGACCCAGACCAGACTGGCCACAGCTACAAGTCCCAATTCATAAAATCAATATAATACAAACAAAGATAGCTCGATTACATCGCAATCACTTGATATGATGATCGTAGTCAACATAATAAATCAGAGCTACACAAAGTGAGAGTAGTTTTGTTTCATTGCGATATATGAGAACATTGTAAAGAACACAAGCACATACTTCACCGAGAATCCTGAACATGGAACTTTTGCCGCAACCATTCGGACCACAAACCAAGACGTTCATGCCCGACTTCACCTCGAAAGATAGTTCCTTGATAAGTACGTCTCCATTTGGCGTAACGAGTGGCACACGATCGAATCTTATGACGTTGTCACGTGGTATGATTTTGCCGCCACCGGGATAGCCGAAAGCGGTGTCCTTGTAATCCGTAATCATCGTTCTCTCATACTTGCCGGCGTTCAATTCATCAAGGACCTGTTTGACCTCGGTAACTCTTGCTGTGAATCCAGCTAACCGCGTGAGTTCTCTGCCAGCCAATACCAGCCGGCCGACCGCCTCGGCCATTCTAACCATCATCCGGCCATATGTATAGTAAGAGTTGAAGCGATGATTAGACGAGCCGGTGAGCAGGGGATGATTGTCCTGGAAGAAGGGTATACTGATCGCGTAGAAACCGACTACAGTGGCAAAATCTAGTAAAATAAAATTAAAATAGTATTAGAATATAAAAACAAGTAATAAAACAAAAATATTTAATGGTAATACGATTATTTATAACAATATATACTATATAAAATATATCTTACACTTTGCAACGAGGTTGTCTATTATACCTATGAAAGTTTTAAATTCCAAGACTCTACGAAGATGGCTTATCTGTAACAGTATAGATAATGATAAAAATAAAAAGTCATGTTTGTATAAATAAACATTAAAATGTCATGTAAAAAGTTTTTTTAGATAAAATTGTTTTAGATAAATATTATCAAACATAATATATAGATAATAATGCTAATAATGTTCTGATGTCAGAATAGTGACGAAGTATAACGATGGAAATTTCTTGATTGATGAAAAATTTGTTTCCATTGTATGCAGTAAAGCCACATTTTACTTGAAAACTTTAATACACTGCTCAAAAGAATTATGGCATAGATAATTTATTGCCGAAAATTGGCCAACTTTGACTGGCGATTATTTTGCGAAAAATTATTATAGACTAATGACATTTTTTTCAAAATGAAGCTTGAAGTCTCTACTTTAAGAATATATCTCCATTTTTTGCATGCGATGCACCCCTACCCCTGTAACCCCTGACATCTGAGGGCATGTTTGGAAAATTGCAAAGTTTAACGGAATACACGGACATGGACAATTTTTTTTCGGGGACGCTGTTTGCATCGTCATAAAGTTCAAATCTTCCCCTTTAATTTGAAAAAAAAATGGAGTCGCTACAATTTTTTTTCGCAAAGTTACAGCCCTTCCAAAATAGCGTACGGAGCCGTGGAGAATACGGAGAGAGTTTGCCGATGCTAGGAATGTTGGCTGTGGTCAAAACACGAGCCAGGAGCTGAAAAACATGCGCGCGTGCTTGCATGCGTATGTCAACAAACACTTTTGCCGTTGCTCCACTATGATTTCCAGTCATTTAATCCGCTGGCCGGTACTTAGCCCGAAGATAAAAAACAACGATATCTTTGAAGGACTGTAACTTTGAGAAAAAAAATTGTAGCGACTCCATTTTCTTTCAAATTGAAGGGGAAGATTTGAACTTTATGATGATGCAAACGGCGAGAAAAAATTGTCTGTATACAAAATCCCGAAAAAAAATTGTCCACGTCCGTGTATTCCGTCAAACTTTACAATTTTCAGTATACCAAACATGCCCTCAGATGTCAGGAATTAGAGGGGTGGGGGGGGGGCGTGTGTCGCATGCAAAAAATGGAGATACATTCTTAAAGTAGAGACTTCAAGCTTCATTTTGAAAAAAATCATTGGTTTATAATAATTTTTTGCGAAGTAATCGCCAGTCAAAGTTGGCCAATTTTCGGCAAAAAATTATCTATACCATAATTCTTTTGAGCAGTGTAGAACTTGTCAATTGACGCAATAATTTAAATAGACTTACAAGTTTGTGGAAACTAGTTAACAGTGTCAATTTTTCTCTGTTGTTTCCATGGTAGAACGCGATTTCTTCTGAGTTAGTAATCAATCGAGAGTTGATGTGACGATATTCTCCTTCTAATCGTTGTTCTTTGACCGTCATTTGACCAATGGGCTTGCGAATTTTGGTCAGAAAAACGCCAGCTAATACCAGATACGTTAATATCGACAGTGGCGACTGCAAGAGTGTTATTGTGTGTAAAATATTGATTATTGATTATCAATAAACTGTTGCAATGAGATAGACATATTTGCTTTACATACTTGCGCACCAATAGGAGTTAATTTAAACACATAAATACCAATGTCTAACAAAGGCTTTGTCACATTGCTATAAAGGTTTACAAAGCTGTCACAAAATTTATCAACATCCGTAGTCAAGAGTTGATCCGGATTAGAGATACGACTGTCCAAGTTGCACATTTTGTAATAAGTAAAGCCCCTAGAAAAATATTCTTCAATATTTAAAATATTTGCTGGAAATAAATTTCAGTGAGATTTCTTAATTATAGAGAATTTTGTATTTCTCTGTATTTCTTGTATTTAATGTATTTATAACAAACTGATACGATAGTTCTAACACATAAAATTGTAAAATTTCTCATGATAAATATATTATATGCTTTAAAAAGATGACTTGATATAGTGTTAAAGTTATTACATAGTACATACAGCTATATATTACTGCATACAGCTTATTTTAAATATGACCTAAGTGCAAGTGCAAGTTTAAGTGCACAAAAAGTGCAATACTACTATATTGTAATAACATATACAGAGTGTTTCAGAACATTTTGGGACACGGGCTCCATAGGGATGCATAGAGGATGCATAGAGCTAAGTGAAAGGAACAAAAAAGTCCTGTACCATAATGTGAAAATCGTAATAGTTTTTTAGTAATAACCACGTAAAGTTTGGCATTTTCTATGCCCATCGCGGCCTATAGACGCTCCTCTGCGACTACGCGTCTCACGCTGACTGTCGTGATGGCATCTTGGCGCTTTGACGCCGCGCGACGGTCAGCGCGAGCCGCGTTATCGCTGAGTCCCTACGTACACAGCTTGCCGCGGAGCGTTTGTAGGCCGCGCTGGGCGTGGAAAACGCTTAACTTTGCACTGTTACAATTAAAAAACTATTACGATTTTCACATTATGGCAGAGGACTTTTTTATTCCTCTTACTTAGCTCCATATCCTTACGGAGCCCGTATGCCAAAGTTCTGAGATACCCTGTAAACACAGTGATAAAAGTGAATTTGCAATGTCATGCATAGATATAAGACATACAAGCAAGTCATAAATAATTCAATACCTTTGACCTTGTTGTTTTATGAATGAGCTTTGTCAATACTTATGATACTGACGTGTGTATAAAACTAAATTTACTCTAAAATTTACTCACAAAAATCGACTACTCACTTAAGATAATGATCCAGTAAGTAACGTGTGATATTTGTACGTAACTTCAACTTCATTTCACTTAAACTGTACTTCATTATGTTGTTCAAGACTGCTATCTAAATAAATCAAATAAAATGTCATATTAGTAACTTTCTCAAACTACTAAAAAAGATTATGTTGCTTAGTAAACTGAATGCTTAAGATTTCAAGTTATTTAGTGCAATCTTTGTATCACTATACTAGCAATATACTTTACTTACCATAGGCCCTATAAAAAAGAAAGAAAATAAATGTTTCCTGAATAATGGTCCATTCTTGCTGACAATTGCTCTAATAATATAAAATATTTCATATTAATCAGATAAGGCTTACTTTAATACTACTAATTATGAATATGAATATGAATATTCATAATTATGAATATTACATACGTTTCTATCTGAGTACCCTTCCTAATCATATATAAGTCACATAAGGTCCTGCCAATCAAAGAAGCTGCTACTACAAAAACCATGCCAAATTCTGGTGACAGCACACCAGGAATACCGATCTTGAGCAATTGTAAAATTCTGCGGAAGAAAACAGCATCGACTTGTGCCTTGGGACTTTTTGGCTTTTGCTGTGAACAGGAAGAACAGTTCTAACTGCTTTTACTATCTACTAGCTATATTAAATGCATTAATACATATGAATCAATGTATTGAAGTTATATCTAATTTTACAATTAGCATAAAGATATGTATAAATGATTAAACCAATAAGACGATCAAGTTATCACACTGTCCAGTAGTATTAGATTAGCATTAGATATTTCTATGCTCAAAGTATGTATATTATTTTCTTGTTCATTGAAAAATTGGCATGTAATAAATTTCCCCATCATATACTAGATATACTTCATTAAATTCATTATAAACTCTTACCTCTTTAATGACATAATAGATGTCATTATTGGTAAGCCACTGGTCTCTATAAATATATTGCTTATTACAATTATGATAAACGCGAGCATGAGTATATATATATGTACGTATAGGTACGTATCTGATGCGCACTCACCTTGACTTCTGCGTTCGTCTTTTATTGCGATATTTCAATATCAAAATAATGAGCGCACCAGCTGTTACTGCACTGCCCAGTGTGCGTCCAGTCGTAAATTTGCTGAGCGCTGGTGCCATCCTAACCTGATCAACGTGCACTCGAGTTGCACACCTCTGGTGCAACGGTCAAACTGTCGCACTCTGGCCCACGAAGCATGAACAAACGTAAAGTCGAAGTTAAATAAAAAACGAAGAGTCAGATAGGAGTGAACAGGTGGTGGTGGTGGTGGTGACGGTGATGGTGGGGGTAATATAATGGTGATAGTTAAAGTAGTAATTATTGATAGTCATCTTATTGCAAAACGAAAAATTGTCCTTATTATCTTTAATTGCTACGGTCGAGATAAATTGAACGTGGAAAAAAATGGCGGTCTTGCTACGATCGAGTTTACTCGATTTGGACTTACAATGTGTAATACCCATTTAATTTAATTTGTTAAAAGCATTAGAATTGAGCGAGCATATAGTGTCATCATTATAAAATATTTCTCTTATCATTATAAAATATTTTATAATTGTAAAAATAACTCAGCAAAGAGGGTCATACTGGTCATTTAATATCTCAGCAGTTAAAGGGTTAAGAAACATGATGTAGCATATTTGATATTAAATGCAATATTAAGTCCGATAAAAGTCATTTACATCTTACATAAGATAGTATTTTGAATCGTTTCAAGAACATATGTGCTTAAATGCAATTATATGTAATAATTATAAATTTATTAACTGTTTAATGCTGTATTTGGGTAAATTGCAATTTGCGTGGCTTATATTGTTAAACCATGATATCATTAATTTCGGAGCAATTCATATTCGCTTCGAGGAAAAATATTAATAATAGTAAATTTCATTAATTTAAATGAAATAAGCATACGCTACGATGAAAAGAACGAAAGAAAAGAGTACATTATTTTTATAATCCTACTGTTATCGTTGATATATGCTATTTGGATATTATTGATCTACGTTGTTTATTGAATAAAAAATAAAGCAAACTTATCGTCAGTGCAGGGATTTGAAGAGAACTAGGTTCGGTCCTGGCGTTAGTGATAATAAGTGACTGGTCATTGGCTAAGGATAAGTGGGAAGTACATGTCATTGAGTGGAAAGGGAAAGAAAATAAAGAGAAATGAACAGATTACATCACTGAATAAGTTGCGACATCCAATAAAATGTACAAATATTTTACAATCACGTGGAACACACGATATTCACGTTATATTCAAAAGGAGATTATATATTTTATAGCTGGTATCTTCTTCGTTGCAGTGACGAGGCAATCATCTTACGTGTGATTTTTTTCTCTGCTAACGATAAAAATGGAAAGTCTAAATAATATTGTAAGTTAATGTTAATAAAAATGTAAATCAAATTCGAATGTATTCAATTATATGACTTCTCCATAATATATGCATATGCCATTTAAAATATTTATAAGCATATAGCGTTTAAAAAGAAGATGCAGAAACTGAAGAAACTTTCGTCAAAATTGTGAGAAAATATAATAAATGTAGTAAGTGTCGGTAAAAAAAACGAAGGTGTAGATCAGCGTTAGGTCATCTCTCTTTTTGTTTCTACACTTTCTATACTTTCCTACCTATTGCTTCTTTTCCTTCTTTTTTTCCTCAATCTAAATATTGAGAGTACTTTTGCTTTTAATATTCATTTTATATGATAATGTGAAAGAAAGTTGAAAACCGAATAAATTTATCTGTGTCTTTCAAATCGGTTATATTAAATATAAATGCGCGATTATTTATCTTCAGATGGATATAGCAAAATTGCGAATGAATAATAGTTATAGACAATAAAGATCCATTGCAACTCTTTTGCTCTTGATAATGTAGAAATTGTAGAGACAGACATAAATCTCAGATAATATAAACCTGAAACTAGCGCATCGTGATAATTGTAGATTACAATTGTCCCCTCGCGCAAATGAAACTACAATGGTTGAATAACGGAGAACGGGTGAAAGTGACGAAATATCGTTGCGCATCACTGAGAGATATGTCGTGCGTTATGCAAATAACGCAATTGTCAGTGCAGGCGATGTAACTAGGAAGCATTGATATAGATTGCATTATACATTATACAATCTCGCCGAGCAAAGGTGATATTTATCAGTTACGTGTGATTTCAGCCAGAGACTTAATTGTCTATATGCATTCACGCAATTTCTTTACTATTCGTCATCGATTACAATCTTTTCACTCTTAACGCGATAAAAAACGCATAAATATTAATATCATCGCAATAAGATTCATATATTTGAGATCATAGAAATATTCTGAGGCTGAATTAGCAAGATTAAAGAAATCTCAATTGTTTAACGTGTAATAAAGATGTATACACCGAACGTCATATATGCCTTAGCATCAAAACAGCAATTGTTCGTGCAATTTGCAATTTTACATGAGATACATAAGATTGAAAACCAGAAAACTTTGGTAAACTATATTTGTATTTATGAACGCTTGAAAGATTCTTGTCTGAAAGCGTGGAATAAATTAGACGTTAAAAAAAAATTAATTAACGTATACACGACGTTTAACGTAAGATAAAATAATCATCGTGAAAGATAAAAGACGATTTATATTAAGCAGTATCGTGCGAGTATATTCGTGTTCTATCAGATCCGAATCGGACATCGCAATAATTTCATTTTAAACGCGAACTTTATCCTGTAACTTCTTTAAGTTATCCTTCCTTAAGTTAATGATGCAACGTACGAAAAGAAATTGCACAAAAATTAGCGCATGCACGATGCAAGATCTCAAATATACTCAATAAAATTTTTCCATCATGAATACGATAATATAAGAAGTTTGGTTTGGTGATGTAAGCAATAATAAGATGGATCGGTTCTATTTTATAAGGTATCGAGATGAAATTACAAGTTTTAAACATAGATTTATTATTCATTTTTCGTGATCCGCACATTCACACAGACTTTTAGGGATTTTTATGTCGTTTCGCGCGATTCATATATTAAGTGCTGTCATTCCTTTTTTCTTTCCCTTCCTATCTCTCTTTTTTTCTCTTTTTGAGCGGCGTTCAGTAAAAATGATCTTATTCAAGCGGTAACAAATGATAATTGATTTGTGCAAATCTAGAGGTATCAAAATATCTTTTATACGTCACAAGGAAAAACGATGACATTACTCTCTTTTTTCTTTTTTTTCCAGTTCTCCTTTAAAGCATCGCACGATTCCTTCATGTTCATTCTCACCCTTCCTCTCTCTCTCTCATCTTCCTTTCACATTCTCTAGTTTTATTTTTCCTTCTTCGTCGTACAGTCGGAAATATTTAAGGCCGTGTTTACTTATTTCGCAACATAGGAAACCACGATGTGTGTGTTTGACCTTGTGTATAACACAGTTCGACAAATAATAACTTTTTCCGAACACCAAAACAAGACTATCTATCTTAATTATTTCTTGTAGTTTTTCGGACGCTGAATCCGATTTTCAAATTGCTCCATCATGTCGCAATCTTGAGAAATTTACATTCAAATTTGCAAAAAAAGACTATTTTCACATATTTCTACATATTATAACTGCGAAATGTGACGTGCTGGAGAAGTTTTATTGCGATAAAAATTAGGCATGTTCTTAAGACTTTCAGCCCTTAAAAAAGATTTTTTGTGTTGGCTATTGTGTTTTATGTGTCGGTTATTAAGATATTCATGGTTAAATATGAGACTATCGCAAAAAAGCTATGAATTAGAACATTGACGATTTATCAAACAGCTTTCAATGATGTTAATTTAAATATAAAACCATATTTTGTGTTTGGTGTTTTCTTTTTTTTTTGTCGAACAGTGTAATCTATCGAACTACTTTTGACTTCCGATCTCTCGCGGTGGCTGTAGAACTTATATAGAGAGCGATCCTAATTTAAAGTAGCACGAACACGATGCGACAGGATACGAATAGATACACTTAATGCCATTGAGAAAGGCGGCACAATTTCGCCGCTCTTTGACCGCGTGCATCTCTCCGGATACCTGGAGTCGCGTTCCGCCTGTCACACTAAGATTTCCATCAGCGGCGAGAGAACGCCGCGAATCGGCCGTAAAGCCGCGTTCCTTATACTCTAGGTACACATAGGTATCGACGATAAATTTTATTTTTACATGTATAAGCTCATTACAATTACAAAAACGTCCTAATCTTGCCCGCGATCGATGTACTGTGCAAATACCCTCTTTATCTTCTCTTTTTCACTATTTCTCTCTTTCTCTCTCTCTCTCTCTCTCTCTCTCTCTCTCTCTTCCTCCCTCTTTTCCTCAATACCTGTTTTCTCTTGTCGCTTAAATACTACCAAATCTTATCTTGTTTTTTTCTTTGACTAGTACGCAATAATCCTATGCATAAATTAGACGCGTGTGTTTTAATATTATAACGACGAGGCGTCACACCATAATTCATGTCGCGATGCAATATTGAAACCAGTTTTTTAGTACTTTTTTCATCACACAACCGTTTGGAAAATTATATAGTTTGGGACAGTAGTAAATATTCACGATACGTAGACGCCGGATTTTGATTCAACAGAGACGAAACGAAATAATGCCCGAGCCGCATTTTTGCGTTTCTATTTTGTCTTTAGAAAAAAAAATCTTTTAACACTTAACCGACGGGACGCGTAAAACTCTCTTACTCGGACAGTACATGTAATTTTCCTTTATGGAAATTTTATACACTACTAGAAAAATATAAGAAAAAAAAAAGTTGAAAGAAATAAGAAAATTTATGCTCAGTTTTCTAGTCATACATGTCCACACATACACAGGCGGAGCTATTTTTGTCCCTTATATTTTTATTATTCATGTATGTATTCTGCCACGTGCGACTTAAACCAAGTTTTGAAGTCTCAGTAATTCCTTCTTTCTACGTGCAGTTGATTTCACTTATTTGATGACCAATAACACGTATAATGTCAATTACGAACAATAATTTATATGCAAACATCTTTTTATTATTATCTTTTACTTAAAGAAACACTTGACCAATTAGCTGGCATTTAAAAGAAATTTTATCTCTGTTTCTGAAACACCATTAAAATATCTTTCGACATTCTTCTTTCTTTGTTTTTAAATGTCCTAAGATCAAAATATATTTTTAAACTATTTTAATCTACTAATTAGAGTAAATTAATTAGTAATTTTTAAATCTTACAACAACAAATTACTCGTATTATTTTCAGAAATTTTTATATATTTGATGTAGCTATTACTATTTTATCTTCATAAAATATAAAATACTTCCTCATGTTTATACTTATAAGAGGCGGCGTACTTCGACATTTAATTAAGTAATTCAATAAAAGCGTCTTAATTTTTGTTCAGCTGCCCGCTACAGGTCAAAGTTACAGCATATTAACGCACGTCGGTCAAGTGTTAATGATAACTGCAAGTAGATGAATGACTGACTATTGCTTTGCTTTAACATTCACAATATTGCGCTAGATCTTTTTCTACAAATGCGTAAGGTAATATAATAAAAAACGGGTATATGCAATGTTACGCAATACTGGTCGCTCGGTCTCGATGAAGAGTTCTTCATGGTCGCTTGTATAATTAGGATATATGATTCGGTGTGTAGAAATGTTCGCGTTCCATCCTCTGTATAAAATAAAAGGCACCAAGTATTTTTTTGTTTTTTGCCAAACGTACAGTTTGCTTATAGGAGAGTGTGCAGCTTCGCCGAGGATTTAGTAAAGTGCGAGCGAATATTTAACTTCTTAATAGGAATATATAAATGTATGTTACATCATTGTTGCATATAACAACGTTCATTATAATTCAGCAACTTCATTAAGTGACTCTGGACTTCTATTGTTATCAACGGTAATATATTTTCGCCTGTATTCTTTCGTCGAATTGTAATTTTCACTCAAGCAGGAGTAGTAAGCACAGCTGCAAAATTTTTTTATACTTCACAATGTGTGGAGCGTATGATACTAGTTCAGCGTCCTTATAATGCTTTTATATCGTAAAAAATAAATGTTACGTTGGACTACACGATGGATTTTCGATTTTTAACAAGCGATTTCGTTACTTATACACATTTCTTTTCCTGAATTTCATACGTATGTATATTTTGTTTCTCTAACAAATTAGTAAGAAGTTGGATAAATGGAAATAATTTGCGAAAGAGTATAAAAATTTGCTCTGGTTAATCTTGCTATGCAGAAGTTACAGAAATAAATCGGTAAGCGAGGTAAGCTATACAATGGTGCACTTTGGTTTCGTTGAAACTGTGAGCTTTTATACGCTCCTACTTTTTGTAAGAAATATGAAAATATGTCTCACGTACATATACATTAATAAAGATTTTGTCTATATAATGTAAGGACTTTTTTACGACTTGCGTAACTCGTATCTACGGAAATATAATTTTGTATAAACATATATAATAGATTAATATAAAACATTAAAACTTAAAAGAATTATCATGAATAAATGGACGTGATAAATTACTATTGTACTTTGGTACTACGATATAAATAATCAATCGATCGAGAAATTATACATATCCATTTGATTATAACATCTTTTTAATGTTCGATGTTCAAAAAGCTGCTCCTTGAACGCATATGTATACATATAGAATAATTTATTTATAAATAGACTTTGATGAAACAAGAAAAAGAATCGATCTAGCTTTACACATGAACAAACAAAAATTTGTGTAACAAACGAAAGTTTGTACACAATATCCGCGTAATATAAATGCGAAAACAAATATTATGTCACGTTAAATGCTTTTTAGGTACGTTCGAGAAGATGCTATTTAGCGCTACAGATTGTTCGTAGAGTTTAGATGGTAACATTAATAACAAATGTTATCTTGATGACACTGATAGCGTTACTTATGCGCTGTTAACGCTATTCCTTCCAAAATGGTGTTGAGTAGCGTTAGAGTTTGTAAGATCCGTAAACGCCCAAAACGCGAATGTGAATTATATAACTTTTGCTGCACATGATTGTCAAAATGATACCGAGATACATCATATTCTTTTTACTATTAATGTACGTAATGAATACAACTGCGTTTAAATAAACCTTCGGAATGTTTCATTTAAAGTTGTTTAAAATTAGAGAGGTTGTTTAAACTCTAAATTGAAGAGATCGTTTAAATTGCAGAAACAACGCAACGCTACAATGCTAACATTATGCTGTTACTGCTCCTGGAACTCGCTATCGCGTTATTTTTTCATAAACAATTTATACAATTGTAGTTGTTGCGTTGATAGCGCTAATAGCGTTTCCCCGAACATATCCTGTTATCAAGTCTAAAAAAAGAAAAAAAAACGCAACATATATGAAACTCGCGACGCATTGGACTTACACATCTAGTACCTTTACAATATAAAAAAGTTATTTATAAAGCGCCTATTGAATATGAAACATATATCGACACATATTTTCATTGCAGACAGATCATCAACCGATTAAAAAACGTCGAGCATATAGTTGTAAACACTCTGCCCATCATATGCACTTTGCGGTTTTTCCTTCAACTTCAACAATCATGTATACATTTATCCGCTACGTAGCTAACATATGTACATTCAAGGTAAAGACGCATACTGTATATTCTATCAGTAAATTAAATCGATTTTCACGTGCTTGCGTCTCTCTCTCTCTCTCTCTCTCTCTCTCTCTCTCTCTCTCTCTCTCTCTCTCTCTCTCCTCCACTTTCTTTCTTTTTTCTTTCTTCTCAATAGTATTTTTGTACTATCCGTTTAATTATACTGAGAGAATAGTAGCGGACTGCAATAAAATAGTTTTCAATAGAGCCATCATACACAGAGCTCGATGTTTAATCGATAGATTATCTTAAAAAATATGAATGTCGAGTATATGTAAACTTTAAAAGTTTCTATTTATCATTACGGCAATCTAATCTTCCTCTATTCTGGTAGGAATACTTTTGACATGTACCGTCGATAGGGCGGATTTTTGCAATTGGTTGCGTACGCGAATTTGTGCAAACCGGGATTCGCACCGGAATGCTAGGTAAACGTTTCACAATGTTTTGCACGATACTCATGTATTCCTTTGCACAAACTGTTGCTCACTTTTAAGCCCACTCAATGTAGTTCTCTTCTTCATATATTAAGCAGATATGTACGCATTTTAATGCGTATTTAACATTAAACTGTATTCACCATTTTATATTTTAGACATAAAAGTAACAATTAAAATAAAAGTACAAAAACTAGCAAATTATACAATAAGAAATTTTAGCAAGTTGTCTATTCTCTTAATATATCTTGATAATAAGTTCCAGTGTTGTTGTTAAAATCATGTAAATTAATAGATTTATTTTATGATAAAATAAAAGTCATATAGTTGACTAATCGAAGGTACAAACAAAGGTACAATTTCCTAATGAGTTTTGTAACGCATACCGTAACCAAAAGAAATTTGTTCTTTAGGAATTTTCAAGAGATATATTTCTTAGATTAGATACGTAATGCATTGCGTATGAAATACATCATCGCAATAACAAACAAATGCTGCAATCTTTAATCGGTCAATTGTATCAATAAGTGCAAAGTCAAGCGAAATAAACGAAGAAATAACAGAAACAATGACCGAGTGGGCTTCGTACGTGTTCCAGTGAGGGCATGACAATTCATGGTCCCATATACTTTTTTTTTACTTTTTTCCCAAAGATGTTTCGACTAGATCTGATACACTAACGTACTAAACATCGTGCCAGCGATACCTTTAACTTGCGCCAATATATAAATTGATTCACACACATCAGTGACGTATCAGAGATCGATTTTTGTTCAATAACAAATAAACAAAAAATATTGTTGCCATAATAATAAATTGACATGTTTTGACATGTCAGGCACCATATATTTTGCATCAGTGTTGTTATGGTGCAGGAAAAATCGTCATTGATGCATATGAAACAACCTTTACGAGACAAGGCTTCGCGGAGTATACATAATTCTATATCTCATATCACACAGACTTACTTAAAATTGTATACATTGTGTGCAAAAATCCTTTCTCTTTTTTCTCGCTCGCTCGTCTTTTCTCTCTCTCTCTCTCTCTCTCTCTCTCTCTCTCTCTCTCTCTCTCTCTCTCTCTCTCTCTCTCTCTCTCTCTCTCTCTCTCTCTCTCTCTCTCTCTCTCTCTCTTGTAAGTCATAGTACAATTTGACGTTATACAAAATAATAATTTACGAGACTAGTGTGTTCTCCTCAATAATAGGCCTGCATGCTTTCGTGCTAGTATCTCGTTCTCATGCGCTACTGCATTACTCATGAACTAAAGGGCGTAGGCACGCAGTTAGCTTAGCTTCATACGTTTGGTTTCGTTAGATGCATCTGAAATATAATTTCGTAATATAAGTTGAACGAAATCAACTATGTCACTTCGATATACAGAGTTTTACTAAAAAACTGTACAATCTGAAGTCAATATTTACACACAAAATTTAAAAATTAAAAATTAAGAGATAAAAATATAACTGTGCATATAATTAATCAAGTTTGAATTGTATAATATGACAAATTTACCTCCATTAGATATTGCTCCAAAGCTATTCACTAAAGAGCAATTTTGACTTTTCTGAAAAAAAAAAAAATGATTGTTTTATAGAAGACTAGATTAATCTTGCAATATGTAAATAAATTTAACACAGAAAGAAAAATTTCGTCAAACTTTCGAAAATAATTCTAGGGGAAGATGCCTCTGTAATTTACATAAAAAATATTAAGAAAAAATATTCATTAAAATATACTAACGTCTCCCATTACAGCTATTGGCGTAGTCCCAGTTGCAATTGCTACTTGATGCTCTATTAAATAAAACATGTATTCATCATAAAGTAATCTGATGAGATGAAAAGACCCAAAACTTGCAGCGCTCCTTAAAGTAAGGTCCCGGATAACCATCGAACTGCAAAATATACAAGTTTAATTTGAGTGAAAATAAAAATATTTAATTACCGACGTGACAAAAAGTATAAATATATACCTATAAAATGACCACTTAAGCAGAAATTGACGTGCAGCTTTAGCAAACGTTGGCTTCTCCTCAAATGGTTTCAGTACTTGTGTTACGACCCCTTTTAACCAGATTGCCCAATCCTCCAAAGAATTCTGTTGTTGTAACGTTACTTTAAAGTCCGCTTCCAGACGTTGTACCATTCCATAATCACATTGGCATACCCAGGATGCCTGAAGAAGCAGTCACATATGTATGGTAAACACTTCTCTACGTATAAAATTAATCTGGCTTATTCAAGATAGAAAACTTTAAATATAATTAATTTGAAGTCAGAAAAAGCGTTTTCGAGAACTATTGTAAGATATCAACCTACTTGTTCTTGTACGTTATGAAAATCAACACGATTCAGATCAGCTAACATTTGATTGATTTGACTAGAATTTTGGAGCACGGCTCGAGCGGCTTGCGCTAAATGATTTAATGACGTATAGCGCCTTAAAGTTTGAGCAAAAGCTGACACTGCGGTTAACTATAACAAATATAATAATAAATTATTTGTATGTTATATAGTTTATTAGTACGTATAATCGTGTATATTATTATTACGAATACGTTTCAATAAAAAAAAATGTATACTCTAAATAATACCTTAATCTGTGTCATCTCCTCGGGACAGTCTGCCATTGCTGACTGTAACCAAGATTCTAATCCTTTCGCAAAGTTTCGGATGGACTGCGTCAACGAACCTTGTTAAGACAAAGAATCATTTAATACATATATCTTAGTCCACATAATAACGGGTTTTATAATAACGTACTTGGTATCGGTCGCAATACATTAGGCATTAATACTTCGACTAGATTTTGATAGAACGTATAGTCCACTTTTTTGATAAAATCTTGCACTCCTGTACATTTGCACATCTGATATAGTTTGGTTCTGAAAGATGCGAATTGTTGTTCATTAAATGCATTCAAATTCCATAATCACATAAATCATTTAACAATAAATCTTACTTTGATAAATATTTCTCCTCTTCACATTCATCACCGTTATTATTGTCCTGGCTGCGCCAAAATTCTCTCCAGAGACTTTCTACGGTGGCGAACTCAAAATTTAATACTGCGTCTAAGAACGCTTCGCAGTGTTCTCTATATATGCTGCGGAACGTATCAATGTCTTCTAGCGTGCAATCTTCAGGTAAGGACGAATCGTGGCCAATAAAGATTTCCGGAAAATCAGGTATAGCACCACTCGCTTCACCCAGATATTGATGATACTGCGGTGGAGAGGAATTAGAGGAGATATTCGTACTCGTGTGCGTGTTATTCTCGTAGGATGATTCTTGCTTCTGATTGACAAATTTAAATCGTTTGGCTTGAGAGTTCGCGCTCTGCGGTTGTCTCGATGTGCCATCCTCATTCAACATGACTAGAGGTGAGCTTGGTTTGACACGAATTCCATAATAGTGATACTTCGAATTTCCTCTGCAATCGAGATAACGAGGTAACAAATGATATTACAAACGGATTATATTGCAGCATTTGCCAAATTGTCATAGAGCTTCTTACCTCGTTCCCAAACGTCTCGTTCTTAAACCCAAAAATACCGAACGTATTAATTTTCCAAAACTGGCTGCATTTACAGGATCCAATTTATTTTCGGAGCAATGACGTAAATAGTGATTGTAAAGAGTCGATCTTGGAAGGGATACACCATCGGCAGTTTCATAATTTTCCAGTAACCAATGTACCTATTTAAAACAATGCATGTACGATTAGTTCACCTTATAAATATACATTTGAGAATGTGCATAAAAAAAATCGATCTGAATAGTTTATTGAATATTCGGATAGAAAACATAGATATGAAAAGTTATATTATTAAAAAAAAAAAAAATAAATCGAAATTGCGCTCTTGAAATTATACTAGTTAACAATAATTATTATTTCTCGCTAGAAGTTCCAAAAAGAAAGAAAATAATGCTAATTTTATTTCCAAAAATTAAAACTATATACAACGATATGTACTAGAGCGGTATCTTCAAAGCGATGATTAATGGTAAACATGCCAGAAAATAAAAACGATGCTGATTAGTACGCCAGAAAAGCTAAGGAATCAATCTTTGGCTTACGGTGGCCTGGGAGACTCTAGTGGCATGCGTCATGTTTGCAGCCGCGGCTGCTGCTTCTTCCACGGTGACAGTGGCACCTCCTGAATTACCGCTGATCAAGTACGTCCCTCCACCCCCGCTAACCACAGTCTCCTATCAAACAACCCAATATACCGATACCACGTTAACCCCCCGAATTAAGAGAACGATGTTACCTTTCTTCGAGTACATTCATAATTTTGTACGCAACGAATTGTACTATAACAGGTATTAATATTATAACGAATTTACAATAAATATTAGAACACTTACTTATATATGTACATAGTCAAGTCGAAATTCACACTACATTCACGTCCTAAATTATCTTTTTCGAACACTACGTAAAAAATTGTTATTTTTTACTTGTTTCTTCATGAGAAAATACTTCGTCATTGACTTCTATCATCATTTACTAACATCTCGTTGTATAACATAAGTATTTGCAAACTTCCCTTTTGACCAGAATGTACAGACCAAGTTGTAATAATACACACCGTTACTTCTATGAAAATACGTATAACAAAATCGGATGCGCGAATTTTTCTGCCCCATATAATCATGCAGAGCACAGATCCCCATGCCTGCAGAGATAAGGCATAAATACATTTCGTATCGCGTTAATCATTCAATGACCGAGACTAGTTTACAGCTTCTAAAAGGTGAAAGCAGCCTGAGGAGGAAATCGTGAGACATGCAATCTTACCGCTGTTTCCGTTTGCGGGCTAGCGCGCGCCGCTGCTGCTGACATGAGAGCATGAGTAGTCGGGTCGCCATCCACCACACTCTGTTGGATCAAGTATGTGCCATTGCCTTGTGATAATAGTTGCCCGGTAGTCGAGTTCGAGCCCTGTCCTGTGACCTTAAATAATTCATGATGCAATTTAAAAAATGACAGTTATTGTTAAATGATGGTAGGAAATTCTTCAAGTTAGAAAATTCAGCGTAATAAAAACATTTGTTACGAATAAAGATACTTACAATAGCAAATCGTCTCTAATTGTCTATATTATTTTAATAGATTTGCATCTAAAGAGCTTTCTGACAATTATAATTCTTGTGTACCAAACTTAATAATTACCTGCGCATACGTTACTGGTGTTGTCGCTGGTGTATAGTACTGACTTGAAGCTGGAGTATACATCGCTCCTGCCTCGCCGACAGTATAAACAGGATATGTCCTGCAAAGTGTTAAGCGTTACGTGATTATCACGAAGCGTCTTGCGACTCACGGATGACGTGGACAGGATGAACAAGCGACACCTTGATACTTACATCTGGCCATTCGCCGGTATATATGTGGAACCGTCCCCTTCGACATACTGAACATAGGTTGGATGAGAGACTGATTCGGACCCCACCGCCTCCGCGTCACCAGACACTAGAACAAAGAAAATGTAGTTGAGAATATTTGGATATATATATACATGTATCATCTTTATCGCACGTAAAGCTCGTACAGGTACGATATATTTTGCTAACCGTCGTAAATGTAATTTTTGAAATGTTCACATACATGAAAAATCGATAAAAATACGTTTAGTATTGCACTTGAATCAAACGCTTGACGGCGACTTTTTGTAAATGATTGAAAATTACAAATTAGCGAATTCCAAATTACGTTTACCTTTAAGGGGCGATATATATTTATATATAGATGAAATAGAAAAATACCAAATAATATTGATAAATAAAAATGAAATTTTCTTCAGTAATCTCTTAATTCTATATGAATTGTGTGGAAGATGTGTGGATGTACAGATTAAAAAGAGCATGCCGTGTTTATATTCTGCCCTCACCTACAGCCGTTGTGAGGGATGCGTAGGATGGTGAATCACTGGTGCCTAGTGTAGTCAGAGAGTAGAAGTACAGAGGTGCATGTTTTTCAGCAGCATGGAAAGGGTTAAATCTCTACTCAAACACTATAATTTTTTCAACTGATCCTCATACTCGTCGCAAATTATAAATTTATTTACAGATAGATTTTATACTCAACATTAACCTTCATATGTGTATATACAACTAGATGTCTACAATTTAACGTGCAATTATTTTCGACTTTGTGATTATAATTGTGCACATTGTGATAAGATAAAATAAGGATTAATTTCTAAGTATACTTAACATTACTACTGATAATGTATGTATTTAATTATTACCTGTAACTGTGATGTAATGTGGGGAGCCACTAACAATAGTTCCAGCTGATGTAGAAGCAGCGTCGGAATCCACTAATGTATGTTGACCTGAGTGCGTGGTATTGACAACTACCTGTGCTGTAACATGTGCTGATGTACCTGTCGAGCCGTTGGAAGAATCTGCAGCTGTTTCAAGTGAGTCCTGGACCAATAACTAAATTATTATTTATAGTATGCGTGTTCTTATGGCCCACGAATAATTTTCATAATATATATTAAATACTATGCCTCTTATGTACATGTATATATATATATATATATCATTGATAATTATATATGCAGTATGGAGAATCGGCTTCGATTTTCTTGCACCATTGTGTGTGTTACTGTTATCAGTTGTTAAGAGCAGATGGCTTGAATGTGTTATCAGATTTGATATGTAACACTTATAGAGGTGCACTATAAACTGATACTATAGTATCTAGTAAAAACTATATATATATATATACACACTGAGTTATTTTTATATTAATTTATTCTTTATATGTCATGTTATTGTGTATATCCCATAATAGTAATGATAGAAAAAAAAAGTGGCAAGTGTATTTTACAAAATAAGATTAATATTCTTACAATTTAAAAAAAAATAATAAGTTTACTTTATATATTAAAATGGAGAGGCAAATAATACTTCTAAAATTATTTTAAAATATATATAACAAACCTGGATAGGTTGTAGATTGTTTGGACTGGAAGGATCAGGACTTGTTACAACAGTAATAAGTTGCTGGCCTCTGGCTGACTGAGTTTGTGCTCCACTGCCACCACCACTGGAACTGGAAGTAGTCACGACAACCACGCTTGGCTTAGATTCCACCCCTACTGGTGTGGAGCTACCCCCACTGTTGTTAGCTCCGGTGGATGCTGCGAGGGCATACTGGGCTCCAGTCGTAGTCATGGCAATCACTCCTTCACCTCTCTCTGCACCCACTGAGTCACCACCACCGCTGCTACCTCCCCGCTTCTGAAGAGACGAGTCTATAACAGAGATATACACATACACCACCTCACTAAATATCAATAACATCCACCACTAGACCCAGCGGTGGGATCTTTAAGAATAATATGCCTCCGCAATCCTATTTTAATATCTGCTCGTCAGGAGAAAGATATTCCTAGTAATTATAAAACTAGGTAGTATCAAATATTTAGTAAGTAAAAAGATTTAAGAAACTCATATATATACATGAATTTACTGTTAAACAAAAGTTTATAAATATTTTAATAAAGTAAAATATGTTACCTCTAATATTATCCATAATGTAAAATATACTGTTCTAAAAAACAACTTCTATTGCACTACAGAAGTTTGCATTAATTTCATCAATTTTTGAAATTCTTTATGTTAAACTAGTTAACAGATTTGAGTAACACTATTATGTATTATTATCAGCAATTTTCAACAAATTTTATTCACCATAAAAACTCAATCACAGTCATAAAATTGTCGATAAAACGATTCTCCATTCCAGAGCAAAAGACATCAATACGTTACAATTCTTGAAAACAAAATTTTCGTCTGTAGGAAAGAAACATTTCGTCTATCTTAGATATTTCTACAAACGAACTTTTAAGAAATTATACATAAGAGAACGAAACGTATATACATCGGCGAAATTCAGCACAAATAACGAACAAAATCCCACCCATGTTCTGTGCGCCATCCTAACCTATATCAGGAGTGAGCCCGCAATAACGTACTTTCTCGCAGGTGTGGCGTATTCAATAATCCGCAGATCAAAGGGAAGCCCCGGCGAAGTCGCGATACGAATAATACACGTCACTGCCATTATTACGCGCGTGTGTCATGGTGTATTGGCAGCGTGTACCTGTTGGGGTGGCAGGTACCAAACACAATGTATCAAGGGGAAGAAATCAGCTAGGAGGGTAAGAGGGGTGAGGAGGTAAGCACCCCCAAACGCGCGCTATACACGCGTGACCGAGCCCGCTTTAAGCTAGGATTCGCTTTAAGAGGGTTGCACATATCAATGAAAGTAGTTCGGATCGCGAAAGCAATTAGAGAGCATTATCCTGAGCACAGCACCCTGACTCGTTTTACTCAGGGTGAAACGGGAACCAATAAACAATATACATTTCCACATGAGCAGGTTCTGTGGAAGGAAAATGGCTTGTATGTCTCTCCATCTGTTACACAATATTTTATACAAATTTTATAATAAGATGGATGTGAATATATAAAATATATAACTTAGTACTATTTTACCCAAGACTTACAGTATGATATAATACATAGGAGTCTGTTATATTTTGATGAGGAAATCATAACAGTGTAAGTTGATATTACTGAGCAGGAGGGTGCATAACAAGATCTCTGATGTTTTTTGTTTTGATATCTTAGGTGATTAATATAGAACTTAGAAAAGAGAGAGATATATGCTAATATTACATAAACATACTCTTTGTACTGATATAACTAAAAGCTATTCATGATGCAAATAAAATTTCACTAAAGACATATTTTATTGCTGCAAAAATACTTATATCATGTATACATGATATATCTTCCACTTTTTTCATCTGCTACATATTGATATTTCTTTAGATATGTTTAATATTATATTTAAAGATGTATGTATATATATATATATATATATCTTTACATTTACTGCAAATGCAACTGGCAGACTGATATGATAGTCCATGTGTTTGTTACCTACCTACACATAATACCATAAACCTGCACCTGGCCTCTGTCTGTTATGCATGACTGATGGGGAAAAACTGTTCTTTACTCCTTTCTATGTACATAATTTACAAATGTGTCTTTCACAGGATTGGTATATTTAATTTTTCTACATAAATTGACCAAAAAATTTACATAAATTCATTGTACAAAATTATTTTTCCATACATTAATACTTCTCTTTTTTTTCCAATAATCTATGGAAATAATGCACCTGGAGCCAGATAAAGTCAGTGTGAGAACTTATGCAGATGTTGAAAAGCAAAACGACAGAGATAAGACAGATAGCATGAAATCAAATAACAAATATCAATGAAAAAAAAATTATATCAAAGTATGAATCATCAAATAATTAAATATAAGTCTGATACAATTTATAATAAATATATGCAAGCATATTTATATGTAGGTATTATTCTCTGTACTCATTCAAACATGAATCATTCTTGAAATAAATCGAGAAAACAAAGGCTGCTGTAAGAATATATTTATCTCAGCTTAAGGATGTTAGTTGCATGGCTTATAGCCAGAAAATTGTATTCATGTAACTGGTAAATCCATTTTAATTGAAAATCCCTATAACTTTCCTTTATTAGAAGATACCCCATAGGAGATTCAGAATAATAGAATCATCAATGCGTTACAAATAAGAGGGTTCTATAGAGCAAGAGACCTGCAAAGGTCCTTACTCTATTAGACTGTTCTGTTATAATGTCTAGGTTTAATCAACATCTATTATATAAATTGCAATCATTTATTGCAAAATTACATAGCTTGAAATGTAGCTTTGCAAAGATATTGCTGTTTCAGCCTTTACAGATAGGACTAATATAATTTAAATAAATCAAATCTCTTAAAATTCTATATATATATATATATATAACATGTGTGTATATATATATATATATAACCTTTCTTAAAAAATATTTGTTACTTTTATTACAGATCTAATCTCGTTAAATAATCTACATCATCCTGATGATCATTTTTCCATTTTCAATGTTCACTTAAAAAATTTGAACTCTCAACAAAGACAATCCTCAAGTCCTAGGAACCTGCATCAGTGCATATCCTGCTTTATAAGGAAGTTCTATAACTGCCCACAGAGACGCAACCGTCTCAACTGTCAAGAGTCTGTTGGATATCTGGTGGAGACGTTTCCGTCTTCCTGATCGGCCACGGGAACAAACGGTCGAACGCATCATATATTCGCTTTGCTTTTAGCTGGTCCGGGTTTTCTCTCACTCACCTGTCTTCATGAATGGCGTTTGCTCGAACGCAACGGCGCCCGGGCGCACTTGCGCGGCTGAACGACGTGTGCCCCCGTCGTTGTCGTTGTCGTTATCGTCGTCGTCGTCGTTGTCGTCGTCGTCGCCGTCGTCGCCGTCGTCGTCGTCGTCAAGCGGTCCCGCTGTCTCTTTCTTTCTCCTTCTCTCTCTATTTCCCGTTGGTCTGGAAGGCGGGTAGCGACGGCCTTCACAGCCCTGTCACCCAGGAAACCGCAGTCGACTCGCAGGATTTGCCGGCACACTGACACCGGCACAGGGCGCGAAAAGTGGAACGACGACACACTCCGACGAACCTCTATACTTTGTTGTGGTGGACGGCTGGTCGGAGTGTTGCTTGTAGTCTGCTGCTACGGTCGCCTTGGCTACGGCATCACTGACCGCGTCGCGGTCAGCACTGTATGCGACTCGCGCGGCGCCACGATCTTTCATTTACTTCTGCTGCTATCTTCAAGTCGAATTACATTCATCTGATCATATTTCTATATAGTACTCTTTCGTTAGTCTTCTCTACTCCTAATAAATAGCTCAATTAAATCAAAGTAAAAATGTGTTTGCTGTAATATCTAATTAACATGATAATATGTGCATTTCCCAAATAGCACAAGACATTCCAAACATGTCTAAAATAGAAAGTGTTCCAAGTTGCCTCGAGCACATCTAGGATAACTCTAGAGCATTTTATGCTACATGAATTACGTCGATATATTTATAAGTATATAAATTTTAAAATATGTAAAAAGATGGTACTTACACTGTTGTTTATGATGCAGTGTTCATACAGGTCGTTATAAAATCTGCTTTGAACGATATGCTGTCTAGAATGTTTCTTTTATTAATCCTTGAGATATCTGAAACAACGCCCGAGTAATAAGTTTCTGCAATTTAAAATAGGCTCCTGTAAAAATCTTTCAGTCTCTAACCTTGGATATACATTTCAAAATTCGCGCCATAGAAAAGTGCTCCGAACCAAATTTTCATCATTCGGGAACGAAATCACGATAAAGCACGTCAACGTTGAGTGTTTCTGTTCCACGTCATCACGATCGAAGGGGATAATTAGTCGATAATGTGTCAATTTCTTTTCCGGTCGTTACTAATATCGGTGGAAAGCGCCTGTCATAATGCGGCTGTTTGGCGCCATATATGGCGCGCGCAATGAAGCAATGCGCGCGCACACAGCTGCGCCAGTAGCGCAATTAGACACATGCGCTTTTTAGCTCGCTCCTTATTTCCAGTTTTCAATTACTTTAAAAATTTTATCTTTTGCGCATAATTGTGCACAATATACAATCAAAGGAAGAAAATATATACAGAAAACATAACGTAACGCATCTTCTTCCATCGTTTATATATCCTCCTGCTCAAATTGTGGATACTATACATATTTCTTATGAAAAATATATTAGGGCAAAAAATTATTTTCATCGATCAATGGCTTGTCTAGAATTCGATAATTACTGGTTTAACAGAAAATATAGACTTAAAGTTAAGATCCGGCGATTTTAATTTTAATTAGAAATAGTATAGTTTTTTTGTGAATAACGAAACTAAATTAATGTTAATGATTATAATACTTCTTATCAATTATTTACATATGTATGTATATGTGTGTTAACCATAAAAGAAATTATTAATGATTGAGCTAACGTTTACGGTATAAAAATAATCGCTTACGTAAGAGAATGCGATTCCTGAATATACAGCTGGACATGTCCAACCAATATTCATTGGCCATCGCAGTGAATGGAGTTCTTGTAAGATGCAAAGACTAGCAATCGTTGGGATTTCCTCGTACGAAGCTGCTCCTTATTGTCGGTATTTTCGAATACTTTTGAATTCCCGTATTCGCGGGCAATTCTATAGTTGGTTTCCAGAGATACGGTTTCCACGGGATATCCGCAAATATTTGCCGAGACCCGCGTGAACGGTCCTCGTTTCATCGTTATCGGTGAAAACAATTGCCGAATACTGGTGATTTTCACATGTTATGTTATCAGCCATTATCGTATGCATAAGTCGCATATCGAATTGGTACAAATCAATTACATTCACGAAAGTAATACCTGTGTATATAGATACCCGCAACAATCGCTTATATTGAGGGCCGTGATATTAATGAATCGTTATTTTTAATATACATGTTACACGTACTTCATCTGAGAGATGAAGTGGGTCAATCAGAGTCATGTACTACGAGAAGTTGGCACAGCATTTTGAATCAATGATCGATGTACGCCATCACGCCAACAGGGGCGCATTTAGGCATTCATGGGCCCCGAATTTAAGTGGATTCAGAAGCCTTCTAACTGCAGGACGAAAAGTATATAATTTTTATTGCTCAATTTTGGGATCAAGAGATACAGAAAATGATATATGACCGACATGTGCATCAGTGATTATAAAAATGTAACTATCGGCGTAAAGTTCTTTGTACGAAAGATATACAGAGTATACAAAAAATATAAAATTTTGACAAGGAATAACCGTGCAGTAATCCGTCATTGTTCGTGCAGAACTTGCGCATGGTTACCGTGGTGCTGCGAAGGCGGCTGGCGTTATCAAGTGTGTTGTCCAACTGTCAAAAAGATGATGACTTCTACGGAAACGTCGGAAGTAGAGAACCTGAGTGAGAAAAATGCTGAGGATTCGGCGATTCTGGAAGTGAGCTCGATGGCGGTGGGCGGAATCGTGAAACAGGAGAGTCGCGACGTCGATTTCCTATCTAACTGCAGCACCTCCATCGAGGGATCCGTGGTACGAACATAACCTGAGATACCTTATGACAGTTCCATACATCAATGCCCTATTTATGTTAATTAATATTACCATTGATGTAACCGCTCAATTGAAATTGCACATAGTATAAAAAATTTTTAATACACAATCGAAATCTGTATAATTATATCTTATATATCTGTATAATTTTAGTAATATCCATATCACAAGTGTTAAGCAGAAAAATATATATATGTTAAATAAGAAACATATATGTCACGAAACTTTTACTATCTTGCAGATTGCATCTCCTTCTATCGATAGTTTCTCTACTCTACCAGATCAGGAGATATCAGACTTTCAAACGGACTCTCGAGACTTGCAAGTGAAAGTAGACAATCCACAGAAACATCTAGAAACTTTAGAAACTTATATTACATTCCGCATAACAACCAGAGTAAGTGTGTAACTATACTATTAAAATAATCTCAATCATTTAAGTTTTTAATATTAGAGCATATTACAATAATATCAATTAAATTATTCCAGACTACGCGTCCAGAATTTGAAGAAGGAGAGTATATAGTCCGCAGACGTTATAATGATTTCATTTGGCTTCGTCAAAAGTTGGTAGATACTTATCCAACACATATTATACCAGTAAGTCTTTAGTACATGTTTAAACACAAATTACAGTGTTAATTATTGCACACAAATGACAAATTATTTATAATAGAAAAATCATCAGGTTGTTTACAAATTTTGATGTTTGTTGCAGCCAATGCCAGGCAAGCATACACTGCTTGCTCAGCTAGATCGCTATTCCAAAGAATTTGTTATAGCTCGTATGAAACTTCTCCATATATTTTTAAACAGAGTGGTGAATCATCCTATTCTCAGTTGTGACAAAAGTTTGCATATCTTTCTCACAACTAAACCTGCTGTAAGTATAACATTATTAAAGTATAACACTATATTATATCAGTTTTACTTAAATCAATATCTAAATATAGGAATTTCTCGTTCATCGCAAAAATCGTGGAAACGTGCTTGTCAAAATGACTGATTCCTTGCAAAACATAGCAAGTACATATACAATGAAACAACGTCATTTGGAGTTCGAACAAATTCGAGATTATTGTACAGCACTGAGTGAAAAATTGTCGACTATAGATAAGATTAATCATCGCATACACAAAGAGAGACAAGGTTTATATAAAAACTACATAAAGATACATTGTAACTATAGTAAGATATAATTTCTAGTTGATTCTCATATTGTATATATAATGTTATTTAGATTATTTATTGGAGCTTCATCAGCTATATCCTATATTTACACTATGGGCAACTTCAGAACCAGAACTTGCGCCAATTTTATTGGCGATCGCTAAAGCGGTAGATTCGAATGCATTGGCACATCAGAAACTTTTAGAGAATGTTCCTAACGACGAACGCGAATATGTTTCGTATATAGAAGCAGTTAAGAGTGCTCTATCTCGTCGCGATTCTATGCAGATTGAATATGAAATAACCGTCGACGAATTAGCGAAAAGAAGATTAGAAAAAGATCAGGTATTGTTTTAGCATATATTTTCTTGTTCGTTAAAATATCCTTAGGTTCAAAAAAATAATATATTCATAAACGTCTTAATAGTAAATTAATAATGAAAATATTTGATAATAAAAAGACAGTTTTTTATAAAATATCAAAATATATTTTTATTATATAAGAAATCAAAAAGTATTGATTATATATAAAGTAGAGAATATTATAAAAAAATTCTTATTAGTAAAAAGATGATAAGTTTGTACAATTGAGTTGAGTCGCCTCTTTGCAGTTGGTAGGAGTTACAAGCTGCACGGTACCTTCACAAGGTTGGGGTGGATCTTTGTGGAAGGCAGAATCTCGCGATGAAAAGCTAGAGAGACTAGGTCAGACTATTCCGCGATTAGCTAAGCAAGCGGAGATTTTACAGGATCGCGTAGAATGCGCAAATGAAAATTTGCGAAGTGATTTACAAAGGTGGAACATAGAAAAACAAGTAGATCTGAAGAATATGCTAATCTCAATGACAGACCGACATATCAGACACTATCAGCAGTGCATGAATGCATGGGAAGAAATACTCGCTGGCCTCAAGTTGGATGGAATCGGAGCTGATGCTACCGTAGGACCGCCCGTCAAAATACCAGTTTGAATCTCTTTCCGTCACACCCGAAAGGATATAAGATAAATATTCGTTATGTCTATACAAAGGTAATAACACACCAGTTCGAGAATCTCTATCAAATAATGACACAAAGAGTTTATTGCAATTCAAAGAACAATCTCTACTAGCTTGTCGATATTAATGCTTTGTGAAAACAACTCGTTGTTTCAGCGAGAGTTTCGAGAAAAAAGATTAATTAGTATGCAAATTACAACGATTACATTTAATAATGTAGCCGTTTGTAGATTGCATTTAGCAAAAGTTGCGCATTTATGTATATACATGTTATATGTAGTACACTAATATCAAAACTCTATTCAAAAAGATCCGCCTTTTTATGATACAATACAATCTTGTGATAACGTGAAAAATTAAGTATAATGCAATTTGGCCCTACATATATATATGTGGGGCAAGTTCCATGTACGAGAGAAATTTCTCCGACATGTTCCTTCAGTTTCGATCAGCTATTAATTTTTGGGACCAAGTATCGAGCCGGTTACCACCTCTTCTATTCGTCTCTGCTCTTTCTTACTTTAAACCACGTCACGGTACATTTATTGACAATCAGTTTAGTCATCTATATTATATCTACTAGTTACCAAAGTACAGCAGTTACCATAGTGTAGTAGATAATGAACGTATAGTATACAACGCTGGTAAACTTTACAAATCGGAGCTAAATGCTTGCGAGCTTCGTTGTATCGTTAATTAGTACCTTTATAGTCTATGTCTCTAAGTTACCATCAAGTCGCACGCTGCACTGGTCGATCGTTACGATCGACCTTATGGAAAAAGACGTGAGTAGTGAGAGTAAATCAAGCTTATATATATGCAGCTTATATATATCTCTCTCTCCTCGTGTCAGTTATTTATATTCTGTATCGAAAGGAAGGTACTCTCTTTCTTGTCATTTGTTGGATACAACGCAGATACGTTTCTATATATTACGTCACGCTCGATGAGAATGAAAACGGAGTTTGTATCAATAAATAAATTATTGTTTGCAATGAAGAAGTATAATAACTCTTAGTCTCTTCACTCTATTAAGGCGTCGTTTGGTATCGGCGTGATGTAGAACTGCACCAGATTGTCCAGATCGGTGAGCTTGGTTATAGATTCGCCTGTAATCGATTTGGGGTACGCTAAACTGTTTCTAACAGAAAATAATGAACTCTCGAAGACATACCAACCTGTTAAGCTCATCTCATTATGAAGAAAACGTACAGTGTGCGCATACGGTTGCTGGATTTTCTCGCGTAACTGCGCAGCCAAGCGACGCGTCGGATTCCACAACGGACTACGAAAGTTCGGTACATCCGTGAGACTCTGCTTGAAAGATTCTGGTTTCACTTCCTCCATCGGCAATACGTCCGTTATTCTATATTGGCTTGTATCGATGTTCCATGTAAACTTACATCCGACTTCATATAGCTTTCTCTCTTGCGAACTGTGGAATATTATTAATTGGAAAATATTGAAAATACTCGACCGAGATATGATTAAACAACATGTACGATAATTTATGTAAAACAATACAAAAGAAAATTCGATTAAAAATGTATAATTCATAGAAGAATAACATGTGTGTTTACCATTGTGTCTGACTACATAATTCACTCGCTTGGATCTTCATTATATGCAAACATATTATGTCACCGCTAAGTGCGCATACATCGATAATCTCGATGTCGTAGTCGCTGCAATGCCAATACTTCTTTTTGAATCTCGTGCAGATCCAATCTGCTATATGGTGAGAGAAAGTCTCAATATCGAAACTCAGTTGAGTTATAGAGACTATCGGAACTATCTGTGAAAGTTTTGTTTGAAATTTTATAAATTAGAAACGTTATACTCGCATTTCACCTGTAACTGTCATTAACATCAGCAACCGTGAATTATACGAAGAATTATATTCTATTTCTTTTTCTGAAATAGTTCGTACCAGTTTTTCCGCTTTACTGTTGCTGATCATTTGCATCTGAACATAACCGGAACCATGCACATGCATTGGAAGCACACATTGGTAACTCACATACCCTCCTGTCTCTTCATCTACAGATATTCATAATTATTAGTAAAATATTAGTAAAATACTTATCTTGTAACTAAAGTGATGTAAAAATTAATTTTCACAAGAAAAATCTTTCAAATCCAATCTATATATACCTTCCACGTCTGTGATCACCGATATCATCTCGTCGTCGAGCTCTATATAGCTCCGTTTGAAACACGCGGTGCATTTTATTGTAGGATATTGCAAGTTATTTCGAGGAACTAACGGGGAGAAACTCGGACAACACTTGCCAACGCGATCTCTGTATACGCTTCCGTTGGACAACTGATTCTGGTTCAACGGCCGAAGTACGTTTTTCTCGGCTGAAAGTACAAAATATATTTTGCAAAACTTTCTTTCAACGATAAAAGATCAACAAGTTTACCTGTCTCGGAATTTGACAAGTCATTCGCTATACTGATGTCCTGATTGAGATTCAGTTCATCCGACTCGCTCTGATCCGAGTCAACCCAATGCCTCCTACCGTTCGGCAATACCGGCGACATCGCTGGGGAAGAGGGTATCTGGTGTATAGAACACGTGCGATGCCTGAATTGATCGCGTATGTGCTTGAAAGGAACTATATTCTCCGCGTCTTCCGCTTCGTCGCAGAACTCGTACTTTTTGTCAGCGAGTCTACGTTTCCTAAACGAGCTGAGTTTCTCACACATCTCTTGCGCTTCGTCGGTAAACTCGTACGCCTTCTCCGCCTCGAGGATAAGCTTGTGCGTCGCTCGGGTGGTCCTGGACTGCGTCGTGTTCACGATGGCGGGCGGCGGTGAATGTAAGCTCGATCTCTTGCGCGGACTTGGTTGACGGAAGGAGCGCGTGATTGGCGGTGACATCAGGCGAGGCGAGCACGAAGAAGAGGGACTGATCGACACGGACTGCAGCGGCGAATTTATGGAAGCCACGTTACCGCTACTGTTGTCCTGAGACGCGCCCGGCTGCGGCGAACTCGGACGTTGGCTCGCCGCACGCTGGGTGACTTTGTGCTGACTAGATTCCGAGTTGCGGGTGCGCAGGATATCCGAGGGCGGAGTGAGGATCGGCGACGACCACGACGTCATCGCCTTGAGATCGGCTGGTAATCTCTGCGGCGTCGAGCGAGGCGAGCACGACGGATGCTTCACCAGCGTGATGAGATCGTTACCGATGTTGAGCTCCTGCGTCATGTCCTCGCAGAAGTCCTGCAGGATCTTGTCGCGGACCGATATGGCAGTTTGCTCGTTGACGCGCGACACGGGACTGCTGTTACTCCGGTTACACTTGCATTCGTCCGTGCATTCGCACGACTTAACACTTAAAGCGTCGGTAGACTTACTTATATCACAGACACAGTCGCTTTGATTGCTGCTCGAGGTATTTAACGGTAAATCACGTCCTAACTTATCATCTAGCTTAATCGCTGGCTCGTCCAGGAAGTCCTGCTCCACGATTGATTCGCATTTGGGAGACCGGTCGATCGAGCATTCTGGCGTGCCCACCTTCTCGTCTGAACTTTCGTATCGCTCTGTCCTCGAGTAGTCCGTCTCCTCGACGTCACTCATATCCAGTGGAATTGTATCCGGGACCACGGAATCTTGCTTGTCGCAGGCTTTCTGATTCTTCGACTTGGGTATATTCAAGTCCACTCTGAGCACATGCAAGAAATTCCCCGTATTGACCACTACGTGGTTCCAGTAGTTCAAGCATACTGTGGCCCGAAATTTTGGATATGGTGAAATAACTTCATACGTGGTGTGCACTGTGAGTCCATGCTGCAGGCAATTACATCGCACGCAGCTGTCCCAGTTTGCAGCTAGTTCTATACAACGAATTTTGACTGGCCTTATACATAAATATAGGTTTTACATTAATACAAAATGTAATAGGATTCGTAACAAATTATAAAGAGAAATTTATCCTCTATTTAGTCGTACTATGAATCCTGCCACAGCTTGTATTTTTCTTTTCTCTAAAAGTCCTAAATTATATATTACCTTCACCCTCTTCCTCATATGCTGCAGCAACCTTTAAGCAATCCTTACAGTTCTCGAGAGACGGCACTGTCGTTATCGTTAAATACGCTCTATCAGTCAGTTGTAACGGTAAGAAATTTGTACTGTAATTAGATAGATTATTAATATCATATTTATCACATGAAACATGACATGTGAATCACTTTTCTAAACATACCAAAGGCCATGTATCACAAGCTTATTACGCTCCATTGGCCACTGTGATATAACTATGCTTAATTCTCTATAAATTGTATAATTGCCAAACAATGTAACTTCAGCAACTTTTCGAGCAACACGATTCGGTGTGAAAGCCCACCAATGCAGCAGGTATCTATACAGGGATGTGTTACTGACCTCCAGCGTGTATGTATATGTGAGCAGAAATTGACCACATTGTGTTAATCCCATAATAATATGCCTTGAAAAATGAAAGTCTTTATAATTATACTGCTAATTCAGGTCAGAATACAAAATCTTTTACAATCTCTTAAATTTATATCTTTGTGATATATTAGATATATTAGATTTTTTAGATTAAATTTTTCTTTTTTAATTTTTACATTGATATAGCTCTGCCCAATTTCTTTCTCTTAATTTTTACAAATACATCAAGCATTTATGACATAATTTACAATAAAGTCAAGATACAATTACTCAATGATAAAAAATGATCAAATAAATCTATTTAATATAATTGTTACATTAGCATACCCTGCTTCCAATGCCGACTTTGGCATTACGTGTAACAAAGACAAATGTCGCCACTTAGGTACTGTTGCAAACAGTCTTTCTTCTGATGCATAATTGTGCGCTGAGAGACATCCTCTCATCTGCAAGTATTTATATAAATTAATGCGAAATTGTATACTTTGTTTCTTACAATCAACGTATTCTACTGTGCTTGATATCTCTCAAAAATAAAACAAATATTACAAAACGCTAAACATTTGTAGTTCTTTTGGAATATTTAAAAAATTCTTATGCACGCGAAAGAGAGGGTTGCACATTTTTTTATTTCCATGGAGAGTAAATGCAAGCGGTTTTACGAGATCGACCTATCAACTACAAGATTAAACAATAATTTTTTGCTTCTTGCAGATTTTCTTAATAACAGCACTTGTCACAAGCGCAAAGAAATTTTCTTAACAACTCGGCCGATCCTATCAGTCATGATGCTCCGTAAGATTTGAAGGTTAAAGCTTGCCTACCTCTCTTATCAACAGCTTCTGCAGAAAATGCCGTTTGCTACGTCGATGAGACGGACACGGCTTCCTACCCACCACGACGTATTCAGATTTTTCCGATGTAATGTCAGAGAAACACTCGTTGCAACAGTCTGAGGTAGTGTCGGAAGACGACGCGTCCGCCATTTTTAAATAACCTCGCTCAGCAGCGCGCGTGAGTCGTGAGTACTCCTCGGCGGTGGAAGATGAAAAGGCTCTCAGTGGCGCGACGGGCGCAGATATCATAAGGAGTTGGTTGTGATTTTTCTGCGTGAAAAGCAGTGTGTGAGAGCCAATATCAACCACACACACCAGTCGTTTGTGTTTCAATGCATATGTGCGTGCGTGTGCGCGCGGATTCCTACGCACACACGACGTGACACATCACCGATTTGTCACTGTATGTTCTACACTAACAATACTAACCAGCTGATGGCACGTTGATGTTGATTAAAAAAAGGTTAACGTTGTGAGAGATGCATTTGTAATCAAGGTAAAAAATTGTCACTAGTCTTATTTCTACTTTTGATGTTTATATAAAGATCTACTTATGTGTAATTTCAATTTTGCAGAAAAAATGCATCTTTCTAATTTGTGCATAACTAACATAGTTTTAACACATGAAATTGTATCCTTTTAAAACGTTCTAAAATGACATAACTTCATGTGGTAAAGCTCTTATGCTGGTTTATATATATAATATATAAAGTATTACGTTTTGCAGAATAAATAATAATTTTGTATATGTTTCATTTATAGATGAGGGATATCTGGAGATAATCACATCTAAAGATTGTTATTTAAAACATTGTTATATACAAAATATATGTAGAATTTATGATAAATAGAACAAAATGGATATCACATTGGATGATAAATTAAATATGCTGCAGCAAATAAGTCAGCGAAAACTTGTGGAGATATTGGATGTTATTCCAGGCACAAAGGATTTGATAATAGAGCAAAAAATCATGAAAATACTCAGTAGTTTCGTAGGAGTGACAGTATTGAAGTAAGTTTTGCTCATATTCTTTATATGCATATTAGTTTTATCATTAAAATCTTATCATATTGTCTTATTCAGACGATATGGAGTGGACAAAATTTATAAAATGGAAGATGGATTGAAGCCATCAAACAGTCAACGTATATTTCTAGTATCTAATGACTTAATTGCATGCAAAAGAGTTCTTGATCAGATACAATCTGAAATATCTCAGCTTAGCAAGCCTGGTGTTGAAGTGTGTCATCATTTATTGGTCATGCCTTTTGTCCCAGCTGTATTACACAATCTAGTAGAAGAAGAAGGTCAGTAAGTTATACCAATATTATTACCTATATTACTTTTGTTTTAATAATAATGTCAAGTCATTTACTCAGGCTTGTCTGGACTAGTTACATTGCGGACATTGTCTCCAGAATTTATAAAATTAGATGGAAACGTTTTATCATTGGAAAATCCGATGTTTATTGATCTTTATTATCACAAGGACACCAGTCTTCTACGAGCACTAGCTCAAAACCTGTGGTCGCTACAACTAATACTTGGCTCGCCGAAGCTCTTGCTTTTCTTCGGCAAGCACAGCCAGCAACTAAACATACTGATGGAATCCATGGAACAGTATCTAGGTTCGTCCAATTTGGAACACGAGATCGGCGCCCTGATTGTAATGGACAGAAGTTATGATCTGACCACGACCCTGCTGACACCTGTGACGTATGCGGGCTTGTTGAACGAAGTCGTCGAAGTAAACGTCGGCACGGCGACTCTGGGAAAATCGCAGACTCAATTGAACCCGGATAAAGATCAGATCTATGCAGAAGTGAGGGATACACCATGTAGCGACGTCTTTCCGATTCTGCACGGAAAGGCTAAGTCACTCAAATGTACTTAATCTGTGTATTTACTGGTCGTAGTTCTCATTTATCATAATCTTGTCTTGATAATGTCTCCAACATGTGCTAATATTAGCCGAACAGGAGCTGGTGCAAACGATGAAGTTGGCCGAGATGGAGAGATATGTATCAACGAGATTACAGAAGACCAAGGACATGACACGGCAATTGGCATTTCATATATCCGCATGCCAGGCTATCGCCGACACCTTGGGCTCCGAGTTTCAAGCCTTGCAGACGATGGAGAAGCTGATGCTTGATTGCAAAGAAAGGAAAGAGTGCTTGAGTTACATCGAGAGAAATATAGGTGCATTGCCTTGCCTTGTGTATATATATATATATATGACATATAATAAAAATTAATATAACATATTAATTATGTATTAATTACATATTAATTATTACGATTACATTGAAAAATGTGTTCTTGTAGACGAGCACGCGTTACGATGTTTGCGTCTTCTGTGCCTGTTATCCATCACCACTGACGGCATCACGCAAAACGAACTTCAGAATATCCAAAAATTACACTTGCACACCCACGGTTATCAGCATATCCCTCTGTTTTACAAATTGCACACCGTCGGTTTGTTGAAGCACAGAAATGAAAATCTGTTGCACAAGCTGCCGAATTGGAGCAGCGAATGGAGCAGCAACGCTCAGAGATTGAAGCTATTACCTAGTCAATCCAAACGCTCCGATCAGAATGGTCGTACTTGTCCCAGTTATGTGTTCAACAACGCCTACATACCCACTATCGTTCGTACCATATTCTTCTTCAAGTATTACAAATTACGCGGAATTCAATTACGATATATTAACATCTTATTTAATGTATCATAGGCGCAGATATTGAACATCGTATCGAATCAGGAGAAAGACTCTCGTAGCTTCGAGGATCTGATAAATTTACCGGGCTGCACGATGAATGGTCAACGAGGCACGTTATCGCCGAAGATGATTGTGATCTGCGTAGTAGGAGGTATTACTTGTGCAGAAGTGGCGGCTTGTCGGCTGATTGAAAAGTCCACGGGAACGCGCCTTGTTCTCGTGTCTGATGCTATTATAACGGGGAACAAACTCATTCAGAGGATACAAGACATATGAGAGAAAAATTACATTTATATCGTTTTGAAAGTCCACCCTGATGATGAGCTTTGCATAGTTGCATAATGCTTACGCACAAGAAAATCGACCAATACTGCACTTAATATATAAAAAAAGAAAAAAGGAAAAACATTCTTCTGCTGTATAAATAATTTGTTGATTTTCCTGTACGCATGTATTGTGCAAATATGCAAGTTCATCTGAACAGATCTTTACACTGATAAAATTGAATAAATTGCTCTTGTGTATATTAAATTTGGCATATTATTAATAGTTTCGATTGTCTTCGCGATTACGATCGCGATCGCGATCACGATCACGCCTCTGTCGACCCCAATCCTGCCCCTGGCGGTTATAGTTTTGTCGATCGCGGAAGTTGCCTTGGTTTCCTCTTGAAAAGAAGTTACCTGCAAGGATTTATATTTATTATGTATAGAAATGCATGTTGTACACGCTATATTTTTATAACGTCACTCGATAAACACGCGACAAGCTCATCTTTGTACATATACGTTGAATTAAAGATATAATAGGATAAAGAAATGAAGAAATATACATATAGAATCGCACATCTTACTTACCCTGTTTCATTTCGAAGATACGTTCATTCGAGTCGACGAAATTGTTGACTTTATCCGTGAGTTGCAAAGCCAAGGACTGCAGACGGCTCGGCTCACTGCGATGCATAACAACAGTCTCCGTCGGGTCGTCCAAAGATGCCTAAATTTGCGAAAAGAAGAAATGCATCTCAGTCATATGAATCGCTAAACGTTGTTGCTTCCATGGCGCTCCCACATAAAAACTATATCGTCGCACAATGTACCATGAGTTCCTCGTTGATGATCATTTTACTAATAGTAGAATGGACTATAGGACGCTTCAGTTGGAACATGTCAGCGAGCTTCGGCATCGAGATGGAGTCATACACATGAGAGTATGTGAACAAATACGTTCTCAATGCTTCTTCCTTGATTAATCGCGTCAGCATAGCTCGCACTTTGTCCGCTTGATGAAAGAGATCCCAGACCTGCAACATTTGGAAGTAACATGACTTATTAACTTATGCATTCTCGATGTCGTTCGAGAGAAATCTCTAACGTGAAAAAAACCTACCTTTGCGTTCATCTTCTCATTTATAATGAAATTATTGCAAGCCGCCCAATTACCATTACGCATCGCTTTCGCGGCAGCGACAACATGCTCTCTCATCGATTCCGGTGGTCCTACTAACGATTGACGTTCACTGGATCGCAATTGCTGATAGAAGGTTTTCGATATCATCCTTCGCCTTGCGTCAAATTCGTGCGCTAAAATGAAAACAGATTTTTATCAAATCAGTATTAAATATCATCAAATATCAAAGATTGCTGTGCTCAATAATGTTAAATATCTATAATATAATCTATAATATAATACGTATAAATATATGTTAAATAATAATGCTAAAAATCATGTCTAAATATATTAAATATGTGTAAAAAAAAGAAGTGAAGATACTAACATGTTAAATACAAAAGAACATACCAGCCATATATGGAATTTCGATAAGCATTGCTGAAACGAGATATACACATTCAAGGAGCTCTAGATTGATGTGCATATGGAAAGGCATTTGTCTCTGCTTCTCAATCTTCTCCTGCTCTTTACTACGCTCGTGTTGTCGTTGCGGGAGCAAACCTTGCGCCAAAAGTTCTTTTACCTTGCCTGTTACCATCAGATCGACCAAGCAATTGTGGGAATCTTTAATATTGGCATGGCGGAATGCACATAATCCCAGATGGGCGATTGTACGATTGTACAAAATCTAAGAGCAAGTTGAGTTAATTTCGTTATTCTTCAATTAATCAAAAATAAAGACTATGCGAGCAAATTGAATACCTGTGTGGGTGGATCGGAATGTTGGATAGTTTCTTGAAGATGTGACATCAGGATTAAATCACGCGCCTGGAACCAGTTGTCATGGAGCGCGTGATGATAAATGTGTGACAAAATCGCACGAGTTCTCAATCGATCGGTGTTATCGTGCGCGTAAACATATTTGCATAGCTTCTCCATGACTTGCACGGACGTGATTACGTCTTGTCCCACTTCACCCTAGCATAATTTTAGTCAAATTTAATTAAGTAATAGAATGTGCGAATCAAGAATTTTTATGTCGAATCGAATCGAATCGAATCTCATTTTTTAAATTTGGATTCGAATCGAATCTATGAAATTTCATTCGAATTCGAATCAAATCAAATCGAACCATTAGAAAATTTAACATGAATATTAAACGTGCAAATAATGATGAAAGATTTTAATATGAAAAGGAATATTAATATTGTAATATTATCTTAAAATAAAATATCTTAAAATAAAATATTTAAATATTTATAGTAATTTATAATTAAGTTATTAATTATAAGTTAGGTTATTTACGGCAATTAAACATTATTAATTAATAATTAATTAAAAATAAGTTAAGGGTTCAAATATACAGGCCCAGATGGTCCGTTTTATAACTGATACACACAAACGCTAATATATTTGATTCGTATTCGAATCTTCGCGATTCGAGATTTTCGAATTATTCGGATTCGAATCATAGGGATTCGGATTCGAATCGAATCGAATTCGAATAGTTCGCACATCTCTATTAAGTAAAAAGAATTGTTTGTACATATAGCCATTTTATAAAACTTACATCCTTCTGTTTGAGAACATTTGGATCGAACTTGTAGTACAAATGCTCGATCTTGCGCAAGTACACACGGCACAATTCGGACACAGTACCTTGTCTCTCTAAATACTCTTGCACTTTATCTATTATAGCAGCGACTTGTTTCTCATCCTTCAATCTGTAATCAGAGGAAATATTATTGCATAATAGTTTCACATATTCTGTCATTTCTTATTTCACTGAGAAACTTCATTTCATATAGATATTTTTATTTTTTGAAAATATAAATTCAAGTTAGAAAGAATAAGCTTCCCAGTTCCAAAATAATTAACATGAAAGATACCTCTCTACGTATTCATTGCTGTGTGGATCGCACTCTTTCAATAATTTCGTGAATTCTTCGTCGAGGCGTTCCACCAATGTCAACACGCATCCATGAATTTTATATGGAGCAGTTTCGAACTCTTCCATCTCTTCCGCGATTGTTTCTGTTATTACCATATCTGTAGCGCTTAACAGCATGTCTAACATTTCAGTAATGCGTTCCAGGATTCTGTAAAATATGAAATTGTCTTGCACGTTCACAAAATAAAAAATTCCTCCATTTATTATAAGAGTAAAAAAAAGTGTCTAACAAATATTTTCATTAAATATCTGATTATTCTACAGAATTGTACGTACTTGGACCAATATTCGGGTTTCATAGCGTCAGAAACCTTCGGATTGTAATCAAATATGGAAGATACAATGGAAAACTTGATTTTCACGGCTACAGCAGGGCCGAGGGAATGCGCGTCGGCGATCGATTGCAGTTCATGCAAGAGCTCTATTTGTTCCCGTCTGTCTGTGCGCTTTTTACCGCGAGCTGCGATTATTTCAGACAGTTTCTTCAACACCGCTGTGATATTGATTTCCGCGTCCTTAGCAAACATTTTCGGCTTTTCAGAGGGAATCGCTACCCCGCCTTTGACAGTTTCCCATTCACCTTCGCCATCGTCTTCATCACGTTTCTTTTTTCTTTCCTTCTCTTTACGTTCTTTTCGTTGTTCTTTTCTTTTCGCTTTGTCCTCATCCTCTTCTTTATCGGTTGCTCTGTATAAAATAATTCGCTAATATATATCAAATTTATTTCTTATATTAAACGTTGAATTTTATTATCAATACAAAAAATCCTACTTTTTAATGAAACGTTCGCGAATGTTCTGATATTGACCTTCGTCGTCGCTACTTGTGCTTTCGCTATCCGAATCGCTACCCCAATCGGATTCACTTTCACTACCCTCCTCGCCATCAGTTGCACCTTTCTACAATATAACATATACAAAAACAAATTTATAAAAAGATATTCAGAATAGTCTATACAATATACATAAATTTTAGTATCACGGAAAACCTTGAATTTAGCTATATCAGGTTCACTAGCTTCTGAGCCAGCTTTCTTGAATGCCACAGCACTATCATCTTCTTCTTCAGTCTCTATAATTTCTTCTGCTAAAATTATAAATATTAATTTTACATTACTTTTTAATTTTCAGAATTTTAGTTAGATAAAAATTTTTGGCAGATATATTTCATAATATATATCCCACCCTTTTCTTCTTCTTCATCATCATCTTGGTCAGGGTTCTCCCTGAACTTGGTTATATCATCTTCAAATTCCTTGTTATATTTACGTAATTTCTGACGTAATGTCGAGAGTGATTTGGAGTTGTTTTTTGACATATTTTTGCGCCCATCACGATCTTCCCATACTTCAATAATAAAATCCTCCATTTCAACTAAACATCTAATGTAAAATCGTGGAGTTTGTCCAAGTTCTTCTTTGGCGACTACTGGTAAAGCTTTTTGATAAGCTCGCATTAAATCTTCAAAACCTGGAATTATAAAAATTTGTAAATGTCTTTTTCATGACATGTTTATGAAACATATAGTTGATTTATTAACATATTCATGTGATATATTGTCATGTGATATTAACATATTCATGTGATATAGTCACATTTTTATTTACATTATCTATTTTTATTAATTCAATAATTATGAAATTATAAATATGAAATAGAAATTTTTAAATACTGCAGTCACTTACTTGACAACATACTGCTCATATCCTTTATCTTCTTATAATTCCTAATAAGTTTTATAAGATTTGCTATTTCTTCATATCGCTTTTCTTTTGTGGAACGTACAATACGCTTTGTTTCTTCCTCATCGTCACTGAACTAAAAAAGTATTTCATATTATTTTAATCTTATATATACGTGTATATATATTTTTTTCTTACATGGTAACTATTAATAAAAGTTATTTGAATACATACAGTAAAAGCAGTTGCTGGTGCCCTCTGCACCTGCTCTTCTTCAGAAGCACTATCAGATTCCGAATCTGATCCAGTTGCAAAAAAACGACTCATGATGAAAGATATTCAGAGATATTCTGCAATAATCTATAAAAATAAAATATTAAAAATATGAATTATATTCAACCCATATATATTTAAATATGTATTAATACATATAAAATTTAACTCATAACCTTGTGACTGTTATAAAATTTATAAATATATGCAAAAAATATATGCAATGGAGCATGTAAAATGTGATAAAAATAACCTAGTAAATGACATGTAAAATATCAGAAAAAAAATTATGTCATGTAAGAGAAATATGATAAACAAATTTAGAACGAAAGATACAACTCCATAATTACAAAAGCAACAGAAATCTTGTACGTGTCTCTCGTACATATATAATGCACATTCTTATAAATGGCTCATTTGATTATGCACATGGTATAGTATTCTTTTAATGGAAGTAATAACTTTACACCAGAGAGTGAATTCCAAACATACACAAAATAGGTACATACAACGTAATGTACAACCCCTAAATACACTTTAAATTATTATATTACCGATAAGTCCTCCTTGTAAAGACAGATGCTCTGCAAGGTTAGTCACATTACCAGTAACGGCACAGCGATAGAAGATGGAGGATTAAAAGAGCAAAATAGAATATTGTTATTTGCGCACGCGCAAAAATGTTGCTAGCTAAAACTTGAAGAATGAAGAGTGCTTTGAAACGCCCAAGGGAAGGCCGTGATTGATCCGTAGGGCACTTCGAAGCGTTTGCAGCTTGTAAGGCGATCTACAATATGGCCGTGTTCCAAAATTCACTGCCAGCGTTGAAAAGTTATAATTTGCGTGACACAAACTATATATTTTTAGTACTGGCAGTGAATTTTGGAACACGGCTTATATATTGTAAGCTGTAAACCGTAAGAACTGACCAATTATAGCCGATTATTTTTGTAATGATCGACTGTGATTCGCCAATTTTTACGGCTTAAATTTACGACACGTATTGTAGATCAGGCCTAAAGGCCCATCTACAATGGCTGCATTCAGCAGACAACAATTGGACAATATTACTAGATTTTCCACTTAATCTCACTCCTGATTACTTCTGGGTCTATGAAGAATCTAAAAGAATGCTCCAATCACAGACAATAATCACTAAGCGCTCTCTGCCATGGAAATTCGTAAAATGATAGACGAAGAAATAGAAAAAAATTTCCTGTCTATATAAAGAAAGTAACTATGTAAGTAGAATCGTCGAGATTATCGGGCTGTTTCGGTTATCATCCGAAGTGCTGGAAATAGAAAGGCCTTCATAGCTCTTTCTATATCTATTTCCTAACTTTTACGAGGCAGTTTATATAATGAGTGGTAAAGTGAGTGAAAATTCATGAGTTTTAAAGAAATTATGGGTAAATATTATTTTATATTATATTGAATATATATATCTTATCACATACACACACACACAAAATTAATTAATTAAATTAAATTCATATTTGAACCACCTTGTATTTATTCCATTTCTTATATTTTAATCAATAATGAAATAAAATATGAAAATTATATTAAAATCTTATTAGTATATGTTATTATTTATAAGTATTATTATTTATTTATGAAAATAAAGGTTTTATTTAATATTTTACTCTAACCATCGTAAATTCCTAGCAAATATGTTCAGAAAACATCCAAGGGATATCCTGGAGACGTCCTATAGCCTTAGGACGGCCCTGGTATGTCTCTGGACGTCCCCAGGAAATTTATGCTAATCAAATGAATTGCTTCAATCTCTTAAAAATATGCGTTCTAATCGTAAATTTTCTTTTTCTTCTTCTATTTCTTCTCCCATTAAAATTCTCATTATTGCATCCATTGGTCTATCTCTTTGTCTCTCTCTTTTTACAAATATTAATTTCTTTTCTAATAAATCCTTTTTAGTTGAAGATTGTTTAATATTCACTAACTGAGAGAGAGAGAGAGAGGTTATTAGAAATAAAATAATAAATTAGTTTATTATAATTATTAATATTCTTATTAATAATAAGATATATAAATAAAATGTATCCTTACAGGATAAAGATGACAAAAAATCTTATGTATATTATTAAATGAGGTTATATTAGCTGTCAGTATACATTCATTTAATCCATAATGGAAAAAAATATCAAAGCAGCCAAATAATATTCAGTAATTTTATAAAAATCACTATACTATTTTATCCGTTGCCGAACGTTTTTAGCTAAAACATTAAAGATAGTATAATACAATCCTCTATAACCGAAGATTCCCGATCTGTCATAGAAAAGCTATTAGGTAGTACGAATTATTATAAGCATCAACTTTCCTATCTTATCTATTTTCTTTTTCTTGCTTACGCCTTTCTACGTCTATAAAATTACGTAGTACCACCACTGTGCTCTGGCCCTAAACAGTAAGAAATAGACCAGAGAGGAAGCTGAGAGGGGCCAACACGGCGTTTTCGGCGACACCGATTTTTCGCACTGGGAATGGGCGCTATCTGCATCCATTTTGAGAGAGGAACTACGATGCTACATCCACTTTCAGGTCTCTACAGTAAAACCTGCATCTGGTGGCTGTCTGTGCTACATCCACTTTCAGGCGGTTTATGTCCGTGCTACAACCATAATAGTGTACTTGACAAGCACGGTCTCGCGCATTGTTATGCATTTATAACATGAATTAACATGTTAACATGCACAAAAAAAATAAGAATTGAGATTGTATATGATTAATATCATGAAGATTATATACGATTTATATCGATATATAAATATATGATAATAAGATACTATTTTGTGTGTACCCAAAATTATTTTTCCAAAATATTTCAGCGTTATGTTAGTATTTATTTATACTCCGGCAGGCGTTTTTTAGCGCAGTTGTGTCCGTCTGCATGTGTTGCATTGAAGTATGAAAGCGTGACGTACGTGTGCATATACGCACTCACACACACACACACACACACGTGTCATACGCAACAGATAGAATCTCAGGGTATATGCTTAAACATTTTCAATTGCCGTAACCGTTTAGGAGATATCGAAGGTTAAAGTTTTCCAGCATTTCTCCGTCGATATCTCCGCTTCTACTGGGAGTAGAGAGTCGCCATTTACGGCAAAATGTAGGGTTTTGAGAGGACTTTAATTTGGTGCCAGAAACAGGCCTGTATCTCTAACCGTTTAGGAGATATCGAAGGTTAAAGTTTTCCAGCCTTTCTCTGCTTCTACTGGGAGTAGAGAGTCGTCAATGTAGTCGAAAATGTAGGGTTTTGAGAGGACTTTAATTAGGTGCCAGAACCAGGCCTGTATCTCTAACCGTTTAGGAGATATCGAAGGTTAAAGTTTTCCAGTCTTTCTCCGTCGATATCTCCGCTTCTACTGGGAGTAGAGAGTCGCCATTTACGGCAAAATGTAGGGTTTTGAGAGGACTTTAATTTCGTGCCAGAACCAGGCCTGTATCTCTAACCGTTTAGGAGATATCGAAGGCTAAAGTTTTCCAACCTTTCTCCGTTGATATCTCCGCTTCTACTGGGAGTAGAGAGTCGCCATTTACGGCAAAATGTAGGGTTTTGAGAGGACTTTAATTTGGTGCCAGAACCAGGCCTGTATCTCTAACCGTTTAGGAGATATCGAAGGTTAAAGTTTTCCAGCCTTTCTCCGTCGATATCCAGTCTTCCTCCGTCGATATCTCCGCTTCTACTGGGAGTAGAGAGTCGTCCATGTAGTCGAAAATGTAGGGTTTTGAGAGGACTTTAATTTGGTGCCAGAACCAGGGCTGTATCTCTAACCGTTTAGGAGATATCGAAGGTTAAAGTTTTCCAACCTTTCTCCGTTGATATCTCTGCTTCTACTGGGAGTAGAGAGTCGCCATTTACGGCAAAATGTAGGGTTTTGAGAGGACTTTAATTTGGTACCAGAACCAGGCCTGTATCTCTAACCGTTTAGGAGATATCGAAGGTTAAAGTTTTCCAGCCTTTCTCCGTCGATATCCAGCCTTCCTCCGTCGATATCTCCGCTTCTACTGGGAGTAGAGAGTCGTCCATGTAGTAGAAAATGTAGGGTTTTGAGAGGACTTTAATTTGGTGCCAGAACCAGGGCTGTATCTCTAACCGTTTAGGAGATATCGAAGGTTAAAGTTTTCCAACTTGTACCATTGATATCTCCGCTTCTACTAGGAATTGAGAGTCGAAATTTATGGTGAGAATAGGGTTTTTATAGGACTATATTTTGGCTAAAAACAGGCCTGTATTTCAAGCCGTTTAGGAGATATTAATATATCCGATATCACCTTAAAAAGAGATAACAGTATTTTTTTTTCAAGAGGACAAACATTCATAAAAGAAGAAAAAATATATGATATCAGGTTTATCTTGTTGATAGCTTGGGACAAAGATTATTCATTTGCTAGTCGTTGGCAGTCGTTGCAAATTGTTGCAAGTTGTTTGACACAGGTGATAAAACATTAAAAATGGCTCTAAGTCCTGGAGATCCAAGTTCTTTTTCAAAGCCAGGTATTTTAATTGTGTGATTTATACAATATTAAATTTTAGTTATATATTTTATATAATATTAAAATATGTCAAAATATTAATTTTTGTTCTCTATAATTAAAAGATATAGAATATAATAACCATCTGTTGGGCTGTAATTGACATTTAAAGGTGTTCTAAATTATATATTTAAAATTCTTAAGAAGTTATTATTTTAAAACTTTTAACAATTCACAATATTGTAATATTTTAAAGCATAAACTTTATGTTAAGTATAGCATAATATTCAATGAGAAAAATGATTTATATCATATATAAGAAATATTGATTTAGTATTTTATTTAATTAGAATATATTATTATTTGTTAATTACTTATATATTATTTGTATAGTTCTACTTGTTATTTATACATTATTTAACATTTATATCTTTTTCTTAATTTTTACAGAACTTGCAGTTGTAACTCATATCCATTTAGAACTAGATGTTAATTTTGAACGTAAAGTTCTTACAGGTAAAGCAATATTAGATGTAGAAACAAAAGATGCTGCCACTGAAGTAGTGAGTAAAAATTCTTTTCATTAAAGAGAAGAAAAAACTTCTATTTGCCAATAAAACAATCAAACAATTAGATTTTAGATAATCGTAAACTCTTCATACTGGATGTTACAAATACTGTTGATGAATCTCATCTACAATATGATATTGGAGATGACATTGAATTTGGAAATAAATTGGTTATTCAGTTACCTGAAACAGCAATAGCTTTTATTGATAATAACAAAAAGTAAATATATTTTTAATATAAATTCATAACATATTAAGAATTATCATTAAATATTGCAATATTATTTTCTTTTTATTAGATATAAGATTGAAATTAAATACGAGACATCTCCAGATGCTACTGCATTGCAATGGCTAACAGCGGAACAAACTGCTGGTGGTGTACATCCCTACTTGTTCTCTCAATGTCAGGTAAATTTTAAACTGACAATAAAATTTTGACATTCAAAATGATGTGTTATGTAATTTTATGTTTTTAGGCTATACATGCTAGATCCATGTTTCCTTGTCAAGATACCCCAGCTGTAAAATCTACATACTCTGCTAAAGTATGAATCTTAACAATATTAGAATATTTGTATATTTTTTGTAATAATTTATATCAATATATTAATATATTTGACATTATATCCAATAGTGCACATTAACAAAATATATTAATAAATAACATCAATGGGTAAATAATGTCACAACCATATAAAAATTTATAACTCATTTGCATTAATAAGTATTTCATATTTCTTAGGTTTCTACACCACATGAACTTACAGTTGTAATGTCTGCTCTTCTGGATAAAGTATCAGACTTGGAGAACTCAAAGAAATTATATGAGTTTCACCAACCAATACAAATACCATCTTACCTGGTAGCTATTGCAGTAGGTGCATTAGTATCCAAACAAGTTGGCCCAAGAAGCAAAGTATGGGCTGAGAAGGAGTTTGTTGATAAAAGCGCATACGAATTTGGAGAAACTGAAACAATGCTGCAGACTGCTGAGCAATTGTGTGGTTCTTATGTTTGGGGTAAAGATATGAATTGAATCAATTTGAAATCCATATATATTTTTATGCCGTTATTATATTATTACCGTAAAAGTGATTGAAATTAATTGATTCCATAAAATTTTTGACAATGAATTGTATGTGTAAATTTATACAGAATCAATTTTTTTCCTGAAATCTGTTTATTATATGCAAAATAATATTTGCAGGCATTTATGACATATTAGTACTTCCACCAAGTTTTCCATTTGGGGGAATGGAGAATCCTTGTCTAACGTTTGTGACACCGACTCTACTTGCTGGAGATCGTTCGTTAGCCAATGTTATTGCACACGAAATTGCTCACAGTTGGACGGGAAATTTAGTTACAAACGCTAACTTCGAGCATTTTTGGTTGAATGAAGGTTTTACCGTATTTGTTGAAAGAAAAATTAATTCTAGAATGTTTGGTGAAAAAATGAGGCATTTTGAAGCATTACACGGCATTGAAAGTCTGCGCGAAGAGGTAAGTAATCCATTTTGATTCATTGAATAATAAATTTGTTATATATCAACAAAACAAACAAAAAAGATGATATCGCATTATATTGCTATATTATTTTTCGAAACCGCGTTATTATTGCAGATTCAAAATCTGGGTAAAACAAATCAACTGACCAACTTGGTGCCAAATCTGACCGGTATCGATCCTGACGATGCGTTTTCGATTGTTCCTTATGAAAAGGGACATACATTCTTGTTTTACCTGGAGCAACTTTTAGGTGGGCCAGAAGTGTTTGAGCCATTTTTTAAATCTTATTTAGACATGTATAAGTACAAAAGTATCAAAACAGATACTTGGAAAGATTACTTGTATCATTATTTCCCTGACAAAGTTCAGGTAAATTTCTTTATCTTAATTTTGGACCTTTGATATATTTCTTTATTAATATATTTTTATAGAGATAATAATATTTACTTTATATATATTTTAGCTGTTAAATTCTGTCGATTGGGACACGTGGCTCCATAAGCCGGGCATGCCACCTATTATACCCGATTATGACAAGACATTGGCAATTGTGTGTACTGAATTAGCGGAACGTTGGATCCAGTCGGACGAAAATACTGCTATGACCTTCGCTATGAAGGATATAAAGGACTTTTCTCCTGGTCAGAAAGTAGCATTCTTGACTGATTTACATAAGTCATCTATAGTTCTGTCAGTCAACAAGATACAGCAAATGGCAAATATTTATCAGCTGGACTCTGTGAAAAATTGCGAAATACGGTACAAAAATATATGTGTATCTTTGTTTATAAATTATGATTTACGATTGCGTAATGTAATTGTTCGTATCGTTCGCTTATTATTCACAGGTTCATTTGGTTGCGATTATGTATTAAGAATCGTTGGGAAGCGAGAGTTTCCGATGCTTTAGCTTTTGCTACTGAGCAAGGACGAATGAAGTATGTACGTCCTATATTCCGAGACTTATACGATTGGATAGAAATGCGACAACGAGCGATCGATGTATATCTCAGCAAGAAAAATAAGATGATGTACGTGACTGCGCACATGGTTGCGAAGGATCTTCACTTGATTGTTTGATATGAAAGAATTACACAACTAATATTTTATACAGAGATATTAATTTTATATATTTTATCTAAAAATCGGATTTTTTATTCATAGTGACATTAATATCTCGCATATTTTATCTATATATTTCATCAGACAATTACTTTTTACTATTTTACCATAATGTTAATATAAAAGAAAGAGATAATGTGATTCATTTCGTTAAAATGTTAATAAAGGGTAATTTTCAGGTTAAAATGAACATATTTTCTTATTTATTCGAACTTGAATAGAAATCATCATTTTCAATAAAATAAAACATTTCAAAAATGGTTCACAGAGAGAAATAAAGGTGCCAATACATGGGAGCGTCGAGCGTCAAAGCGTCCAACCAATCAGTTTTTCATTTCTTATTTCAGGGATAAAAACAAGGAACTTTGATTGGTTGGATGCTTTGACGCTCGACGCTCCCATGTATTGGCACCTTTATAGGTCTATTCCGAAATTAGCAGTTTCAGAAAGTTTGATTTTAGTTATAAGGTTGATAGGCCTTAAACTAACCTAGGTACGGTCGTAGACATAATAGTGTGTGCCCGTTTTTTTTGCAACTTTCGGAACGCATCCCGACTCGAGAAGAATGAGAGTCACTGCTCCGCCTGCGGAGCACGCCTGCACAATGACTCACAACGAAAGGCGAGAAATGAAATATACGCGGTGGAACATATTATAATAATAAGCAGCTGTTATATAACAGCTACTTCTGTATCTAATATCATTGCTTCTGCTATAGAAGATGGCTGTTGCTGAAACAATAAATCACATATAAATGTATAATAGCATCATAATTATCGTAATGCAGCTTAATTCTCTTAATTAAGTTCGTATTGTTTTAAAAACATAAACATATTTATTTATCTCTACCTTTTTCGGATGTCCCCCGGAGTATAAGACTTACATCGGATGATTCTTGTCTGTTCTGTGTTCCCTCATTTCTATTTAATGCTAGAGTATTCATTTCATTTGAGTCTGTATTATTATAATATGTCCCACCGCGTATATTTCATTTCTCGCTTTTCGTTGTGAGTCACTGCGCAGGCGTGCTCCGCAGGCGGAGCAGTGATTCTCATTCTTCTCGAGTCGGGATGTGTTCCGAAAGTTGCAAAAAAACGGGCACACATTATTAAGCTAAGACTCCATGCATGCAGTGAGCTGCGGCAAATGCTGCGATGACCAATCAGGAGGGAGGCGCAAGTCCGGTTGCGACAAGCTCCGGCATGCGTCTGTCTCCTGATTGGTCACCGCAGCCGTTTGCCGGAGCTCACCGCATGCATGGAGTCTTAGCTTTATGTCCGCGACCGTACGTTCGATCAGCTGGTCACGCTGCGATTTCTGAACCTATGCTGACAGTTGTAATAATTTTGATTGGTCGATGTTAAAATAATCGCGCACCATCTAATGTTGGGTTTTCGTATTATGTTTGCGAGAATATTCTTCAGTGGAAGTTGAAATATAAATACTTTGTGTAATCTATGAAACTATGTAATCTATGAGCTTGTAAAATGGCGAAGCACCGAATATTTGCGCGGGAATGATAATAATGTATCGCACATGTGTTTCTAACATAAACTCAAATTTTTGTTATGTAATATAAAATTACTTTTGCATGTAAAGTATTGCATGCAAATATGAAGAAGGTTCAATTGTCACGTAAGAAGGTACTGACTATCTGTTGTTAATATTATATGGCTGTTATTAATTTTCAATAATTTTATATTTCTCTATCATAATATAACTATATCATAATAAAACAATTTGTATATTTTGACGTAATTCTCTATCTAAATCCTAAATTTAGACTTTGACAACATTGACTTTAGAATTCTTTGCATAATTACATCATATAACTGATAAATAAATTACATTTACATGAATGATATATCAAAATAATTAATTTACATAATAAAATGTTGAAATTTCCTTTATTTGCAGTCTTCCGTTGTTAATGATGTCAAACAATCTCAAATAAAGATAACATCATACTTTACAAAAGCTCCAAAACCTGACCTAAGCAACATAAATAAGGTTGCATTAGATTTAAAATCTGTATCGCAAATCTCCAGCATTGATAAGAAAAGAAAGGAGAGGGATGATACATTAGAGGAAAAATTATATACAAACATTAAAAAGAAATGCACAGCTGATATTTGCATTGCAGAACCTATAAGTGTTAAATCAACTAAAGATTCAATATTATCATCTGCAGTCAAAGATACCACAGATACATCTATCAATTTCAAAGAGAATAAATCAGTATACCAGGATGTGTCAACTTATAAACACAATAAAAAGGAAACTAGCAGTAAGTTGACAATAAAAACAGAGCATAATGAGACTATGGTACAAAATTTCACCAGCTTCAATGTTTCAGACTGCAATAATGCTTATATTCTTAAAGAATTACAAAACCAACATACTGTTGCTCAAAAATCTGCTGTACTTCCTGTAAACACATACATTTGCAGTAAAACAAAATCGCCTGATTCAAAGCAAGTTCAAAGCAAGGACTCTTTCGAAGAATTTTTTGCTATCAAAGAAGACGACTTTGATGATTTTTTCGATCAGGAATATATAAACGCGCAAATCGATTTCAGCACTCTGCAAAGGTGTAAAATAATGGAAGTAAAGGAAGAGCAAAGAGTCATGATTTTAACGGTGCAACACATCGAGTCAGAAGTTATCGAGACTGTTACTTGTTCAGGGATATGGAAGGATGTGCAGGTGAAAGTCGACGACATCGTTACGATACAAGCCGAGAAAAAGTCGCAGCGATGGATCATTGACAACCATCGTGGTTATCTCATTACGCAGCCCGACAAATTGATATCTGGCACCACAATAACGAGCGGCTTGTTTTGTAGTAGACGAGCGGTGTTAGCGGAGAGATTTAAGAAGATAGAATCGTTGCCGTGTCCCAATGCCGATTACTCCGTGATGACTATAGGATCGTTGGTTCACCAATGGCTGCAAAAGGCATTGCGGGAGAACGTGCATGCGTTATCCGACGTGGTCAAATTGCTGGACAACATGCTACAGTTGAGAGACACGATAGACTATCTCTACGCTTCGGAAATGTCGCTGGACGACTGCCGGAAACGTATGATGGAGTATGCACCCAAGATATTCCAGTTTATTCAGCACTACATCAGGGGCAACAAACAGAGCCGCATAAATGACCTGAAGGACAACTTTCAAGGCAGTATATGTAACATACAAGACATTGAGGAGAACATTTGCATACCACAGTTAGGTATCAAGGGAAGGATAGACGTGACAGCGGAGGTAAGCATTAACTCGAGGCGCAAGATCATGCCGCTGGAGGTGAAAACCGGAAGAGCCTCGTACTCGTTGGAGCACAAGGCACAAGTTATCCTTTACTTCATGATGATGGGCTTGAGGGACGAGGAGGTCGACACTGGCCTGTTGTTGTACCTCAAGGAGAACTCCATGCAAGAAATCAAGAGCAGCTATTACGAAAAGAGGGATCTGCTAATATTGCGGAATACATTAACGTATTACTTCACCAAGCAGTCGGAGGATCCATCGCTGAGTGCGGACTTTGCGGAGTCAGGTACCTTAAAAGCGATGGAGCTGCCGGAGCCGATAAATCACCCGACTGCATGTTCTCGATGTCCTTACCAGGTCGTGTGTTGCGCTTACCTCGCGAAAGATCCCAACGTGAATTTGCCACCGTTGCATCCGCTGACGACGCTCATTAAAAAGTTGCTGAATGAGTTCGAATCCAGTCACTTAGATTACGTTATAAGATGGGTCGGGCTGCTACAGCTGATGCAAAGCTTCGACGGTGATAACGGCAGTTTGAGTAATTTATGGACGATGAGTCCCGAGAAGAGAGAGGCGAAGCGCATCTGCATTAGCAACTTAAAGGTTGTCGGGAAGGTGGTGGAGCGAGACGATAGGTATCAGCACGTATTCGCTCGCGCTGATATCAAGGGTGAAACCACTGAAGACGGCGCGTTCAGCAACGTGTTCGCCGTAAACGATTACGTTACCGTCAGTACAGACACGCGAATCAATATTACCACCGGGAGCATACTGCAAATTTCAAACGACACTATTTCAGTCTTGTTGGATAAGGACGTGATGCGCAGGGAAGACACAGACTGCGCGATCTTCCACATCGACAAGTACTCTTTTACGGGATCCGTGTTCACGTTTGATTACGCAAATGTGGTCGGTCTGCTGAGCACCGAGAAGGCCAACGCGCGGCTGCGGCGCATCGTCATCGACAGAACGCCGGCAACGTTCGCGAAGAGCCTACCGCGCTCGACTGTGTCGGCCGGCACCGAGATGATGCGCGATCTGAACGAAGATCAGCAGAGGGCCGTGTTGCGAGCCGTGGCAGCTGAGGAGTACGTCCTGGTGAAGGGCATGCCTGGCACGGGAAAGACGCAGACACTGGTGGTGCTTGTAGAACTGTTGCTGAAGTTAGACTTCACAGTGCTGATCACGGCGCATACGCACAGCGCGGTCGATAATGTTCTACTGAAGCTGTTGGACCGGAACATAGACTTCCTTCGTTTGGGCGCAACCAAACAGGTCCATCCGTTGTTGACGTGCAAGACGGAGGAATACGCAACGAAGTGCTGCGACACACCAGAAAAGTTGGAGATGCTCTATAACGATAAACGTGTGGTCGGGGTGACGTGTTACGGTGCCTACCACCCGCTCCTGCGACGACGCTCGTTCGACGTGTGCGTGGTGGACGAGAGCACGCAGGTGACACAGCCTACGGTGCTACGGCCGTTGTACAGCGCACGCCGTTTCGTCCTCGTGGGCGATCCGAATCAACTACCGCCTGTCGTCAAGAGTCGCACGGCCGTCAAGCTCGGCGCGGACGAGTCGTTGTTCGTGCGGCTCGACAGCGAGAATAACACCGTCAATCTGACAAAACAGTACAGGATGAACAGGCGAATCATGAAGTTGGCCAACGACACCGCGTACCGCGGCAAGCTGATGCCGAGCAATAAGCAGGTGGAGAACGCGACTCTGATCTGCGCACACGCGGAGGTACTCTCGTCCTGCGAAGCTTGGGTAAGAAGAACGCTCTCCAGGCAGCTGGACGACTCGGTAATGGTGCTCGATACTGGTAGCACTCGTGATTTCAACGTGAACGAGTCGTATGGTAAGAGCGTTACGTCGGATCAGATGTATTCCAACCTTTGGGAAGCTGCGATAATCATTCGCCTGGTGCGAGTGCTCAAGGAAGCGGGCGTGTACGCTAGAAACATAGGAATCATCGCACCGTACAACGCTCATGTGACTTTACTGAGAAAGCTTGTGAATGACAAAGAGGTGGAAGTGAATACCGTGGATCAATATCAGGGACGCGACAAGGACGTCATATTGTACACGTGCGCGAGGAGCGTGCTGCATCAAAAGAAGGAACACGAGATATTGGACGATCAACGACGTTTGACGGTGGCTATTACTCGCGCGAAGCACAAGCTGATCATAATCGCTGATGAAGCCACTGTCATGAAATATATGCCGTTTAAAAATCTCTTTGAAGTCATCGACGATAAGAACGTGATCCGTCTACGCGACGGTGAAGAGGAGTTTGATTGGAAGAATCTTGTTCGCTCTGTACTGTAAAGCTAACATCAATTGTGATTAGTGATCGAGAGACTAGATAGCTTAATGAAGATTAATATTAGGAAAAAAAAGACTAACGGGCGGTGACTAACTGCGAAGCATGTCAGTATTCTTCTAAATTATTTTTTATCATATTTTCTAAAACACCACCGTACAATCATAAATACTTTTTGTACAGTAAATAAATGATAGATGTACAGATAAATGATGTATGATAGAATATAAATATATTTTGTGAAAAAATATCTCGACATTAAAGTACATCCATATTTCTTCGTATTTGCGCTAGTGACCTAGAAGGCACTCTCATTAACGTTGAAGTACTTGAAGTAATTAGGTCACGGTACAAAATAAACGAAATACTAACGAAGAAAAATAAATCGCTTGAATAAAATCTTCGAAGTCAGACGGGGACGCAAAAAATTCGAAACATCTGGTAAAAGCATAATTTACAATTTTAAAAACTTGATCAAGTGTAATAGTAATTCATCTTTATCAAAATATATCGTATATAGCGTCGCGAAATGATATTTACGAAATGACACAGAAGCGCCGTCATTTCATCATTTCAATTGCATATGACACGGCGAAACATAAGAGAAAACAAAATGTTAGAAACTTTGGCACTTGTGCTTAAGTACGGCAAGCATAAGCCCCTGATATATTTCACGTAAGTAATAATCACATTCCACGCACGCTCTGTAACGTGCACTATATAAGTACAGAAATTCCGGCAATACCTCCGGCGCTATATACATATGTACAAAATAAAATATATGAGCAGTTATTTAGGCACGCGCACTCTCTTTGCGGCTTTACTTGTTAGATTCGTTATAAGATGTTCTGCCAGCTAGTTCCAGTAAATAACGATCGGGGTGGTCCAACCAGTCGCTGGCGCTTAACTTCACGACCCTCTGCTTCTCCGCTTCCTTCACTTGCCACTTCTTAATCTCCAGCTGTTTCTCTCTGCAAGCACAATAACGTCTTTTATGAAGCCATTTGTGTGGAGAAGGAAAGATTCTGTGCGAAAGGCTGAAGTATTAGATACCTCAGTTTCGTATCGCCACAACCCCAGACCTCCAGGCTGGCGATGCGACAAGGGGCGCCCGCGATCACTACCGAGTGGAATGATTCGTCGATACTGATGAACGGTGAACGCGGATCGCTGCCAAATCGCAGTCCGTGCGGATAACCCCTGATATTCGTATTCAGATACAGTGTCTTCGGTCCCTTTTCTATGATTTTATAGGACGGAGTGAGTTGAACGCCCATCGAATCATCGTCGCCCCAATAGAGATGACTCTCTCGCCACTCAACAGCCGAGCACACGCAATACGTCGCATATTCCTCGTCGCTTTCTACACTAGCAGCTCTTATAAATAGTAGAGTAGGACCTCTGTAACCTAATACATGGTGAAGGAAGCGATTAGCCCCGGTCCCGTGCTCCCCGCTACTGTACAGTAACGTCCAATGCCTTGGACAAATACTGCCTGTTCTTCCAGCTATCAAAGCGTGAGTTATGTCCTTCGGTGAATCGTTGGTCTACACACACACACACACACACCACGTACATATATGCCGATCCAAGTATGTGTACAATAGAGATTTATACGCAGGCCATAATGATTAATAATGTACTATGCAAGATACTACAAGCAGGACATACTAGTACGTCTGCTAATTAATTCTTTTATTAGATGTGTACTTTGTAAGGAACGCGGACATACCTGAAGGTAACATTGCGGTAATGTGCACGACAATAGCCAGACGTAGCTCATTGGCAACAAAGTTCGAGGATACTCGAAATCTATTTTCTCCACTACGGGCGTCGGGATCTCAATAGGTGGCTGCGGCTGTTCCTTCGACAGGAGAGCTTTACCATTACGATAAGCAGTCGTCAACACGTGCACCACGTATCGTTGCAAGCCATTGACAATGCGCGGACAATGCTGACCGATCCAGTTGCTCACATAACTCGTGGATAAGCTACTTTTGCCGTGAAACTGTGAGATATTCGTCAATATAATAATCGCTCGCTTTATGCTAAGTTTGAATTGTAAAAATTTTTAGATTGCTCCGAGCACTAATAATGCTATGAACTCTACAATAAGCTAGATAGAAGCTAATGAGGTTGATCACCTATAGAAAAATTTAAATTTGAATCAATCAAAAACATCGAAAGCTTTGTAATCTGATATCTGATATATTAATGAGTATTTCCATCATATATATATATATATATATGTGTGTATATGTGTATATATTCATATCAAATAAATACTTTACTAACACATGAAACAACAACTGCATTTATTATCTGCTGTGAGTGAAGGCACAAGCCAGTGCTATTGTTTTCCATTGCTAGTTGATGACAACATGTTAACAATGCCCTCAGTGTCTCAGGTGTAACATTGCCACCATCCTTTAAGTTGGAGTACATTTTTATGTAATTCTCCAATATAGTTTGATCGTTTATTACTGACAGGAATTTTTCAGCTTGCTGTTTGAAAGCTCCTGTACTTATGTAAGCAGTTGTAGCATGGGCATTATGGTGCAGATAAGTAAAAAGTTTCTCACTTAATTCAGGATGATTAGGAAATAAGTACTTTTCGAACACAGACTTGGTAATGCCATGAACATGTTCTTCCTGATAGGTAAGATTTGACAGTATCTATAAAAATACATATATATATCAGCATATACACATTATATTACAGATATTAAAAATCAACTTTATATATATACACATAATAAAATACAATATATAAGATACATGTTTTTATTTCTATATTTGCAAAAGAAATAAAATGAAAACAAAATTACATACATCTTCTCATATAGATAAGCAGATAATACTAACTGATAATAACTGCTTATGTAAGATATATAGCTATTGATTTGTATACCAAAGGAAAACATATGATTCAACATTCTCTAGATGATATTCAGAAAATTATGATAAAGCAATAATATCAAGAACAAGATATCTAAGAGATCTCTGTTAATTATGGATGGAAATATAAATAATAGATAATAAAAATTCTTTAGTAATGATTAAAAATCAAATGTATGATACAAACTCACAGTTTGTATTTTTGCTGAAAAAATGCTAAATAAATATTTGATGACAATCACTGTTTAGCCTCAAAAATATTGCGATATTCATCGAGGAATACTCTGGCTGTTGAACGGCGATTACTGAGTTTGGACAGAATAACAGATAATAAACAACAGACCGGCCTACCTTCGCTAGACTTTCGATCGGGAAAAATTGCATATGAGAATTATGATCCGGCTCGCTCTTGCTGGCACTTCTCGCGACGGCATTCGCACCTTGCGCATTTGCAGTCACCGTCGCAGATTCCGCCTTTTTATGCGACGCATTCCCGATACGTGTCATCTGATTGCCCATTTTACGTATCGCGGACACTAAATCAAAACCAACTCCTGCAATGTTTTCCACATTCCCACGATACAAACACGCATGGAACCATATGCAATTTTAAAGGCCTGGGCATCGACGTCATAATATCATGAAATACGAATAATAACTAGATGTGCTCGTCTTGGAAAAATGTCTAAACTAAATCAGAAACTCCCTCTATGAGACTTGACATTTGATAAAAGAGTTGTTTGCTTTTACTAGGGACTTCGATTAGCGACAGTTTTGTCTTCTGTAATCCTCTATAATCCTGCACAATTTTACCTCCCCCACCTGCAGTTTCGGATGCACATTCACGACGACATAGCGCATGCGTTTGCAATGCTTGTCAACTTACTGAGGGCGCGGTTGTCACCGATCAATCTCAGTGCTTTACGTTTGTTACATACGCAGTTGATCGTGGTACTTGGCGGACGTTAGTTTGGTCGTTTGGTTCATCGTGTCCTCGTTTCCGAATACTCGTTCTCCTATAAACGGTTATCGCGATTACTCGCGTATAGTCAGTATACGAACACCGCTGTAGGTTAAATAGATAACGTTGCCAGTTCTCGACAAATACAGAAAGAGAACCGCAACAATGACGGTCATCACGAAAGCGATCACCGAAAAGAAGGCTGACAAAATGGAGCAGCCATTGTTTGTTGAGGAAAATGCGGCGGTTAGTATATATACACATATAGATATATATTCCAGTCCAACATTTATTGCATTTGGATTTTTTCCGTTGACTAATTGTACGCATGATAAAGCATTATTTCTCATTGACATCATTGGAATTCACGAGAATGTTTGCGCGCTACGGAAATCGCTCGGCAACCCTGTTATCGTCGTGGAAAGATACGCTCGACGAATTGTCAGTTTATATTCATGTTATCTATGTTAGTCTCTGTTGTCGACGCAAGTGTATGCTTATGTTTGATAACGATAAGCAAATGTACGCATACACGAACACAATTGATGTACATTATTCAAATTCATAATATTATGACAAAAAGCTATTGCTATGGCCAGATGTGCATCTTATATTTTTTATATATCTGCGACGATGATATATATGACAATTAAAAATATCCATATAAAGGAAATAAAGCTTCTTGTTGAAGAATGTCATCAGAAGACGGAAATAAATTTCGTTTTAATTGCTTTTAAAACATCAATCTATACTTTTATTATATAGTGCAACAAATAATTAAAAAATAAAATTATATATGTATATAATTTTACACAACTAGCTTGTCTTATTATATTTCTTGTAAATATACATAGCAAAAGTTTTAAAAAATCTAAAGTATAATAATAAATTATATACTTTTAATTAATTTTTCTATTTTGCAGAGGAATAAATATATTCTCATTTAATTTAATTACTATGTCATAAATATATTTTTGTAAAAAATTGCAAGTATAGCTACTTATTTTTTCTCTATTTTTCGAAATAGGATAGCTCAAAAATGATGTGGTCATATGAAATGATAGTTCATTATTTTGTTACTAGAAGAAGCATCCAACGTATACATGTGACAGCAACATTTTTGCTATTTCTTGTTGCACTAATGATACTGATTATTGGTGTGATCGGTGGTCTCTACATTTATAAACAATATGCGAGGACTCAGATGCATAGATTCCGTACCGGCTGGTACAGTATTCCATATGATAGTTCCAACAAAGCATCTTATGGCAGGGATGGAGTTCATCAGGGACTATTGGCTGACTCTGATCTATTCAAAAGTCTTACCAGAGCCACTGAGCAAGAAGCGTTGGATATTGCAAGACACATAGATCATGATATTACAAATTTCTTCAATGAGAGATTTGAGATTGATCTTGAAAATGAGCATTATGAGAAGATTGATGTGCCTGACTTCCGCGGTGGTCGCCAAGGCCGCTTTATACATGATTTTAACATTGTAAGTCAATATTATATCCTGCCTTGTTCAATAATGTAAAAGAAACTCAATATTTACATTTAGAACAAAACGATTCTTATATTTTGTATTTATTTATAGAATAAAACAGGCATTATAGATATTGACGGTCAATGCTGTTTTGTCATGCCATTGAATCGTCAGCGTGTATTGCCACCTCGTAATATGTATGATCTCCTTAGAAAGATGTATGATGGTGCGTGACCTAAATCCATATTGACTACACAGAATAATTTGGATGAAAAATTCATGCTTACATATACTTATATTATATATTATGCATATAATAGTATATATATGTATATATAATTCTTGCATATTAGGTTATTATGAAGTGGATACTGCAATTGTACGTGAGACCATGAAAGTGGTCACCCCACCGATCACTGATCTTTCAGTCGTTGGAACATACATAGCACGTGAATGCCAAAACTTACCTACCTATATGCTCAAGAAAGTGGATTATACTAGTTAGTTGACAAGTTCCAAATTACAATTATTAAAATAGCAAAAGTTTCCAACATTTTCGACAAAGCATTACCCCATTTTCTTCAATTTTTCAGTTGTAAAACGCAGCCCATTGAGTGGGGTATTTGGGCAGTTTGCCGGCAACAGTATCATGGAAGTTGACATCGTGAATCTACAAAACTTTGAGTGAAACTAAGAAATTGTGCGAAGAAAGAATTTTCAATTATTCTAGAATATTAACCACCAGTAGATCAATGTATAAATATTATATGCTGTCGAGCGAACTTAGGTAAATATTCTACTTCGACCTTAGAATCAGTATTATACATCTGTAAATTGTCTAATTTCTCTTCCTTGACGTCCTCCCTTGAATATATTATATGTTTCAGATATATTCCCACCTTATTGAGATCAGCATTATGTCTTTCCATTATACTTTCCATTAGCTTTAGATCGTGAAATCATATAGTATAAGTATTTGTTAATAACCAGAGTCGTTTGATGTATCAAGGGAGTTCTTTGCAATATCATATATAAAAGATTAAACGTGAATAACTAAGTCACTGAACCGATATGAGAAATGGAAGACATTCATTTCATATTAAAATAGAATTATCTAGACTGTTTGCAAATTGATTCTTAGATGAAAGCATTAAATATTTCTTCCATATTCTTCAAATGCGTTATTTAGACAGTTAAAAATGTGATGTTAGTTACACTATAGTAATAAAATATTTATTACTATTATGGATTTTGATGCAGCTTGTTGACTGCATTACGAATAACATCTGTGTGAGTAATCAATGAAGCAAATAGAATAGCTGCGTTAGGTCATCAACGCTTACAATATGGTTTCTTATGTTATCAATGAGATTGTAAAAATATATTCATTTACAAATTATCTACAAGATTTATTGCTCTCGCATCGGGCAATGTGTTTGAATATGATGAATATGAAATATGAAGCATACATTGCTACCATCGTAGTTTCAAACTGCTATCGAAATGTATTTCTATAAAAAAATGTATCGTTTCAGCAACCACAATTGATATTTAAATCACGTTAAACATTTATATCAGATATAACTATATAAATATTTTTACAAAATAACTGGATTAAAAAAACCACAAGAGTTACAAAATACTGGCAACTCAAGCAAAATCTTAGTGTTCTTTTACATTAACATTCTTTATATTAGTTCATATATTGTTTTGCATTTCAAATCATGAAAGACATATGCTTTAATAAATATTAAAAATATAATATTCCATATGTACTGAAATATATAGCCATTTATTAATTTAGTACATATGTAACTGATTTTATTGAAATTTAGTTTAATTAATATAATTGTGTGATACACGATACTGATGAATTTTATTGCTCAGTTGCCATATATGTAAAATTAGAACTGTTGAACCAGAACTGGAATAGTAGAACAAATTAATTATGACTGAATGTAATTTTACTATGGATGTTTAAAACTTTTTAGTTTAAACGTTAATTTTTAATTTATAAATTAGTTATCACACATGCGTGAACTTCAACAGAAAATATATCCAGGTACTCGGATATGCTGTATTTATTAGTTTTAATTTACATGTACTGTAGATGTATTGAATAATAATACTTGTGAGATATGTATTAGGTTTTCTTCAATTCAATATGCTATGTAATAGAAGAAACAACTTAGCTAACAAACGGAGATAATCGGAAATTTAATAGTGTATTAGTATACATTAGACAAATTTTATTTAAAGTTATTAAAAATCCTCTATTGGGAACATGTAATATATTTCACATAATTTTCATTATTTTTGGATATTATAAAATTAAAATTACAATCTAAACTGCAGGATTATTTTCATGTGTAAATTATTGAAAAATAATTTAAAAAGAATAGTTATAATATATAATCATAATGTGCGTATAAAGTACTGCGTTATATTTCCAAATAGATTAAAGAAGTTGAATTTCTCAATAATTGTTTTCTCAACAGATAAGTCGATTGTATATGAAAAATCGTGAAATATACATATACATATCTATATATAACACATATATATTAATATATAACGCGAATATATTGTGGACCGAGTGCCTGAACATTTACAATCCATTCTATATTGGTTCAATGATTGTCTCTATGATAAATTCCAGTATACAATAAACGTGAACGTGAATATATAAATAATATGCAACGCGTACGTACGATTTTAAATGTTTGTAGGTATGTAGATTAAATATCTCACTGGTGGCAATAAATGTAATATATACATATCAATTAGTTGCATCACTTTTGAAAGGGATGGAAATAAGGAATTTCACGAATATCAAGTTGCTTCGATCACGATTCTTACGTGATTCTATTTGCAAATATGCATTTAAACTTTGTAATAAAAATCTTACAAAATTTTCTCGCATTTCATATGATTGTAGTTAACTTTTTATCCAGCCACTATTTCTATCTCGGATTATTCAGTCTGCAGAATTGCTTTTTTATGCATAGAATCAAGAAAACTAAAGTTGTAAAACTATACGTGAAATAATTGTAATAAATGGTATGTACATACAAATCGGCGTACAATCGGTGCAGATTCTCGCAATCCATGGGATCAAATTTTTCTTCAAGCATAATTCATTATAAACACAATATAAAAAATACTTTCGTTATCACTATTATAGTTTTATGGTTTTTATTCGTTGGATGTCGTTAATTATTTAATTTAAAAAATAAACTAATAAAATATTACATATTTATTAAATTTTGAGATATCCTTATCTTTTTATTTGTACTTTCAAGAAAAATAATCAGGAATACATATTTTCGTGGTTATATTAATAGGGAGTTTTTGCAATACCATCTTTTAGACAGTAAACGTAAATCGTGAATGGCGACGTTATTCGCTCAGAAATAACGCCGCTATATACACGACCAATATTATTCACGATCAACGTTTACCGTATTTGATATTACAAAAACTCCCTAATATTTTATATACGTAAAACATTAATGTATACATATATAATGATTAAAATAGAATAAATTCTGGTAAGAAATAGTCATGAATTATTCATATTTTTATTTAGGATAATATATGCATATAAACTATTCTTTGAGAATGACAAAAATACTATTTAGCAATTATTGGAGAAATTATTAGCTTATGGCTATTTTTGTCATCTTACTCAAGAATTTATTCTATTTACTTATAGGCAAAATATTTCTATATAATTATATATGCTCACATATGTTAGTTTCTAAAATATTTTAACACCTTTTTTTTATAGTTTGCAAAATGTAGCCGATAATTTAATAAGAGAACTTAATATCTAAAAATTATTTTAAAAGACTAAAATGAAACCGTATGTGCTTATCAAGTAACATTTGTATGTGTTAAATCAGCTATAGCTTTCTGTCTCAGAGTATAGAGTTTTTTCACCCACTTCTCAAATCTTGCTTCTTGATCCAACGTGATCTGTGGGGGATAAAATAAATATTATTACTTATACAAAATGTGCAAAAGATGTAAAAATATAAAGAACTTGCCGATGTGTGAAATATGCTTTCTAATCCACTAGAGACATTAGGTGCTGGCGGAATCTGTATAGTGTCTGAACTGATATCTATAACAATGTTTTTAAATTTGCTCTCTTTGGTAGTAGAGGAAGTGAACTGTTTTGGAGTAAAACCTTCTGCATTAATTTCATCAAGTACACCTTCCTTGAAACGTGGTTCAATGGAAAAGTCATCTGAAAATAACATAAGCTTATAATTATCAATATTTCTATAATCATCAGATTCAAATTGTAATATTGACAAAGGCAAAATCTTTTTACCTTTTGCTATTATAACTTGGCTTTTCTCAACATTAATTTTTGCTTGATTTGATTGTGAGCTACTTGAAGGGCTTCGTGATTTTTCTCTTGAAGTGGATCTAGCTTTTCTCTTGGAACGGTCGGAAGAATGAGATCTACCTGTACTACAGCGGTAACGCCTTTTATCTCGGTCCCTGGAGCGACTACTCCTGGATCCTCTATAATTCTTTGAATTCCGATCTCTCCCTCTACTTCTTGAATTTGAACGGTGTCTACGTTTTGTTTTTGAATGCTTTGATAGTCTCCTTCGATGAGGTGAGGAATCACTAGAATTTGAACCACTAGATCTGGAAAAATGATCATAACATCAGAATTTATTTTCTTATATTAGACATTTTATTGAAAGTAATAATTAAACATATTGAACACATAGAAAGCATAGGGGAATAGTACAACTAATTTGTCTATATATTACTGATTGTTGATTGACAGAGCCTTAATTTAGTTAATTTGTCGAAAATTTCTTTATGTTAAGATTAATGTTTTAAATCAGGATAAATCGCGGCAGTTTGGTCGAATTCGAGAAGCGGTTGTTTTAAATGATTTTTTAAAAATCCAAAATAAAGGGTAAAAATTCGAGACTAGAAAAATTAAGACGCAAAGTTAATTTAGACTTCCGTAATGTGGAGAAATGCTTGATTTGGCTCTCAGATTGTCGCATCCTTCGTAGATACGTTTTCGACATTTTGTGAATGTAAACATCAAAACAAATCTACGAAGTGTTGCTGAACTATTACTAATCTGAAAGTCAAATCAAGTGGTGCAGCTAAAGATGATGTAACTTCTTATTTTAGTATTTCAGCGCGTGTTAACAATGTAATATTTCTTGTTTTACCTTGATCTTCGATTTCGTCTTTTCCGGTATCTACTACTATAATCTGAATCTGATTCACTAGAATATCTTGCCATAATTTTCAAGATAATGTTTTCACATTCAGAAAGAGGTTAAAGTTCCTGGTCTTTCATCGCTAACCTCTTGATTAATGGCGACAGAAGCGGGAAAATGCATACTCAAAGTTCTTGCGAAATATATTGAAATGGTTATATCTTTATTTCAACATATTATATTATGTTATGTATTATATTATTTTCCCTCTTCTAACATAAACAGTATATCTACAATGAGTTTGTTGAATGTATTGATTAGTCGGATAGAGTATTTCTAAGATAGTCAAAAATGATATTTTTATTAGAGTAAAGCTTATTTGTTGTTCTTTTTCTTTTTTTCAGCATATGACTTAATTATTAAATTAACCTATAAAAGCTGAACATCTTTAATAACTTATATAAAGAAAACAAATAAATAAGGAAATAAACATTCCAAACTATAACATGGACATTACAAAAACTATTGAATCAGAAAACACAATGAAAGATACTCAAGAAAAATTGTACCCTGACAAAACAAAGTCTGAAACTATACAACTTAGTCATCATGAATTAATAAAACTGACTAAAGTAGCAATAGATAATATTATTGAAAGTGATCCACTTCTTTCTGGATTACCCTCAGATGTCACAATAGAAGAACTTAAATCACAGATTGCAGTTGCACAAGGACAAGCTATAACCTTATTCTTAAATCGTGGAGAATTACCAAAACTTGCAGTAGTGGTAATATGTTTTTGTGATTTTCATGATAATTTGTTAATTTATCTATACTATATGGTAATTTGGTTTATAATGGTTAAATATATCAAATGTTCTAATAATCTTTATTTCTTTTTGTTTCTAGGTTCCACCACATGACACAACAGTTCTTGATTTAAAGAAAGCTATAAAGCGTCATATGAGTTTATCCTTAAAAAGAGAAAACATCAAGAAGAAAATAAGCTGGAAACACATTTGGAAAAAATATCATCTCTGTTTCGAACATATTAAACTTGCTAATAACAATGAAAATATTAAAACATATGGTATTGCAAATAAAGCTGAGTTGCATTTTATGAAGAAACGCAGAGAAAAAAATAAACTGGTGAAAAATTAATATTTGTTATTGATATCCAAATATAGTTACAGTTAATTCACAGAGACATAATTAAAATTATATAAATAATATACAATAAATATTTTGAGGTCTTAAAATGTTAGATACGAATTATATAGTCTTATATTTCACTAGAGGTAACTCTTTATTGACATTATTCTTTGGGTAATTTCAAAGATTCATAAATTTCACAAGTCAAGCCAGGCATACAATCTTCTAACATCATACAAGTCAGTTCAAATGTGGCAGATTTATTGTGATTTGTGACAATTAATTTGTTTAAATTGAACATCCTATATAATGACTCCAGTCCTCTTTCAGTGATTTTTTCACAGCCTGAGATGTCCAAATATTCCAATTCTGGAAACTCTGCTGATATTTTATCTAAGCCCCAATCATCAATGTTCTTGCAATTCTTAAGACTGAGCCACTTGAGCTTTGTAAGATCACATAAGTTACTTAAGCCTTCATAATGCAGATCAAACCCATTGACATCTACTGCTTCAACAATGTAGTGTGGGTCATATACATTGGGTAAATTTAAGGTACCGTCCTTATTTAATTCTACCCAAAAATCAGAATTTTTGAATCTTATTTTGCCTCCGCGATGTGCAATGAAGTGAGCGGTGGCCAAATTAGCACCTAGTACTTCGTGTCTTTCCGGTATAAATTTCTGACTTTCTTTGTCGATCTTACGTTTCTTGTAATTGAACCAATTTCTGAGATTGCCGAGAAAGAATTCCTCTCCCGTCGGTGCCTCAGTTGGAAACCATATAAATGTTTTAGGCTTTTTAGGGTCGTCACCGAGTGTACTTCGATTCACATCTGCCTCTTTTTCTCGCTGTAAATACTGTTTTATTTCGTGATCCACGCCGTACATGCGAGCTTGCACAAATGAAAATGATTTATCTTGAATGCACATAAACTTGTTTAGTTTTTGTGCTAACACGGAGATTCGCCTCACTAACATCTTTTAAGAGTAGAGCTAACCTAATGTAAAGGTTAGTTTTTGAGATCGATACGTATTGTCGTGTATTCTAACCTAACACAACGTAGTTATATATACCTGTGAAGGTGAACTGAAGGCACGATGATTTAGGTTGATAACTATGGCTGCGTTTTCGATATTCACTGCCAGCACTGAAAATCTATAATATTCATGACACAAACCATGTATTTTCAGTACTGGCAGTGAATATCGGAACGCAGTCTATACCAGAAAAAAATTTAAGCCTGTTCTTAATTTAACTACAGGTTGTACTTTCTAATTTTTAAATATATAATTGGACATTGAAGAGAAAAGGAACTTTCCGACGCATTTGAAGAGATCGAATTTCTAAATTTAACATACCCTGTTCTAACTTGTTATTTAACTATAAATTTTAATTCTTGTTAAAATATAAAATGGAATTATTAAATCTTTTTTATAATTTACAAGATTTTATGGATTTTTAAATAAATGTTGAGTATATATTGTCAATTTTCTATAATTATGTGTTCTGCTTACAAATATATACTCCTATTTTGTACATAAGATTTCGAGATTTTAAACAGTCTTAAACTATTTTATACTGTCTTAGCTAGAATTATTATGCCTATATCAGCTCATTACATGATTGAAGATTGTAGTAAATAAAACATTGCACTTTTCTTGAGTAATAATGCAAGAACTATCCCTTAATCAAAATGTGAGCCAATTAAAGTTATTTATACATCATAACATCAGGAGATTGATACATGCACATATATGCATCGCATAATAGACGTTTTGCATGTTCTGGTAAGTGTCGATCGTCTGTTAACTTAGTCAAGTAATTTCCTCCTTCTTCACTTAACCAATAGGGAAAATCTGGACATGGCACCATTTCTGGTATATTGTATCCATTTTGTTCTCCTAATAAAAATTGAAATTAATATTAATAATAATACACAACTTATTAATAACAGAAATATAATATTTAATGAATATTTTAAGCTCATTATGTAAGATATTACTTTTTATAAGAAATTATATAAGATACCTTTTCTATCAGCCATGGAATCAAAGAAACACCATGGTGCCTCTGAGCCAGGACCACATTTTACAAAAGAAACATAATGCGAGGTTTCAATGCATACCACTGCAGAGAGTTCTAGATACAAACGTGGTACAGGACAATGTTCTTGCAAAATTGCAAATTCCACAGGCACAACCAGTTTCTTTGGCTCGTGATTCGTTCTTCGTTCATGACAATGTACCTAAGGAAAATATTATAATTTATATTTTATTTATACTAGATTATCTTTAATCGGTACTTTCATAATTTTCGTTTTATAAACCTTTTCAAGACAATGCAAGCAAAATGCTATACTTTCGAGACCAACACCGCATTGTTCATAGCATTCTTTGCACTCAAATTCTGCTAATTTCCCACAAACTGTGCACTGTCTAGGGGCTATAATTAATAAATAAAATAAGGGGCTGTAAATATTGATGCATTTTATCATAGATAGAAATAATTGTTGAGATAAATAACAATGATACTCAACAGTCTTCAATAATATCCGTTACGTCGAGCAATAAAGTAGGCTGTATTTTTTGATACATTTTAAACGATTTGCCAAAACGGGGCATCTGTATAATGAGACACGAAGGAACTTCCTTCAATCTAATATTACTGGTTAGGAAACTCTGTTCCAATAATTGCTGGACAGTCGGCAGATTTAGATGATCATCCTTTTCGACGAACAATTGATAGTGATATGCGTCCTGTCCGGAGCTCAATTTGAGGAATGGTTCGGCATTCAAAATTTGAGCAACCAGTGACGTTAAAAATTCTTCTGGGTCTATAATAGAAATATTACAAATTTATTGTATATCAGACGTAATAATTTATCCAAAATGAAGTAAATGATTTAAAGAATTAAAGACGAAACCTTTTTCCTCGCTAGTCAAGCCGGATACTGACGACAATTTTTCGAGCAAAGTCCTGAGCTTCATTACACGATCTGCTCTGACAAACATATTTTTCCTGAGCGGGTTCACAATTTCTTCTCGTAAAACTCTCTGCACTTCTTCATACTGTGGACAATCCTTTTCATTCGGCGGTCTGAAAAATTATTTATACAAATATTTTAGGAAAAACACTGTATTTATTTGCACAGTAGCATAGCATATATATTATCTGAAACTGAACCATTTTGAAGTAATATATCAATTACATTGACGCAAAATGAATTACCGAAATAGAAGATTGTCGAATACACTTGTAAATGTAAACATGCTAAAGAGAGTAGCATCTAGGTAGCATGAATTATGATGGCCTTGAATACCACGATATTTGCCGCATATACTTTCCAAGTCTCCTTTAACGGAAATAGGCCTCACTATACCCGCGATTACGGAACTTTCCATATTACCAAAGTTATCGTTATTTGTAAGTGCAAGTTGTTCGTCAAGCTTCGTCTGTTTACAAGAATATTTTTCTAAGTTATTTATAGGACTGCATAAATATTCAGGAGCTAATACTGCGTGACTCATTCCACCCATACTCACATTTTCGTAATGAGAACAATGTTCAATATCTGTGAATATAGCTTTATAAGGCCTGCAATGAAAATATCTGATGTCCTTGTAAGTTCCATCAGTACCTAAAGGATGTCCATCATCCTATGAATGACACATTGTTGAACTTTGTTTTCTGGAATTTTTGTAACAACCCAGACTATCGTGAATCGCTTGTCATATTTACCAATTCTACAGCTGCCATTAATTTGCCAGGACTGATACCAGGTGGTGTACCAATCCATCGGATAACTCCGTAATGAACATCAGAATCCAGTAATACTTTCACATTGGAACCAACCATTAAGTCTTCCTTATTTTCTATCTTGCTGAATTTCTTAATTTCATTTTTCTCTAGCGCATTACCTATAATACATGACAATACGTCCATCTGTCATAATCATCTATAATATTTATTCATATATTTGTATACAGGATGAGTAACTTTACTGACAATTTTACCCGATCTTCTGTTAAAAAGGATAAAGAAACAACATTTTATTTGGAAACTTGATATCACGTTATGGAAAGGTCAAGTGATAAAGTTATTGATAAGATTTCTCAGCAATTACTTTATTTCAAACAAACAGTTTATAAAACTGTTTATTAGAACTTTTCTTTTTATAATTACGAGATATAAAAATGTCTGGAAAATTTGTGACATATCTTAGACTCATCCTGTATAGATACATAACATATTTAAAGATAACATCTAAAAATTTGTCTGATATAAAAGTATAAACATAATATTGCATAAACACAAACATTTGAGTCAAAGATATAGTAGAAACAGGATATCAAACGTATCTTACTGTAATCCAATAAGCTTATGTGATCATGCATCTCTTCCAAATCACTGTACACATTTGATTCTATATCACTACTCCACTTGTGCTCCAATACAAAAATAGGAATGTTCTGCAGTGCTGTTGCCATTATTTAAATAAAAGATACAATAACTTTCGCGAGCACTTTGTAAATCTGCCGGCAGAGTTCTCTAGGACAGGCTAGGTTTGCATCTATTTTCAGATACCTGCGCTATTTTTAACTCCCTCTACCATGTAGAAGGAATTAAAGTGCCTACAGCTAATTTCATTCTAGGATTCTTAGGAAAAGACATTGAGAGAATAAATGAATATTTATTGTGTTTATGATGGTGAAATTACCAGATTTAAAGAGAGCGTGATCGGGATTTTTAGCAAAGTTATTGATGTCATTCTCGAGAGTTGATTTTGCAATCTTTTGACGTTCCTTCAACATGTTGACAGATTCACGATTGTTGTTCTTATTGTCGTCGAACGTAATAAACTGTTCTAACAGAATAGCTGGGGTACTGTCGAGCACAGATTTCTTTTTATCATTATCAGTCCCTGTGCTACTCTTCAAGAACAAAGCTGAAATAAAAATAATATAAAAATAAAATAAATTGAATTATCATAAAGATGTTAAAGAAAAGTTGGAGTGTAATCAATTTGTATACTTTTCTCAATGTTGTTGGAGATTGTATCAGTTTCTTTATAGGGATATATGTGGTTTACAGTAGCAAATATTGCATTCCAATGTGTACAAATAAAGTACTCTTTAGTCAATAAAAATGTTTTAGATGAATCTTGACTTTCCTGTAATATATTTATGTAATTATAACTAGCATTATTGCATTTTTTTTACATAAACATATGCATGCATTTGCACTGGATCATTATCAAAATATATGCTTTTTCTTCTTGTCATAATTATTCCTTTATTTTTCTAAAACTTAATTCAATTTCTTTCTTGATTAATAGTTTTATAATCAGTAATTTATATTACAATTTTTCTGTGTTAATTTTATTCTTTCAGGTACTTATTGACAAGAAGATGATTTGTTTTAAATATATATCTCATAATATATATATAAATCTAGAGAGATATATATTTAAACAAATATATATCTCACTAAGTTTATATACTACTGAGTTTATGCACTTTTATAACTTTAAAATTGGAATCTTTGGTAGGCAGCAACAAGTAAGATAGTCTCATTAATTCACCAGCAGTTCGAGACCAAAGTAATGTCCTAGTCCTAGTTCTGGTACAGGTCCGATATATTTCACAAATGCTACTTCCTTAGAATGTTTATTAGGATCGCAGCAGTACCAGACTTTGTCTTTCACGGATATACTCCTTATTTGTTCGCACAGTGTTTCGTCGCTTGCCAATTGGACTCTCTCCTGTGGGGATTGTACAGCAAGCAGATACTGCCATATCTTGTGTGATACTGGTATTAGATCGTATTTGTGGCAACGCCATTCTGTGCCGCACCAGGTCTTGGATCCTGCGATGTCGATTACACGTATCTTCAACGAGCTATCCTTTAAATCCTCGAGCGCTTCTACAAGCATTCCCAGACGCAACTGGTTAACGTTAACGTCGCAAGCGCCGAATAGCCGTAACAATACCGTATCTTGTTTGGCGACATAATATTGCAGAAACCGGCGTTCCTTGCCACCGTCCGAGCTGCGATCTACCATGGTCAAATACGAATAATCATTTGTACTGTATCGATTACGTGCCAAAGAATCATTGATGTTTATTGACATACGGCCGAACTCAACGTTTATTTCTATTTATTTGCATAATTTTACTTGAGTATTATGTATTTGGTCGACGATAATTTCATCTCTCTTCGAATTTTTTAATAGATTTCTCTTAAAAATACTACTATTTCTACACTACATATCTCAATAAACAATTTACCAACGAAGTTTGTGTTATCGTTCCACTGTCACTCGACATATTAGTGCGGGGTAAAGGTGAATCACTTTCGACCAATGACATGAAAGTTTAGTTAATCCGCTATTGGATCGAACTACCAGAGACGAACCTGAAAGAGGCCAACACGTTTTCGGCGACACTAACTTTCCGCACTGGGAAAGGGCGCCATCTGCATCCATTTTGAGAGGGGAACTGCGATACTACACTTTTAGGCCTCGGCGGTAAAACCTGCATGTAGTGACAGTCCGTGCTACATCCACTTTCAGGAGGTTTATGTCCGTGCTACAACCATAATAGCATACTTAACAAGCACGGTCTCGCACATTGTTACGCGTTTATAACATGAATTAACATGTTAACATGTGCAAAAAAGAATTGACATTGTGTATGATTAATATCATGAAGATCATACGAAGTGTCCGATAATTAGCTGCCAACCCAAAGTGTGAGGGTAGATTGGTTTGAGACAAACATAAAAGTCCTATACCGTTTTGCGAGATTCGCAATAATTATCGAGTTATTAATGACAGAAATCTGAGGAGTAGGAGCGAGCCTACATAGATGATCGAAGAAGCGTCGCAGCTGCTTAGGGCAGCGATCATGAATCTTTTCCCTAGCGTAAGCTAGTGAAAAGTGAAAGACTTCTGTGAATTAGAGAAAAATGAAAAATTTTATATGAATTTGTGAAAAACGAAACATTTCGCACGACAATTGAGTCGTTCAACATGACAGTTGCGTTCTGGATAATTCTTAATGAATATCAAAGAAATAAAAATGATCAAAATAATAATGTCCGTGTAGTCCGAAGGATATTACGTAACACGCAAAATCCGTTTGATATAATATCCAAAGAAAATGTTTCAAAATATGTATATACAGGTAATATAAACCTTATGCATCAACGAGATACTATAAAGGCTGATGGTCTTACGGATTTAACGTACCAGAAAAATTTCCCTCGTGAGGCACCCGGGCGAAAGAGACGGGGCTAGGCGACAAAACGGCGGCTGATGAGAAATACGTATAATCTAAGCGGAAATTTCAAGGTAGTACTCGCCAAATATCCCCACTGTGTCGTCACACAAAATCGAGTGTGTTGTTTTCACACGCGTGAGCGCGTAATTAGCTCAAGTTTTCTTCACACGATTCTTGCGAGATTTGAAACGACAAAATTCGACCCCGAAAAAACACTCAGCCAATCGATCGCTCGTATGCCTATAAATGACACATTTGGATTTGCATCTCGAATCTTTCGAAAAATATCAGTACTCGCTGTTCTTCAGGTTCTCACAGAGAATGTCTAAAAACCTCCCTCAAACAAGCAGTGTCTGATCTTGAAATTTTCATGGATCCCGAAACTTGTAAAGCGCAGTTGAAGGACCGAGAATAGTTTCTTTCGCGGTATTTCATTTCAACATACGCTGAATATTCTCGTGCAACACTTTTTGTAGGCACGTCTCGGGACATTTTTTATCAAGCACGAGAGACGAATATGCGTAAAAGAGCTGGAAAACTTTACGAGACGTATCGTACAGAGGACAAAGGTTATTCGCGGATGTCACACAGAACTATATTGAGGCAAAAAACAGGCCTGTATCTCGACCCGTTTATGAGATATCGAAGGTTCAAGTTTTCCAACTTGTACCGTTGATATCTCCGCTTCTACTGGGAATTGAGAGTCGAAATTTATGGTGAAAATAGGGATTTACAGGACTACATTTTGGCAAAAAAAAAAAACAGGCCTGTTTCTCAAGCAGTTTAGGAGATATCGAAGGTTAAAGTTTTCCAACTTGTACCATTGATATCTCCGCTTCTACTGGGAATTGAGAGTCGAAATTTATGGTGAGAATAGAGTTGATACAGAACTATATTTTGGCAAAAAAAAAACAGGCCTGTATCTCTAACCGTTTAGGAGATATCGAAGGTTAAAGTTTTCCAACCTTTCTCCGTTGATATCTCCGCTTCTACTGGGAATTGAGAGTCGAATTTTATGATGAGATTAGGGTTGATATAGTAATATATTGTGGCAAAAAAAACGTGCCTGTATCTTGAGCCGTCTAGGAGATATCGAAGGTTAGAATTTTCCAACCTGTACCGTTAATATCTCTGCTTCTACTGGGAGACCTGAAAGTGGATATACTATCGTAGTTCCCCTCTCAAAATGGATACAGATGGCGTCCTTTCCCAGTGCAGAAAGTCGGTGTCGCAGAAAATGTCGTGTTGGCCGCTCTCAGTGCTGGAATTCTGTAAAGCCAGCGGCACACGGTGCTTGTTTTCATGCTGCATTGCACGCTGGATGAAAATACTGCGTTCTGATTGGTACATTTCCGAAGATGGATGGAAATGCACCAATCAGAACGCAGTATTTTCATCCAGCAAGCAATCCAGCACGAAAACAAGCATCGTGTGCCGCTGGCTTAACTCATTATTGGAGTTAACGACAGTTTCGTTATCGTTACGCAGCTTTTCTATGGTATACAAACGCTGCGCAACGATAACGAAACTGTCGTTAACTCCAATAATGAGTTACAGAATCCCGCTACAGGTTTCTCTCTTGGTCTGTTCTTTGTAGCTGCACTGTTGAACTGGTGCAATAAGTTAAAGTGAGACAAATATAGGTTTTCTCACTCTAGCTTATTGCACCAGTTCAGCAGTGCAGCTACAAAGAACAGACCATCTGCTAAAGAATAAAAAGTTCCTATGTTTTATCGTTGAGTCATATTACTTGAAAGCCTGTTTCCTTTGCCGTTGAGTCGTACTATGATTTCACTTCGGCTACATTTCGCAAGATATATGTGTGTGTGAGATTTCGTTTGTGATCTTTCCCGCGCGATATATGAGATTTTTAGTGGCTCCGAAGTGTCATACTTTAAATATGGGTGATATCGGTCACGTTGATGTGTTGACCAGTGATTCCGCGCGTTTAACAGCGGATTCCGGCTTTAGCGATCTTCTGAGATCGGCAGAACAGTTGTCCGCAGCAGTCGAAGGAAATGAGGAACTACCGCAAGTCGAAAGGAATCTCCGGCAGGTCCTGGAGGCTTCCAATGAACTGTGGGCTCGTGTTATGCAAACTAGCACACAGGATAATGAAGCACAAGCGTAGGTTCATTTTGATGAAATCCTGTCCAATACGTACTAATTTGATACATTTTATCTTCACAACTTTTCTTAATTTTATTATTTACAATTAATGCAAATTTTTAAGTGAGCTATGTGTGACATAACCAATTTGTAAAATTACCGGTTGTTTGTTGTATTCATATATTAAATTATTTACTGACAAAATTAAATTTTCAGCCATCTTTTATTAGGATCTCGAGGGATAGATTTGCCTCAGATCTCTCAAAAGTTAAATTCACTCAGTACAAGACGTACATTTGAGCCTTTAGATCCTATCGCAGATACTGACATTGTTAGTTTTCTTAGAAATGAAAAGGAAAATGCGATTCTTTTCATCATTGAACAGGTTCACAGAGATGTACGTATAATAATAATTGTTTAAATATTATGTACATGTATATGTATATATATCAAGTTATACTTTTTCTTTTAGACATTTGAGCTTACTAGAACTGAACAAATGGAGCATATGCTAGGTGAATGGAAACAAATGCGTTATGAAATAATAAATTCCATGACTGCACCATCTGGTGAACTAGTAGATTTACGTGGAGCGCCACAACGTACAAAACTAGCTGGTTCAATGGTCAGTGGTCTTTCTAACATAGAAGTAGCATATGTCAAAGAAATACAGAATTATAATGACCATGTACTTAGAGGTATAACACGACCCAGTTTGTTCACTGCATTCTATAAAGCTTCAGAATCTTTCAATGATAAGAAAATAACAGAGTTATGGCAAATGGTAAAGTATATGGTTGATATTCCTCCAACACCCAGAGGAGACCAGATCAAGTCTAGAAGCAGTCCAGTGGTTGAACTGAAAATCATTTCACAAGCTAGAAAATATTTAGAGAATAGATACAGAGATTTCATGAATTCTATCATCAATGAAAATTTGGCACAAGCAAAACGTGGTGGTATTCCGGGTACTATACCTCTGATTAAGAGTTTTGTAGGCGTCAAAGTACAAAATATGCGGGACTTGGAAGATGTTATGGTCGAAGATAAGCCATTGTGGCCGTTGGTGTACTATTGTATGCGATCTGGCGATTATAAAGCCGCACTGCAATGTCTCAACCAATGCACCACAGAATTTCCAGAGTTTAAAACTGCTCTCGAAGAAGCCTGCGACGATTCGCAGCACCATCCAAGCAGCCGTGCCGAGTCCATCCTGAAATTACATTATCGGAAACAAGTACGATCCATCGGTGATCCGTACAAGAGAGCCGCGTATTGCGCTTTAGTTCCTTGCGAGCCGGACGATCTCCACTCCGAAGTGATATCCACGGCGGACGATTACCTGTGGTTAAAATTGTGTCAAGTTAGAGAACATTCGGACGTTGAGAATAAATTGACACTGGATTATCTGCAAACTACAATTTCGGAGATCTACGGTAACGTTGATTTGAGCACTACAAGCCGATAAGCAGCATATTTCGAATTTGTATATTCTAAACGATATGTTTTACAGGAGAAACATATTATCACGCGCATGAACAGCCCTTTTTGTACTTTTCAATGTTATTCTTAACTGGACAATTTGAAGCGGCCATAGAATTCTTGGCGACAGGCGCTGGAGCGAGGCATTTGGCACACGCGGTGCATCTAGCGGCTGCTATGCACGAGCATAATTTATTGGCCGTCAGTCAAAGCGTTTTGGCGCCTCTAATAAGTGTGGATCCTGCTGACAAGCCGCCGGCGAAAAGACTAAATTTCGCCAGGCTGATATTGTTGTATGTTAAAAGATTTGAATCGTCAGATCCAAAGGAGAGTCTTCATTATCTGTTTTTACTGAGGTACAATTTAGCATTACTCGTCATTTGCATTGGTTTGATCACGAACTCGCCGTTATCGACGCTGTGCTTTCAGATGTATGAAGGATCCGTATGAACGTAACATGTTTGCAGCATTTGCTGCGGAAATGGTGGTAGAAGCTACTCCTGCAAATCGCGTGTTGCTAGTCGGAAAACTTGAGAAAGGTCAAAGACTACCGGGAATCTTGGATCAGTTCCAAATCAATACAGAAGATGTAATAAATATATGCGCCATGATGTTATATTTGAAAGGTCTGCTGGAAGACGCCGTGACGATGTATGATTTAGCAGGCAATCAGGAAAAAGTCCTCAGTTTAATGTGCACGCTTCTGACGCAAGTCGTCAGCCAGAAAGGAGTACCTGGTTCTCTCAGAACACGATTGCAAGCTACAGCCATGGACATCAGTACGAGGTAAATATACAGGGTGGTCTACATAATTCTTAACAGCTGAATATTTCGGAAACTATTTATCAAGTCAAAAAGTTGTTCATGAGAAAGTTTTATGTATTCGAGGGGCCTTTCTAACCACATAAATATTAAGTTATTCCCTATCTCCCTTAAAGGAGGGCAAGGAATAACTTCGCAATTTCAAACGGGACCCCCTATAAAATGTTAGATGGTTGGGTTCTGCGGTAGAAAACAAGTAAATTTTGTTCAAAACATTTTTTGTCAGATGTTTCCGTTAAAAGATATGACGGTGTAAAGTTTCGAAGTTACAGGAAACGTAAAAGCGTCGCGTATCCTTGTCTTTTGTCGGTGATACAAACGTAAACAAACATTCATACGTTCATTGAGGTCAATTTAACTATTCATGAAAATCTTGTCAGTTGTATGTTACTATTCAAAAAGTTAGCACCGTGAAAATCATAGCTATCACTATGTTTGATACAGAAGTGAATGTTATTAGTATTAGGTGAATGCCAAAAGAATTATCGGTGTGCAGCAGTAATGTTTTTTGAACGTTATGGGATTAAAAAATCGCATATGTCATTTTTTAATGTCATTATTTTTTATTGTCAGTTGTACGCAATTCACCATGCACAAAGCTGCTTTCACAAAGCAGCTTTTCTACATTAAAAAATTATACATGCGATTTTTTAATTCCATAACATTCAAAAAACATTACTGCTGCACGCCGATAATTCTTTTGGCATTCACCTAATATTAATAACATATTTACTTCTGTATCAAACATAGTGATAGCTATGATTTTCACGGTGCTAACTTTTTGAATAGTAACATACAACTGACAAGATTTTCATGAATAGTTAAATTGACCTCAATGAATGTATGAATGTTTGTTTACGTTTGAATCACCGACGAAAGCCAAGGATACGCGACGCTTTTACGTTTCCTGTAGCTTCGAAACTTTACACCGTCATATCTTTTAAAAGAAACATCTGACAAAAAATGTTTTGAACAAAATGTTTTTGAACAAAATTTGTTTTTAACGTAGAACCCAACCATCTAACATTTTCTAGGGGGTCCCGTTTGAAATTGCGAAGTTATCCCTTCCCCCCTTTAAGAGGAGCAGGGAGTAACTTAATATTTATGTAGTTAGAAAGGCCCCTCGAATACATAAAACTTTCTCATGAACAACTTTTTGATTTGACAAATAGTTTCCGAAATATTCAGCTATTAAGAGTTATAGTGGGCCACCCTGTATATAGTTTAATTTTTTAGTTGATGGTTTTTATATTAATTAAAATTTACATAGTTTTTCATCTGATACTAATTTTTGAACATCAATATTCTTTCCTACAAAAGTATACAATCTAGAATAAGGTTTATATTATCTATGGATATTATGATTCCCTTTTTAGATATAAAGATCACGCAATTCAAGCATCTTCCGAAGTAGTATCTTCGTTTTATACTTTAAGGGATCTTATGGTTTTCTTTGATCAATTTCATAATGAGCAATATCAGAGTGCACTTAGAGTAAGTAACTTTTTGTTTATACATATTTTTGTTTATATATATTGATATGCGATGTTATTTTTAGGAGTGTACAGAAACGAGTGATTTTCATATTTAACTTAGATTATAGCTAAAAACTAAAGATTTTAACAAAATAATTTTTTGTCGTTTTTCTTTAGACAATTGCAGATTCAAAAATGTTGCCTCTCCAAGTAAAAGAAGTTGATGAGAGAGTAAATGCTTTACGGCGCGTTTCACCCGAAGTGGCTGGCACATTGGCCGACGTTCTTCTAGCTACTATGACGATATTGTATCGTCAATATCAGAAACTGCGTTCGGTAGAACCAGGTGATGAGATTGCACGAGAACAACAGCTGCACGATCTCCGAGAACAAGCACGAGCGTTAACGAGTTTTGCGGGAACTTTGCCATATCGTATGCCAAATGAGACAAACAGTAAGCTTGTACAAATGGAGATTTTGATGCATTAAAAAGTCGACTGTTGTTAAATATAAAATTGAACTTTCGGAACACCTATTCCATTGAATCAAATCCATTAAATTAAATTTGGGAGGTTTGTTTATCTCCCTATCTATGTATGTATAATGTAGTGTTTGATATATGTATTTGATATCTGTTTATATAAAATCTACATTTTTATTTGGTACTAATTGAACACTAACATTTTTCCCTTAAATATAAAATCGTATATTTCCATCACCAGGTATACAATAATAACAAAAGCAATATTGTTTTGAAATAATAGTTGATTTTCATAAATGTAACATTTAGATTTTTCCAAGTACTATATATAATGTTAGGAAGAAAAATATGACAAAAAAAACCCAATACATCATTATATTTTTATTTTCATTTGTATATATGTGCGTGTGGTATAATAAATATGAATTTTTACAAACACAATAATTGATATAATAATTATTTTATATGATGAATACATTTTGCTTCTCACATTCATTTCTGATATGTTCCATTTTTATTCTAAAAATTTTTATTCTAAAAGACATCTTAGTGTTCGAATCATGTACATTGTTTTAGTGAATCATTGCAGTCCAAATTAGAAGATTTTAAAGGTATGACTGATATCCCACAGCTGAGGTCTTCAACTTTCCCTTCTTTTATCTATAAGAATTATTTTTTGTTAAAAGGTATAGCATATGTATATGTACAAACTTTTCCAAATATTTTATACATACTGCTCTATAGTCAAGAAACATTTCTTTAAAAGCCAAGAAGTCTGTTATTGTTGAGAGTACTTCAAAAACTTCACCTTCCAGCTCTGCTTGTTTCTCACTGAGTTTTATTATATTAGATAACATGCAAAAATAAGATGTTTGTTAGGATATATATATATATGTGTGTGTGTGCGTTTTATTATTATTATATAATTATATTATTATATAAGTATTTTTATAATTACTTTAATTGATGTAAAAGGATATCTATAGTGAATTGTGGCATGACCTTTTGGAGATAATCGACAATGTACGCTTCCACAGCTTTATTCTAAAATATATAAAATGATTTGTTATAGAATTGTAACACTTTTTGAAATTTCGAACATCTTATATGAAACTTACATATTCATGAAAAATATCAGTATAAATTAGTTTGTTTTCTTCTGATGGTTCAAAAATGTTCCAATATTTTTCTAAAAATCTTTTTTGTAGAGTTTGGAAATCTTTTTCTAAAAGTTTTATTCATTTAAATAAATTAATTGTTTATCATTTTGATTTTTAAAATAATTATTTTTAAAATAATTTTGTACCTAGTAACAAATCCTCAATATGTCCAATTGCTTCATCAAAAGAATAAACCTCCTTACTCTTTGAGACTTGATTTTCATCGTTGTTTTGATTTGAAAAAACGTAGTTATCTAAATAAGAAATTTAAGTAATTTATAATTTATTAATAAATTACTCGCAATTATTTTTCGCAAACAGAACAATATATATTAGTATCTTATTTTGATAAACATTAAACATTTTGAATTTAAACTAATATAATTTAACGAAAACTAACCCATTTTATTTATCACTTAGTAATCCTTTCAAGAATAAAACACTAAATTTTTATTGTACAGTAAAATTATTACGATTATAAATTGTCAGTATAACAAGTTTACTATTAAGTTACAGATTAGGCTAATCGTTGCTAGAATGACATTCGTTAATCGATAAACCTAAGAGGTTAGATTCGATCATGTTCAAAATTGGATAGAACTACAACTAATGACAATAAAATCAATAAAATCTTAAATTTACTCTTTTCATCTATGTTTTTATTGTATTTATATTTTTGAAATGTATACAAATTTTTTAATTTAGTAAAAGGGTCACAAAGTGTAGAAAGTGCTATACTTTTTGTTTCGAGATATCGATATATATTTCGAGATGCAATATATATTTCACCGATGCAATATATAATTCGTCCATTTGCTCGGCGGATACCGACATAGCAGTACGAAATCGGGAGACTGCACTTCTCTCGTAAATGTAACTTGTCTAAAGTAAGTTTTACAATATGAATCTTTACAGTGAGTATTGAAAATAGATTTTGCGCTTTTGTTATGCCAATATATTATTCAGAAAATCGCTGAAACAATTCCGTGCACTAAAAACGTTGAGTAGAATGCTATGCGTTATAGTAGACTAAAGTTCGAATCACTGCATTTTACTCTTTCGAGCTGCCATAAATGGGTTTCGCAATAAATTATTATCGCCAAGAAGGACAAAGATAAATTCGATGTGTTATATGTAGTAAAATGTTCTTAAAACTACATATCTAATAGAATAAGATCTATTAAAAGTATCGAATGAAGTTGGCGCGTTGCGACATTCCAAGGATCTCAATTGTTGAAATATTCGGGCTGCGTTCCGATATTCACTGCCAGCACTGAAATTCTATAGTATACGTGACATAAACTATGTATTTTCAGTACTGGCAGTGAATTTCGGAACGCAGCCTCGATCATTTCCAAGATGGCTTGTTGCGCGGCACGTCGATCCGATAGACCTGCGATGAATCTTAGGCGCGAATTCTTGCCAAAACTGCCAAAGGTAAATTTCTCGCGTTTATAGCAATCAGATATTATCGAGCTACCACCGAGAATAAATATTTTGCAGAATGAACCGCTGGGGAATGGAAAACGACATGTCGTCAATACTCGCGTTGTAACGGTTAGTAATTTAAATATTCGCGTTTATGTTTTGGACGCGTCGAAAGAGAGTTCGATACACGAATTATCGTCTGGAATACCGAAAGTAAGTTATCTTAACAAAACATCGGCAGGCAGATGCCGAAATTAACTATCTCGCAAAGCCATCCGTCAAAGGCGGAGCGAAACGTTAATAGTATCGAGTGAAGGTTACCGCGGTTCGATCGCAGTTTCGAGAATCGCAATCGTTGCAATATGTCGGATCAGTCTAGAGGAGGTCGCGCTGCATCAGTTCGTACTCGTTCGAGGCCGTTTTATATTTCACACGATTTCACCGAAGATACGAGTCTCACACTTAAGTTATCGTGCCGCGAGTACTGAAAGTAAGTTTCGCGCGTTTGTCATACAAGATATCGTTGAGAAGCCACCAAAAGTGAACATCGCGACATGAGCCATCGGGAACATCGAACGAAGTTTCGGGTTCATTGGTTACGGCAGTCGGAGTTTCAAAACGTTGCCCTTGTTTTGCACGTTCGGTTTGTCGAAGAAGAGTCCCGTGTGTGTATTATCGTGTCGGTAGTACCGAAAGTGAACTCGCGCATTTATCGTGGTAAGATATCGGCAAATAGCTACCGAATATTTCGGCCCGAATAGGCCCGTCAGAAGTATCAAAATAAGTATCGCGTCGTGTCGCTGTGACAGTACGAAGTTCGAATCTTTAGGAATTGCTATCAATGAGTTGTTGGCTCATTGAAAAAGAATCATCGTGGACGCTAATTCATCAGGAGTTTCTTAACGGTTAGTCTATAAATAATCTATAGTAGTCGATAATGTCAATGCCGCTGTATTACCTCTAGTAGGGATGTTTGAAATGCTAAAGCGAAAAACGCCGGAAGAGGGCACTAGTACCACATTTCTATTCATAGCGCAAGAATTGAATATAAGAAGGTAGGCGTTATATGAGGACTGTATCAAATTTGAGTGACTCAGAGTGATCAATAATTAAAGAATAATAATTAAAGAATATAGATGATTTGAGAAAAAAATTAATTTGAATTAAATTTGCGACTTATCAAATCGCAACTTTAAAATAGGAACGTGATTTTATAGAGAATATAATTGATTTTTTTCCTATTTTTTTTCTTTATTCACTTTACATTCTAGAAGGAGAGAATAAAACAAAATATATCTTTTTATTTGCCAAAAACTAAAGCAGATAAATAGAAATTTTTTATTCATAGAAATTTGTGTTTTTTCTTTGTTACAATAAATATTGATCATTTTTCAATTTAAATTCGTTCCGTTAATAATTTCTTTCGTGAATGATATATCAATAAAGATTTGAGATTAGGGCAGATTTAATTAGAAGAAGTTAATTACTGCAAATTTGGTGCCAGGTAGATATTATATTTTATTTTACATACACACAACTTTTGAGCATGCTTCAATATAAAATTCTGTTTTAATAATAAATAGATTAAACAACTTATTTGGTATATTCCTCTCTCTCTCTCTTTGTATCAATGAAATATACTTGAGTAAAAAGAAAAAGGAGAGAAAAAGGTGCAAGAGAGGATTAGAAAGAAACTTTTAATGTAAGATTTATCGTCTTTCTAGAGACATTATTTACAGAGAAGCATCATTGCTTTATTTAATGAATACTGTTTTAATTGCTTCATCATACAGTCCTGGTCTTCTTTAATTAAATTATTGCAGCGCAATAGATAAAGATTATTGCAATAATACATAAAGAAGGTTGTTCTACCTGTGTTCACTGTCATCCATAATACGCGTAACAATTTCATACTCCATAAAATTAAATTGGGATCTTTATTCGCGAGACATCTTGTCGTACCTGGCACCAATATTTATGGAATTCATATGAGCTCGAATGAAACCGCTTACCTTCTATTTGCGTCACAGTATTTTCTCTGACGCAAACAGAATTATGGAGTACGTCGAATTGAATTTCGACGTGAATGTTGCTGTTGACGTATAACGGGCGAAACGATTTCCAACTTATTTGTTATATATAGAAAAATGCAGGAAGCAACGATGTACAATATCGCTTTACTTTCTGACAATGTCCAATGACTTTAATGATCGACGACAAAAAATGTGATATGCGCGACATTATTGTGAACATAATTTTTCTTTAACTTTTGACTTTTGAAAGTTAAAATCATTTATAAATATTCAAATAACAGTCAAGCATGATAGCACAAAAGATAAGGATTACTTTTTTCGGAAGAATAATACATGTTTTTTCATCCATGGTTAATTAAATATATATGTAAAATTTAATTAATCATTAATCAGAATATTATATTATTATCACATATATGATTATGAATTAAAATAAGTTTCCCTTGTAGGTAATCGAATATTCTTTGATGTTACATATATTTGACATAAAATTTACAATTATAATATATGTTATAATTATATTATATATAAAAATTATATCCTTCGATATAGAGAGGATATTAATTCGGTATCGTTTTAACGCAATTTGAAAAATAATATTAGAAACGAATATTGTAAATTAATCTGCATTTATTTTATATGACATTATAGAAAATTACGGAATTTTAATTTGCTAACCATCTAAGGAATCTTGTATGTTAACTATGTAACATAATTTTCGTTTTATTAACGTCCAAGTTTGTATTAGTATACTGAAGTAATAACTTTCCATGGGTAACGCGGTATGAAAGGTAATTTAATAACGCTATTTTATGTTTATCAGCGACATATGTGAGTGTCGTAATTATTAAAATATGTCGCTTGCTATAACGTCGAGATGTGGTTTTATACTTCCCAATCGTTCGCGATATGTAAGATTACATAAATTTAGCGTCGTGAAATATTTTACGATAATTAAATATTTCAGCGAATGTCATTAATACGCATTACGAAACATCGCAACAATAGCGGTATCTTGTTAGCGGTACTTGTTGATGCATTGATGCATTGTTGATGCAACTGACTAAAAATGACTTTTGAGATAATTTTGAGACGGCATCTAATCGATGCGACTACACACACGTGCTAATTATCTTTCGGAAATGTATAAAATTCATCGATGGATTGCTGGCATTACTGTACACAGGCGGCATTATTCAATGATTCAGGTTACCGACAAATCTCATTAACAGGGTACGAAACACCGTAACGGTTTGCGGTACCTTGCGCAAAGTGTCAACGACACTTGTTGGTATCTTAATTAACTAAAAGCGTCGCTCTTACACACGACAACGGCGACAACGGAGCGAACAGTCGTTCTATCTCTAATCCACCGCACTGCATAAAATCCATCAATATGCCGTTGACATTATTGCGCAAGCGGTACTGTTCAATAATTCAAGATACCGACGAATCTCGTTAACACGGCACGGTACACCGCGGCAATTGCGGCGACGCAAGGCACCGCCGTTAGCGATGTGACACTTGTTGGTACCTTAATTAACTAAAAGCATCGCGCGAGATAACGACGGCGGGAAAAGTCGATCCGGTTCTGTATCGACGGACTCCTCGCGAACTGTATAAAATCCATCAATCTCGCCGGTGACGTTATTGCGAACGGCATTGTTCGATAATTCGGGGGGGATAACGACCAGTCTCGTGGACAACGCGCTACGGAATACCGCAGCAAGAGTCGCACGAGTGTATAGAGAGAAAGAGTGAGAGAAAGAGGAGAGGAATGAGAGAGAGAGAGAGAGAGAGAGAGAGAGAGAGAGAGAGAGAGAGAGAGAGAGAGAGGGAGAGAGAGAGAGAGAGGGAGAAGAGCAAAGCGGCCGTTCCGCGGCGGTACCGCGGCCGCCGTCGCGTGCGCGGACGCGTTTCGCCGCTCCTAGGGTTGCTCCGGAGTGAGTGGTCGGCTCGGCCATATTCGGCCGCGCTCGGCAATCTCCGTCGATCTCTGCGGGGGCAGAGGCCTCCTTCTCTCTCGCGCAGTCTCTACAGTGTTCACACTCTCGCGTAGGCGAACGGCGGCGCACGCACCTGACGTCTCGTCTCGTCGTTCTCTCGTGTCCTAAGAGAGAGAGAGATTTCGTTGTCGAGTATTACGCGTCGGAGTAGTAAAGTAAGCTCGCGCGCGAGCTACGGATCCGGATTTTCCTTCGGATTTATCTCGTGTGTCGTTGTGACGTGACAATCGTACGCGCCACCTGCTCTGGATCCGCGCCACCCTCTTGCTACCCACCCCCGAACATCATCATCGCTGCCGCGGCTGCCTCCCGCCGCCCTCGACGCTTTTCGCTTCTCGACGTGAACGGATGTCCGAGGTTTCGGGCGACAAGTATCCCGCGGCGAGGAGAGCCACGTCCTCCGGGAAGCCGGTGAGAGAAGCACCGACTTCGTTCGTCGACGTCGTCACCGTCGATCGTTCGCGCCGCCAGTTTCGAGAAGACGACGACGACGACTGCTTCGAATTTTGGCGCGAGTGCACCGGCGAGCGTGACGTCGCGTGAACGCCGCCGTCGGTCGCGCCCGATAGATCAAAGCAAGTGCGCGTCCACGTGACTATCGACGTGAATGCGTTCGTTCTCCCGGGGCGAAACGCGTCAAATTTGTCCTCAGATTCCTCGTGTCCGCCGCGAACGTTACGTGTCTCACGCTTCGATCGTCGCCGCGATACTCCAGCACGCCCAGAAGAACGCGGTCTGGATTCCCGTCTCAGGATACTGCTACTCGCCGCGATCTTCTCGCTCATGATCGAGCTTGTCCGCACGTGACAAAGGACGAACGTGCGAGGTCGTCGTCAACGACGACGACGACGACGACGACGACGACGACGACGACGACGACGACAACGACAACGACGACGAAGACGGGAACTTGGAATCATCGTGGAGTTTACAAGTGTGACGTGCCTCACGCGGCTGACAACGTCCGCAATCGGACCGAAGTTGAATCGTCAACGGTGTTCGCGAGCAACAATCGAAGTTCTGTCGGGAGTAAGAAGAAGCAAAGTTGAAACGGGATCGACGTCGTCACAGTCGTCTGCGAAGTTTCCTCCGATCGAAGGCAAAAAGCGCAGTTGAGGATTCACCGGCGCTCCGAGAGTCGACGACAACGACGACAACGACGACTGTGTGATAAGTGAAACTCGACGTGAACTCGAGAAGCGAATGCGAACGAACGGTATTTGTGCGCGACTGTTCGGCTCGCGGTCAATCAGTCGACGTGATTAAGACGGAAGTGCATCCTCCGTCGCATGGGCGTCTTCATTTACTCCCCCGACGGCAGAACGGGTATCCGCGAGTGTTTACGTTTTTGTGAGGGTCGCGACAAGGTGACGATGAGGCTTTAACAACCGCTAGCCTCGACGGGACTCGAAGTATGTTACTGTCGACTGTCACGAGGCCGTCGATGACCAGAAGACAGAAAGTTCTCCGAAAAGAGGAACTTCGCAATATCAAGACGGTTCGCTGATACGGTAACGGACGCCGACTTTTTTTCGGAGCAGTCGCCGCGTCGTGTTTGTGTTGTCGCGAAGGAGAAAAAGTGTCCTCGCGAGGCCCAATGTGTTGTTGTTACGTACGCTAGATGAAAGGTGACCCATCATTGTGAGACAGACAGACAAAGAACGTGAGAAAGGGAGGGACTTTTCCGTCATTTTCTCCTCGACAGTGCGCGAGCTGCCGCTGTTCGTCGTTCGCGCGTTTTAATTCGCCAGAGATTCTTTCGCGTCGCGCGCGCGTGTGTATGTGTGTGTGTCAGTGTTGTGAGCAGCTGAGGATCCAGTCATCAACCATGAGAGTCTCCGAAGTGATACCGGCGCTTGGGATGAAGTTCTTCCTGCTCGTCGCTGCCTGCCTGATGTCGGCCGTAAAAGGTGAGTATTAATTTTTACGACCTGTCCAAAGCGGTGTTCGCGCCATGTACCGTAAAACGCGTCTTCGCGTCCGGCAGCTTTAGCGGAGGAATTGGAACAGCCGTAATTTCGGCGACTTTCATCCGCGTCCTGCACGTTGTCGTGCACGAGCATCGCGCAATCAAATTCTTCCATTCCATTTGATCGTACGCAATATAGAACCGACAATTGACGTTTTCGAGAATCTTCTCATCTTACAAAATGTATCCCGATTGGAACTTGAACCGCGCGTTTTTTCTCAAGCATCGTCTCGGCGAGACGTTTGGAGATAAATTGTAACACAGCCATTACCCCTTGTTTCAAGGTTTCAACGAGTAAAATTGATAACGTGTAGTTTCTTCATATAATTGCTTTCTTATAATAATCCTCTAGAAATGCTACTGTTGGAAATATTCTCTTTGATTTTCTTTTATATCTTCCATTCCAATTCTTTCCGCTCCATGTTGCGCAACTATTTTTAATTTGTAATTAGCTATAATTAATTTTTAATCGAGTTTCCTCGGCACGATGTTACAATGTATATGTACACGGGGTTTAACACACGCGTTAAGTCTCTTATAATATTATATCTGATACATCTCGGTAATCAAACATTAAATTCTGTTCAAATAAAAATCGCTTTGAGTGAACTGAAAAAATCGCTGAAAACTTTATTAGTTATTAACCGAGCTTCTCATTGTACACGGTAAAGAGCTCTTTGTTTTCAATTGATTGTAACATCTCGTTTTAGCCGAGGAAGGTCGATTCCAAGTTAGTCGGAAAATTTATTATTAGAAGATCAGGTGCATCCCGTATCTTAACAACCGATCTTAACACATGAAATCAATTTAAGGATAAGTTTCCATGCTATAAGGGACAGGTGTGCCATAATGTTCCAGGTGTCCCCCAGGTCTACGATACAAAATTGTCTCAAGTATCCATAGAATACTTGGGTGAAGGAAGTACGGTTGACCTGGGGCAACCTGTATATTATTATGGGGCAAATAATTTTTAACGGGGGGAAAGATTCCATGCCATATTTTACATTTCAAGGCTAAGTTTCTGAGAAGACATTAATATTATCTTCTCCTCTTTATGATCCCGCTGCTTAATTTGTGGAAGTTCCATCAGGCTAATTGCGGCATGGGAATAAATCGGACGGTGCGCTAATTTTCACGACCGCGATAATCGTTATAAAATCATTCTACAAGCGATAATTCTGAAAAAGGGCGACGGGGCAGTCGAATAAATTGTTAGACATACTCGACGTCACATTTCATTCGGTGTCATGATTACCGGTGTTGTGATTGCTTCTGTAGCGGCATAATTAAATTACGCCGCTTATTAAATTATAATTAAATTAATATTATTTCTTGAAACTGGGGAATTTTGTATTGATTTTTGCATCTTTAGCATAGATTATCATTAATATATTTTCACATTTGTTATGTCTCGGCTACATTTTCGGGATCATCTAGCAAATTAACTAACTGGCAATATTATTTACATGCTTATCGCTCGACCCTTTTTATATCGCTGTTTTGTGGATCCTCTTATTTATTAATAATGCCTACATATCGAGCAAAAAATCACCGGACATTAAGCCCCGCGACGATGTTAATATACAATGACGTTTGCATAATGTACTCGCATTAAAAATGCGATGACACCCTATTCGGATGGTGGCGAAATATGGGATTATAATGGCGAAACACGAAAGATGCAAGATATTTCGTGAAATATGATGTAATTTTAAAATATCGCACACGTGTGCTGCCCTCTCGTACTCTCGCGTATAATTCGACCTCACGTTACTCTGCAAAAACGAGTAACACGAAAATAAAAACAGAGCGTGCGCGTGCGAGATCGATATTGTGTAATGTGTTTATCTATTAAACTACGTGGAATAAAAAGCAACGCAACGTAACAGAAAAAAGGGGAAATAAAAGGATGACCTACGGAATACGACGGCATTACACGCGATATCCCATTACCCCATTTCGCTCACTGATTTAATTGTGAATGGAAACCAATTTCAAAACTGAACGGTATCGCGAAAAGTTCATCGATATTGCGCAAACTTTTGCGTTACTTGCTAGCGTTTTGAGCACTATTTACGTCATTATACTTTTATTAGCCTGTGAAGTTCGACGATATTTCATTGTATCAATTGCGCTCGATTTGCAGCGATTGATTCGTTCCATTTAATCATTCCTATATTGCATAATGATATAATTTTTGTGCAATGAGTTGCAGATTGCACCATTATGCACGAGAAAAGAGTTGATTTTAAACGTATCAAAAAGGGAACAAAGATTGCATCGAAAAAAATTATTATGCGTTAATTATTATATTGTTTTTCGCTCGTACGAAACTTACTTAAACATCCGTGGTGAAAAAATGTTAACTTTCGGTACATAATTGCGACAAAAGAGTCTCGACGAATGAATAAGTTTTCATTTTCGTCTTTCGTTATATCGTCATATTTGTTCATATTTTCTTCTTAATGAAGACTCGTTAAAAATAATTGCCATATATTTCTCTTGTCAACAATATTGCACGTTCGACGAAAAAAAAAACGCGCTGTGAAAACCGGCGTTGAATCTGACCCAATTTAGGCAGTATGCGAATGGGGATGTGCGCGAGCGCTTTTGAGATCTAATTCGCGAAAATATTTCAATTTCGAAAATTACACGGCTCGATAATCGAACGTTAGATTAAATTATCGTCGAGAGCGGGAGACTGCGCGCTTTATTCGGCGAGCGGTAAGGCTTCGTCGTTATTTATTTAGCCTTACCGTGATAACGCCCGGGCTCTTACGCGATAATAGCGCGATATATCGCGCGGCTCTGCCGCGTATATCACTCCATTTGCATTCCATATATCCTCATAATCTCGTACTTTTCTTCGAGCACTTGGACCCCGGTTACTCGCAACTTGTTTTATTAAACGAGTGCGGCGGCCGTGAGTGCATAAGCTAAAGAACTACTTGCGTTAGCCGCGCGCGACCTCCCCCGAGCTCTTCCGGAGCTTTCTACGGCCACTATGAAGAAGATACGAATTTCGCGAGATCACTAAAGTCTCGTACGTTTTATATTTTACATTTTATATATACCTCGGGAATCTCACACGCGTCATTCGTGATGTAAATTACCACGCAACCACGCGTTATCGAAATATCATATCAGCTAATTATTGCGTGGTCACGCAGATGGAAGTACGATTGGTGTTAAGCTGTCTATAGCTATAAGCGAAATATATAGAGAGGTTACCGATAATTCCGTAATATTACGTGTATTACGTGTATCCTTGAATGAGTAGGGAATCGATTCCTCGGTCAGTGAACATTTAATTACAGGTTTGCGCGCGTATTTGCCCACTTAACTGTCGACATTAAACAGGCCGGTGATCAAACCTCAATTCGGATCTTTATTCAAGCGTAGTCCACCTAAAATTGAGCGAAAAGTTATTACCCGTGTGTTATCCCTTTTACGCTTTATATATATATATATATATATATGCACTTTAATCGTTTTATCGTGATCGCGATCAAGTTACATGTCTATTAGAATCGGACTTGGCAAGGAACCAAGTTTTCGGTATTAGCCGGACAGCTCGCTAATTGACGAGTGACTTCAATCGCGTCGCAAAGAATTAATCGATATTCCGCCAGCCGTTTCCCAATACGTATTTCAACGTTTCTCCGTGGTGAAACGCGATAAAGTCACGCTGTGTAATCGTATTGGTATATTCTGCACGAGTGCTCGCTTGCTCGCGCTCGCGCGCGCCGGGACTGTCGACGGGCGAATCCTTAAAACATAGAATCGCCGCGGTGTGTAAGGACTCGGAAAACTCCGTTGGATCGTAGCCAGGCTCGATTGTTGTGCAGATTGTTGTGCTCGATGCGAGATTATATGCGAAGGATAGCGGGTTCCAACGGGTGGAACGGCAGACACGGATTTGGGAATTTGCCTCGCTAAAAAGAATGTCTCACTCGTTATATCGCGAATCGCGAGTACTTCCTGCCGGTAGTCGGCGGGCCGCGAGTATCCTTCGAGTGGCTGAATTGCGGATTCACTCGCGATCCTCGTCGGAGCCGTTATCCCCTCCTTCGCGGTCTAGCGGTGAGTTTGGGCAAGGGGTGAAGAGGATGAGGAGGAAGGCATAATTACGAACTTGAACTTTCGAGTAGCTGACGAGCGGCCGATTGATGACGCTGTGCTTTTTCGTCCGACCCTTTTCGGTCGGGAAACTTGGAGCGAGCGGCACGGCAGTTTGCGAGAGTCCGTTTCGCGCAATTGCAGTCGTTCGGCTACGTTGCTCGCGATGAATCAATAATATGCGTTTTCCCGTGAAACACGATTGTGAAGTCCCTGTTTAATTCAGACGAGACGGGAAGTCGGAATATACAGAAATGTTGATTATTCGGCGGGGAAGATCCGCGCGCGTTTAAACAGGTGAATCGGAACTTGAGGGAAGACTCTGCCGCAAACAAACGACGAGTGGTTTTTCTTTGTCTTTGCAACATATTAGGCGGCGGTATGAATTTAGAATTACGAAGTAAGAATTAATAGTCATTGTTGTTCTTGATTTTTGCAAAAACACGTCGCCGAGCAACGTAATGCGACAGTGTCTTTGAAGTTAGCACGACGTTTTGCGAATTGATAAAAAATAAACATTGTTCCAGTAGCACTTTTCGTCGTTCTATTGTTCTTTAAAAAATGAGAAAATGTTCTGCATGTATAATACCAAAAAACCGAAAAGATTAAGATGTGTCGTGCTAACTTCGCGTTCCAACACGACACTCCTCCCTCTAAAGTACAAGAAAGCGACAAATATTATGACATCTGACGATTGTTCTAGCTTGTTCTATGCAAGTTTAATGTAAATACATTTCAGGACAAAATACCAAAAATTGACCAAAAAGCTAGTGCCAAATATGCGAAGTAAGTACATTTCTCAATCGCGGCTGTTTTTGGTCA